CGAGCGTAACCGACGCATGCGACCGCAGGCCCTGGGAAGGCGAGAAGACGGAGACTCCCGCGCATTGGGGGACTCGACGCTCGAGTCCGACTGCGTCCGCGGCGGCGGTGGCGGGTCGCACACGGATGTACAGCTAGCCGCAGAGCGAATGCGGGATGAGCCGAGTCTTGAGGCCTTGAGGCACCGGGCGTCGGAAGCCGCGCGGCCCCGCAGAGCCGCAGACAAGGGCGGCCTTGTGCGGGCGCGCTCGGGCGTTCGAGAAGACGGCGGGGCAGACGACGGTGACGGCGCTGTGTGGACGCGCGCGAGGACGCGATGGCCCGCGATGGATCAGATGGATGGGCCCGTTGCAGCCGACGTATGGGACCGTCCTTCTTGTGCGTTCTTGTGTACATTATAGGCGAGCGCCGGGGCGATGACGCGGGGGGCACCGCGCACATAGTCTGCGAACGCGGGTGGGGTTAGCCTCGTCACTTGCAAGCGCAGCGTTATACTTACCGCTCACGAGCGACACCGCGCGCGCGCCGCTCATCCCGAGCCCGTCCCTGTCGGTGGCGGGGTGAACGAGAGAGCACCAACAAGACCCGGAATCCGTCGACCCGGCCGCGTGGGAGCCGCCGGGAATCGGTCGGAATCGACCGCGGCGGGCCGGGCGGGGAGATGGCGATGCAGCGCGCGGGATTGACCCCGACAGCGGCGACCGCATCTGGAAATAACGTAACGACGGTTGAGTTCGCAGTGACCAAGCCCCAAGCCCGGGCGGACGTCGTCGTGTGCGCGCGCGCCCCGCTCCGCGGCCTCGCCTCGGAGCGCGCCGTCGGCCATGGGTGCCTGCTGCAGCGCTCCCGCGCGCGACCGGCCACGTCGGATTGAGAAGCAAGCCCGCCCGACCGCCGTGCGTGGACGGGCGGCGGGCGCGGCAGACGCGGCAGGCCACGGACTCCGAGACTCGAGTAGATATCTGGCTGCGCAGATTGACGCACTCGGGCCCGCAGAACGCCTTGGCGCGTACTTACATCTATGGCGCGCTCGGGCGACGTCTTCGTCTGGCGGCGGGAGCGCGGCGGCGCACAAGGCTCGACACGGAATAGGGAGGCACGGCGCTGCGCGTGCCTCGCCGGCGCCGCGTTGCGATGTGCGCGCGTGGCGCACGGACTTGCGCCGCCTCCTCCCCCGGAGCGGGGCGACGGCATCGGCGTCGCGCTTGGGGCTTTGGCGGCAGCGGTGGGCGCACGTACGCACATCACCTCGAGAATCGATTTGCTGTGGTGAGATCGTCTGTCGTGGGGTGAGAGGAACGGTGGAGGCCGCGGAGGCATCCTGACCGAGAGTTCAAGGCCACATCCGCCCTGGGGGGGTGCACCCTCGGTGGGTGCGCGCACGCAGCGGCCGTCGAGATGCACACACAACGCAACGGCGGAGGAAAGCGAAGGGGGGGACGGGGGGATCTAGAACGCGCGACGGAACGCGACCGAGACGGTCGCCCTGGCGGGGAAAGCGGTGCGGAGGCAGACGGCCACGGAGGCGGAGGCGGAAGCAAATTAATCGCACACCTCCGCCCGCCCCGCCCCGCCTCGCACGCGCGCGCTCGCCGCCGCCCAAGTAAAGTACGCACTCCGCCCGCGCGGACGCCTGTCACCGGGCCCGAGGATCAGACTCGCACCTCCCGAGTCCCGAGTCTCCATGTCGCCCGTCGCCTCTGAGCCCCGCACACCCCGACGCCATCTTCTCCGCGTGGTGATTGTCGGCGTCGGGACGGCCAGCGGGTTGTTGCCGCGTCAGCGTCCCGCCCCGCGTTCCGAGCCGGGCAGGTGCGAGCACGCGAGCCGAGGCGGGAACAAGAACAAGGACAAGACAAGGCGCGGCATCGCGCGTCGCGTCGCGTCGCGCTCGACGCCGGCGGCGGGGCACGCGCCACCTCGGCTTCGCGCGCGCACGCCGCCTGTGCCGGGGCAGCTGCTCCGGCGGGCGCGGCGCTGCGCAACAAGGAGCGGGGTGTGTCCCGAGCCCGCCCGCCCGCCCGCTCCTGTCGTCCTCGGGCCTCGAGGCCCCGCGCGCTCGGCGGGGAGTGGCCAGGCAACGCTTCGTACCCGGTACCTACCCCCTCGAGCGCGGTCAGCAACCACCTCGGCTGCAGATCGCATCGGCGCCCGCGTCGTCGTCGTCGTGCTTCGAAGTTCGACGAACCGGACCCCCGAGCTCCCCTTCCCCGTGCACGACGACGGGCTCAGGCGCTCGGTGGCGGCGGGCAAGCGGGCGAGTGAGCGGGCGGGCGGTGTCGTGACAGGCGTGCACACGCTCAGGGGCGCGCGCTGCGGCGGGGAAGGTTGAGGGGGCCGCCGGGGCGGCGGGCGGCGGGCGGGGCGGTCTCGAGGCGGCCGACGGTGCGAGCTCAGAACTGGGGCGGCCACGGCCACGGCCGCGGCGCCCGCCGCTTCCATCCGAGGCTCACGTGGGCGCGCGGCGGGAGGGCGTGAGGAGAGGAGAGGGCGGGCCGGGGGAGGCCGTGGGGGGGACGACGGGGCGGCGGGCGGCGGCGGGGCTCGGGAGATCGTTCTCGAGCGCACGCGCGGGGATCTGTCAGGCGGCCATGGGCCCATGGGGCCTCCCGCGGCGGGCGCACCGCGCACATCATCGGGAATAGAAACGCCGCCCCCCGCGCCCCCAACGCCCGCGCCGCGCCTTCGTCGGGGCCCGGACCCCGGGAACCGCGTGTGGGCGCTCGCAGATCGGCGTGCTGCAGGCGCGGTGGGCCAGCCACCGTGGGGGGAGCTTCGCGCGCGTGCGCTGGGGCCTTTTCGGGCGTGGGGGTGCGCTGCAGGGCGGGAAAGAGACGAGGAGGCGCAGCCGGTCTGTGAATGAATCGGGCTCCGAGTGGGTGCGGCCCTCGGGTTCGGACTGGGAGTCTCGAGTCTGGATTCTGGACGCGAGAGCGGGTGCGGGCGCGCGCGAGCTGTCGACTGCAGCGCGTCACCGCTCGGCGTAATGGGCACGCACACCCCCGGTGGCCCAGGCCGAGGCCCACCAGCACCGCGACTCCGAGCCCTCGCGCCCCGATCCCGGACGATCCGAGCGGCGGCGAGCATCCGCGGCACAGCGCGCGAGCGGGGCGACGTGCGCGTGTGTCCCGTCCGCGCGCGCTCGGCGCTCGTGGCCACTGCCCGAGCGGGGCGAATCGCGATTGTCCGGGCGCGCAGCGCTGGGGCCCGAACGGCGAACGGTGCGAGCGTGGCCCGGGGCCAGGCGTGCTTGTGCGCGAGCCTCCGCGCGCGCGCTGGGGCCCGGGCGCGTCGAATGGTGAGAATGGCCGACAAACAGCCGCCGCCGCCGCCGTGATGCCGCGTGAGCGGGGCGTCGTGCCTGGGGTGCGCGCAGGCCCCGATGTGGGCCGCTGGGCGACGCGGGTGCCGGCGTTCCTGGCGCGATGGGGACGCGCTGCCGCTCCGGGCGGCGGGGCGAGAAGAAGGAGGAAGAAGGGAGCGGGGCGAGAGGGGCGTGGGGCTGCAGCGGGCGGCGCGCGCGCGCGCGACGGGCATGTGAGCGGGCCGAGGCGCTGCGGCTGCTGCGACGGCGGGCGGAGTCCATGAGGCGTGGGGGAGGCGCGAGGCGGCTGGCCGGCGACGATCTGCGCGCGGAGCGGTGGGCGCAGGTGGGTGGGCCCTGAGCTTACGCGGTTGGAGGGCTTTGTGAGGGGCTAGGCTGCCGCGCGCGACTGGGAGGAGGGCTGAGAGGGGCGAGCGCGCAGGGAGCGTCGGACTGAATGGGCGATGGCGATCTGGGTCGCGCCCGCTGACGGAGCAGGAGAGCAGCAGCACGGGCGACAGGGCAGGCAGACGTCGAGGCGAGGCAAGGCATGGCAGAGGGTGTCGAGTCGGAGCCCGGCATGCGTCGGAGAGCGGGCGGGCAGAAGCCTGGAGACGGAGGTCGCGCGCGGGCTCAGTCGCAGCAGGAGCGCGGGCAGGTGACGTGAGTGCCGGGCGGAGGTGGACGGAGCGGATGGACGACGGGCGCACGGATCTCGATCGGGCGGGTCGGCTCGCGCGCGCGGGAGGCTGGCCCGGGCGGGTCGGACAGAGGTGAGGCGGCGGTGCGGGCGAGGAGGGGACGGTGCTGTGGCCGCATGGATCAGACGGCGGGGAAGATTCCAGGGTAGGATGGGGACGAGCTCGAGCAGGAGCACAAGGCGGCCGAAGGGCTCGCAAGGGAGGAGAGCAGAAGGTGGCCGAGGAGAGGAGGAGACCGAGGCAACGCGGCTGGCAGCGACGTCGTGGGTGCGCGTGCGGGAGGAGCCGTTGACTTGGGCCGGCGCAGCCACGGGCGCGGGCGACGGGGCCCTGCGCGACGGGAGCCGCGCAGCTGGTCAGAGGGTCCCCTGCGCCGTGGCCAGTCGGTCGCTGGGCGGGGATGGGGGTGCAGGCGCGGTGGCGAGGGCGGATGCGCGCCGGGCGCGACGCGGGCTGCCCTTCGACTTCTGGCTGAGAATGAGGATCCTGGCCGTCGCCGCGTGTGTCCAGACGCCGTCCCCGGGGCGATGCCGTCGACCGCTCACCGCCACGCGCCCGTCCGCGCTGCTCGCGGCGCGGTGGGCGTGCGATGGCCGCCGATGGCCCGATCCTGCTTGTGCGAGCGCGGGCGAGGGCGGTGGGGCGGCGGAGGTGCGGGCGTGGGTGCGGTCGTGGCCAGCGGGCAGGTGAGCGCGCAGAACAAGGCCCAAGACAGGCCGTGGCGGGGGAGGCGGGCGCGGTGGCCGGGGGCCAAGGGCGCGGGGAGGAGGGCGCGCCCGATTGGGCAAGGGCGACGAATTGGAGGGCCGAAAATGAAAACCGGCCGAAAGCGGAAGGAGGGAGGGCATGATGGCAAGCGTGGCGCAGGCGATATCAGGCTCTCCTCCGTCCTCAAATATGTCCCCGCCCCGCCCCCCGCCCTCCCTTCCACTCCCCCGCTCGCCGCCACCCCACGCCCTCCCTCCGCGCCCACCCCACCCCCGCGCCTGACGGCCCATGTCCGCCTCGCCCCAGCCCGCCCCGACACCCGCCCTCGCAGACCCGTCGGGCTCCCCCATGCCCCCATCCCAACTCGCGGACATGCTCTCCAAAGCCTTCCGCGAAACAGAGGCCCTCAAGTCCGAGCTCATGACGATGACACGACGCGCAGAGAAAGCAGAACGCCTCCTCGCCGCCTTCCAAACCTCCGCCCAAACACCCCCCGCGTCCCCGCCCGCACAAGGCGCGCCCCAACCCCAGATCTCGGACGCAGCCCGCAAAGCCATCATGGAGTGCGAGCATCGCGCAGAGTGCGCCGAGCGCGCCCGCGACGAGGCCGACGCCCGCCTTCAGATGATCCGCGAAGCTTGGACCGCGCTCAACACGTTCTTCAGCCGCACCGAGAAAGATAGCATACAGGCTCGCAACTCCTTCGCGCTGGCCGTCGCCGAGGGAGGCGTCCAGGTCCTCCAGGTCAGCCATATCCCCACCCAACCCTCTCCCTCGTTCCACCATGCGCTCCCGCCACCCGCCTCGTCCCACCCCTCCCACCGCGCCTCTGGCTCCTCTGCCCGTGCCACCGGCCGCGCGAGCATCTCCTCGCAGCCCTTTCCGTCCGTCTCGCTCCCCCCACCCCCCAGCGCGACCGGCTCGCGTGTCCGCCCACGCTCCGGGAGCATGGAATACGCCGCGCCTTTGTCCGGCCCCGGCGCCCCTCCTCCCGCGAAACGCCCCCGCAGTGAACGTGAGGACGACCGAGGCCCCGCCCACGGTCATTCCCTTTCTGTGAGTATTTTCACTGCTCGCTTGTGAATCACTGCTCACGTATGCCCTCGCTTTGTCTCCTTCCACCGGCTATATGCACGCAGCCCTCTAACTCGCCACTCCCCGCCTACCCCAACGGACATTCGACCGATCGCTCCCCCCAACTCTCCGTCCGCCACGCGCCTCCCCAACCCGGCCTCCACCCCCACTACTCTTACCCCGGGCCCCACCCACATGATGATATCCGTTACGCTCACGGGGACCACCCTCAGCCTCGACGCCCGCGCTCCACTTCTCGTGGACGGTCCTCACGCAGCGGCTCGCGCGGGAGCTCCATGAGCCTCGACGACATGCTCATCGACGCCGCGACCGCGGACGGGATGCCCCCGCAGCAGCTGCAGGGCCCGCGCGGCCGCTCCTCGTCGCCCAGCCGCGCTGACTACCACATGCGCGGGCGCGCGGCCATCCACGTGCACTCTAGCCACCCGGGGATGGCCTTGCAGGGCGGGTCGCTGTCGGGTCAGACGCAGACGACCCACATCTTCATGACTCCGCAAACCGGCCCGAGCGTCAAGAAGCCCAAGCTGGGCGTTTTGGCAAGCAACGGGAGCATCATGACGATGGGTGAGTCCTTTGCGATGTGGCCACCTTGCGTCGTGCTGACTGTCGCGCAGGTCCGAACGGGAGCATCATCTCGGGTCCGGCCACCATCGGCGGCGGTGGATTTCCAGCGACCAACGACCAGGGCCAACGCATCTGCCGCCAGTGTGGACTCGCCGGCCGCTACAAGGACGGCAAGTGCGTCGAGAAGTGGGGCCCTGGTCCCGAGGGCCCCGGCACTGTCTGCGATCGGTAAGCAACCGCCGCTGCATCGCCCTCGCGTCTTTCTCCTGACACGTTCGGCAGATGCCGCAAGAAAATGAAGCGCGTTGAACGTCGTGGGACGTTGGACTCGATGAGTTTGAACGCCCACCTCCACAACCAGCCTTTGGCGATCCACCCTTCGGGCGCTCCGCAGGCGGCCCCAGGCTCGTACACCAACGGGCGCAGCTCTCACTCGGGCTCGGACCGCTCCGTCCACCGAACCGACACTCTCCCCATCCATTCTTCTCACTCGTCGCGCGCCCCCGGCTTGAACGGGCTCTCCTCGAGCGCCGTCTACTCCCGGCAAGATCGCGACCGGGACTACGACCGTGAGAACGGCGCGTCGCCGTACCACCGCTCGTCTCACCGTGGCCCTACCCCGCCCGGCATCGCCACGCTCCCGCAGGACGACGAGTACGACCGCCGGCGCCACCCGTCCTCTGCCCACAAGCCGAACGGGTCGATGAACGGCCACGCGCGGAGCTCGTCCAGCCGGTCTGCGACCCGCTCGCCGCGCCCGAAACCCGCCGCCGCGACGAAGAACACAGGTCGCGGCTCGTCGCGCGGCTCGAAGTCGTCCGCGTCCGACACGATGGACGCGGACGCGGAGGGCGAGGACGCGGACGCTGATGCGGACGCGGACGACGCCGAGGCGGAGGCGGACGAGGTGGTCGACGGCGATGCGGACGCGGACGCGGAGTTTCTCCTCGCCGCGGACGCCACGGAGCGCAACACGTCGACGGACGAGGAGTGGCTGAAGAAGGAGGACGCATGACTCTCGGACGCCGACGCGTCCACGACGCCCGCGCGTCCGCGGAACGAACCTAGAAGAACGACAGCGCCGCGGTCGCTTGCGACCCCCGCGCGACGAAGCCTCACGCCCGCACCCGTGCTCGACGAACCCGCGCTGGTGCGCGACCGGACACTCCCTCCTGCACCCCCGCCCTCTCTCTCCCTCTCCCGCTCTCGTATCATATACAGCATGCACGGCCTGCTCCACCCCCAGTCCCCCGCTCTCGCGCCGCCCGTTCTGTAGCGTATCCGTATAGTTGTAATTCCCGCGCTCTCGCTCGCTGCTCTTGTGTCCCCCCGCCCCGCCCCGGCCCACCCCGTGTGTTTGTACTCGCAATGTTTTCCGCTGTGCATGATCTGACTTCCCCCCACCAATGTACCAATACATCTCGCCCGCGCGGGCTCCTCTGTTCCCGTCTCTCGCTCGAGTGTGTGTGTGCGGCGTGGGTTGTTCGCCGCTGGCTTGCGCACGCGGCGGCATAAGGATGCGATGGGAAAAGGTGGCTAAGGACGCGTCGGCGCTGTTGCGGACGGTGGCGGTGATGATCGCGGTGCTGCCGCTGTCATTTGGGTGCCCCACAGCGCAGCCCAACGGATCCGGAGCTGGTCTAGCCGAAGACAGTGGGCTAGCGTCGACCAAGCGCGAGGACGACCGAGCGGATCGGTGCGGCGTCACGACGAGGGTGGGCGAGCCGCCATCAAGTCCGAAGTCGCTATGGTGCGATGTTCAGTTGCGTCGACTGCGGCCAAAGTGCTCTGTTGAAGGACCTGGCAAGTTCCTGCGGGCCCACGAGTACGAAGGTCCACTTATTGAACTTAAGCGTCGTGACGCCCTACCGCCAGCTGGCCACCGCGATTGTTTCAAGTGGGTCCGACCGCGAACTCGGCGCTCAGCTTGCATCGCCGACGTGAGCCTAGACCGCTTTAGGCTTTGACCGATGCAGGCATCGTGTGGTTGGAGAGGGAGGTACCAGTAAGTAGCCAGAGTCGATTCCGACCGACCTTTAAGTTCCCGGCGGCTCCCACGCGACTGAGACCGCGCGGACTCGCGGGTTGACGCGCGCTTCCTGTTTGTTCTCCCACCACCACCTCGACAAGGGACAGACGCAGGATGTCAATAAGCGGCGCGCTGTGTGGCTGGTGAGCGGTACGACGCTGCGCTGAGCGGCCATGCTGATTACACCCGAATTCGCAGAGTATGTGCGCGGAACCCGCCGCGTCATCACCTCGGCGCTCGCCAGCTGCACACAAGAAGGACGGCGCCCATCTGATCCATCGGCCATCGCGCGCGCGTACACACAACACCGTCGCGATCGTCCGCCCCGCCGTCTTCTCGAGTGCCGTCGCGTGCTCGAGTACGCCCGCGCGGTGCCTCGAGGCTCAGCGCTCAGTTCTGCCCGCATTGACCCCGCCGCGGACGCAGTCGGGCTCAAGCTCGAGCCTCGAGCCCTCCGTCGCGCGGGGTTCTCTGTCTTCTCGCGGTCGCATGCGTCGCGCACGCCCTCGGAGAAGCACAGAGCCACGGGCTGCGACCGTTCACACCGCCAGGACTTCCCCGCCCATGATACCCGAGAACTTCGAGGTCGTCGAGGCGGACGTGCGTGTCGCGGGTGTTCCTGAAAGAACACGCTCTCACGATGCTCGTTTTGGCTCACAGGCATGTCTTGGTGTTCTCTCAGCCAGGCCTTCAGGCCTCACTAGGCCTCAGGAGCCCACAGCTACGACACCCGATTACGAACACGACGTTAATTGTTCACGCGTCTCCGTCGCGTCCAAGTGTCACGCACCGTCCCCAGCAGACCGTGCGTCGTTACCACCTATCGATCTCAATTGTGCTGCTTGGGCCCACCCGCAGAAGAACGCAAACCCTCTCGCACGCACCCTCGTCCGATGGTTTACCGGTCGGATCTCCATCTGTGTCATGCCTCTCGGTGCGTAACCGTCACCTTACCTCTACATCCTCCGAGCCGTCGCACTCATGACACGTCAGTCAGGACATCAAGCGCCGCCTCATGTTTGCAACGACGCTGCGGCCTAACCGTGCCAGTGATTGCATGCGGCAAGTCTTTGTCTGTCCTCGTCCTCGTGGTGCGAAGCATGCTCATAACATACCGTTCCTGTTCCGTCAGGATGGCGTGCGTTCCTGGCCCCCTCCACCCACACAAGTCGGGGCCGAAGGTCGGAACGTCCGCGCTGTGCGATGAGGCGCATATAGCCAGGTTTTGTTCGCTCTCGACACCCCACCACACTATGCCGCAGGCTATATTTTGCATACGCCCACAGACGGCGACTAATCTCGCACTGCTCCCGGAAAGACGACCACATATGACTCGGGCGGAGGCCACAACAGTCCGCTTAGACCGACTTCTGTTCATCGCCCATTGGCGAATCTCACCCAGCACCGTCATGGGGTTTGCCTCGAGGACTACCGAAGCCTCTAACCGCGGCTCGCTGCTCAAAACTCCCGCGGTGCATGCTCGTCGGTCGGATGTGCAAACAATGCTCTCGGTCGTCCAGTCCGTCATCAGTTCTGACGTACGGCCATGGATCCGCGTGCAACATCCCGAGCTTACGGCCAGCCTCGGCATGTGCCAACCCCTGGCCCATCTGTCAGTACTTGCGCCCTTTGTACTCGGTGGGCATCGCTGAAGCGCTGACGTCTGGCGCTCACAGTAAACGCCCCAGTGCAACGCTTGACCCTAGCGCTAAACGTCGGCGACAGTGCGGGCCCTGCCACGCAGGGATTCAATGTCCGCGTCGTCATCTCCTCAACGCCATCACCCGTATCGCGATCTCTGTCGAGCCTGCCAGCCTCTGATCCGGGCAACACAGTATTGGACCTCCGGAGCTGCGCCCGTGTCCGCGTCGAACGACGCGCATCATTCGGACCCGTTGGTGGCCGCCGTGCGCCCATAGCATCCAACTTCAGGTTTGCCCTGCAAGGTACATTAATCACGACATTCATTCATCACAACAATAATGAACGGTTGCAGCTTGCCTCCCCGCACTGTTTATTAACCCCACGCGGGCAGTGTCGCGGCTGTCTACGGCGCCCCGAGGGCACCGTGCGCATTCGCCGTTGGCGCGGACACGCCCCATCCCACACCAGTGCTCGCTGTCGGTGACCGCATGCTCCCACCGCCCGTTGTTGCTCTCCGCTGCTCACCGGGTGTCCCATGTCGCTCGTCGTCACCGCCATTGTTGAACCCGCGACACTTCACCCGCCCCCCGACCCCGGCTTCCTAACGCGCCAGGTACGGCGCCGCGGCATCTGAAGCTTCAGGGTTCTGTCAATCAGCAATGCCGCGCCCTGCACCCTGTGCCTACGCAGTCCGGTGCGTCCCGAATTTCGCCCGGCAGGCATCATCCAACGCGATCAGCACCCAATGCTCACTCGGGTCCGTGCACCAGGCGGCCCCCCGGCGGTGCGCGCGCATACGTAACGCTACGCCTGTGCCGGACCTCGAACGACATTGCGTCCCGCGCGCAATGGGCAGACCGAGACGAGACCCTCCTGTTGCCCCACCACCACGCGACTCCGTCCTCATCCCGCCACCGTTCCCACCCGTGCGTGGTCACGCGCCGCGCCTCTTTGCATCCCTGAGCCCCATTCAACCAGCGACCGCGGAGCTGCCGGAAAGGCAGGGTGGAAGCTGCGTCCTCGCCTCTACCTGCCGCGGCGTCGCGCTTCCCCGCCCAGCTGCGACCTCGCCCGGCCGGTCACGAACGTCGTACGCAGCGCCGACGATCCGTGTCCCGGGCTGCGGCGGAGAGCGGGTGCAACGTGTTGGCGGCGCGGCGTCCCCGTGCGCGAGCCGGCGCCCGCTCGGCGCGCCTGTCCTTTCCTAGGCCGCGGTCACAGATCGGGAGGACGCCTCCCAGCAGCTCGCGGGGCACCTCAACAACTGCTTGTACACCAAGCTTGTATTCCCGTGTTAGACTCTGAAGGCCACACCTGGCTCACCGTCCCTCGAAATACTGGCACGAGCCCTCCACCTCAAGTCCGCTCAGACCGCGCACCTACTTCCTTCTTCAATCTGCGGCACATCCACCTGACACATCTCAACACACCAACGAGGACGACCGCGGCGCGCGCTGCAGTTTTCGTTCGATCTTGGTCATTCCCCGCAATCATCGCCCGCCGTCTATGATCGCTCCCGCGGTTGTCCACGCGCTCCCTCCAGGATCAAGCAGTTCACTGCGTCGCGGTACGAGCTCCGCGGGGTCCTGAACGTCCTCCCGCTACGCCGCTTCGGGCTGCATGTCCCCCTGCAGCGCAACGCAGGACGGGTTACCTCACTCGCCAGCCCGGTGCCCTCTGCGCTACAAGCCTCCGGATGCCGTTATAACGTCAGCTTGACGGTCTCCTAGTCCATTGCTGCCGCAGGTCCGGCGCGCTCCCTGCGCTTGGCCCCATTCGTTCGCTCCCGCGATGGCTCGAATCCAGACTACCAACCCCTCTTTCGTCGCCAATTTTGTCTTCAGGTCGCGCCAGCGTATCAACCCAGCGTCCTCTTCTAGGCCTCCGAACCTCGACGTCGCGCGCACGGCCCCCCGACGGTCCCGCCACTCTGCACCCGCACCACGCCCCCGCCTCGAGGCCACCCGCCGCGCGCGGCGCTTCCTTTCCCCTCCCCCTTCCCCCGCCCCTGCAGCTCACAGGTCTGGACTCGTCCACCCCGGACCGCCTGGCTCCCCGCTCCCCTCCGCGCGCGGCGCTTCCCACCCTTCCCACCCGGGGCCGCGGCTCGCGGACGGCGCGAGGCCCCCCGCCGCGGGTCATCTGCCCCGTCGACGTTATCGATCGTCCCTCGGTGACGTGATTGCGGCCGCGCCGCGCGCACGCCCCCGTCGTGCACCACGGGCGCGCTTGCCCGTTCTCGGCTGGCTGACAGGAAGGGTCGCGGCGGCGGCGAGGTGGGCGGCGCGCCGCGCGCCGCGGTAGGTAGGGTCGTCGATGGAGGCGCACTTGCTTGGAGCTGACTCGATTGGTTTAGAACTTCACGCTGCCTGCAATGTCCTGCAGAGGGCACTGTCGTCTGCCGCAGCGTCGCAGCGCTGACTCGGCCGACTCGTACGTGCCTGCAGTTCCAACGTCCAGTCACGGCTGCGCTCCCGAGTCCCTAATCTCTCCCAATACTGAGCCACTCGGACGCTGCGGCGGGTACGATCTACCTTACCCCCAATGGTCATGCTAACTTTGGCGGCCGCCGACGCCTCGAACTTCGGCTCCCTTGAACGTCCGCGCGCCTGGCTCGATACGTACCGCTCTCACGTCCGCTCTGTCCTGACCGCACCGAATCACAGAACCTTGGGCCGAGCAAGACGCCTGTGCGCGCCTCCGCTTCGCACTGCTCCGACTTCTTCGCTCTTGCACGGTGCATCTTTCTAGTGGATGCCTTCCAACCCCCGGTGGTTCATGGAAGGCACTCCGCAGATACGCACGTATATGCTCCGGACTTTCGGGCGCTGATGACGGGATGACGACCGGGTGCCGCCGGCGGGTACTTCGCCGCGTACCGCGCACCTCCCAGTATGTTTCGTTTGTTCGACTCCTATGTTTTGACCTGTGTACCACGGCCATATGCTTACTTGGCTTCTGTGTGTATGATGGAACTGGGCTGTCATATACTTGATCGACGTCTGAATTCTTGTGAATGGAACCACCGTGACCGGCTTCCTACCAGAGTCCGCGCGTTTCCAGTACTCCCGGCATCTGGCCGAGGGCACCTCATACCCTTGAGGGTCTGGACTACCGACTCCGCAATTATGCTCTTCATCGGGCGTCGTCCTCGGCGAGTGCAACAGATCTGCCGCCGTCCTTTGGCCGCCGCCTCCCGGCTGAGCGCAGCCTCCGGGGACGCATTTCGCCGTCCTCGGGTGGTCGAAGCACCGCACCCCGCGCTCGTATGAGACTGCCCACATCTACATGTACAGGCTGTGACCGAGGATGCGTCGAGTGGAGGTGGGAGGCGGGATGGTGGAGGCGACGTTCACGCCCGGCTCGCTTGGTGCACATGACGGCCATAGTGATGGCAGAACCAGGAGTGCCTGTCTGGAGAACGTGTCGCGTTATGCTCGAAGCTTTCGTCACTACAGAACCTGCATCATGACTCCGCGCTTGCGTACGTCCACCGCGCTGTTCTTTTACTGCGTACATCGCGGTTCTATGTTTCGGCGCCTATGTGCAGAACGTGAGAACCCGGTGCGGCAGGTGGAATCGGAGCGTAACGATGATCAACTGGCAACGTGCTGCTGAGTCACCTGCACTCTGACCCAGGCCCCAAGACCTCGTCCTCATCTCCCACCATCGACGTTCATGAGCCCGCACCACCATTGTTCCTTGCACTTCGCACAATCTGCTTTGCCAACATCGACTCGTCCTTGAATCTGCTTCGTTTCTCATACTCTACGTGAGACCGTCTCTGATCTCCACCATACGCTTGATTCTAATCCTCCATGTTCAGGACAATGTGGCTGCTAGATACCGCGCGCGCCAACCTCGAGTTCTTTCCCCGTTCTTATGACATTCCCGGCGGATATGCCATCTTATCTCACACCTGGAGCGCTGTGGAAGATGGCGGGGAGGACTCGTTTCAGTTCGTTCAAGAGCTTAACAAAGAGGCCAACGCGGAAATATCTTCGCACAAACAGCTTCCGACCATAACACTTGACGCTCTCAGTAGGTTCTGTCCGACTCCGAATGCCCTACGTGATAAATCTCATGTACAACGGGGCATACTAGATGAGCATTTTTCACTCGCGCTTGCAGAGGAGAGACGAGCGCGTCAGAAACTAGAACAACAAGTGACGGAGCTCATCAATCTCATCAATATGAGTGGACTCCCGCAGGCGCCGTCTTCTCGTCAAGATGCACCCCGTATGTGGCTATCAAACTTGGCCCCAGAATATCCAACTCATGCTTCAATTTCACTGTGATAGTAACAGTGTCTCTCCGCACTCCCGCTGAACCTCCTGCCCCGCTCCAAAGTTCTCAGCACACCGTCCCCTCTTCCCCACCGTGGTTCAACCCCCGAGACCGGTTGTCTCCCAAAGTACGCGCGTTTCTCGAGCGTGCGGAGAAAGCTGGGTACCGGTACGCTTGGGTCGACACGTGCTGCATCGACAAGACGAGCAGCGCGGAGCTCACCGAGGCGATCAACTCCATGTTCGAGTACTATTCGTGCTCCGCCGTCTGTTATGTCTACCTCAGCGGTGTCTCCTCCGAACACTTCGATCCCGCGCACGATGGTCATCTGGATTTCCAAGGACAGCTCCGGCAGTGGTGCCGATGGTGTCGCCGCGGCTGGACCCTCCAGGAGCTCATCGCGTCACCGGTCATACTGTTCTTCTCTGAGGAGTGGACTGTAATCGGTTCTAAACACGAGCTCGCCGAAATCTTGGAGGAATCCACCGGGGTTCCCGCCACCGTCTTACGCTTCGAAAAACCAATCACAGACATGTCCGTCGCGGCACGCATGTCCTGGGCATCACACAGGACGACCACAAGGCCCGAGGACCGCGCGTACTGCCTCTTTGGGCTCTTTGGAATCAACATGCCGACGCTCTACGGCGAGGGCGGCGACAATGCGTTCTACCGGCTCCTCGAAGAAATCATGAAAACGACGCGCGACACAACCATCTTCCTTGTTGGAGATTCCTTAGTATATCGCAGCTGGAACGAAATACTAGAACGCTACTCCGAACTCCGGGAAGGAAGTTACAGCTGCTATCTATTTCCATCCTCGCCACTGGAATACGTGAAACATCTGTGTAACAACCTCAGTTTCAAGATCAATCCTCTATATGACTATCATGACCGTAAAAACGAAGTGCGTTCTTTGTATGTCGCCGCCGTCCTCGTTGACATTGTCCTCCCAGGATACGCTACCAACACCCTCGGGCCTTCGTTACCCTACTTTCAACATATCTCCCGATGGGTTGATTCTCACTGGGCTTGTCACGGTAGTTCCCAATACCACTCAGGACCCGGATGCCCTGCTCGTTGACATCTCCTGCACCTGGCACAACGATATTTCCGGGGCTGACACTCCATGCTACCTCCTCCTTGAATCACAGTCCCAAGGCTTGTACGCGCCACCAGGGAGGGATCGCGTTGTCATCTTCGAGGAGCCCTTGCCCACCGATCTACTCTGGAAACGGGCCGAAATACGCGTGCAACACCGGCCGTCGCACCATCGAAGAGGCTTCCGATACCATTCGCTTTTCAACCTGCAGACGTTCTGCGCCGACGGCCTGTCCTCGCCGAGCGCCCCCTTCCGCCTCTCTTTCGCAAACCTGTTGTCTCTGCACCCTCTCACGCACCCAGGCGTGGTGGAGGGCTCATCCTTTGGGCACGGTCACATCAGCACGGCCCTCGTATTCGCCCTCGCCGGCGGCGGCGACAGCTTCTTATGTGTCTTCCTCAGCGGGTGCGACGCCCGCCCCGCCGCAGAGCCCGCCCCGACTTCGCACGGCAACGAGGCCACGGCAGCACCGTGGACGCATTACGCGACTCTCCGGCTGCTGGATGAGTCCGAATTGCGCTCAGCGGGCTCGGACGCACACTCGTGCGAGACCGACCACCTCGACATGGACGGGGTGTGGCCGAAGACGCGTCTGCTACAAGTGGAGGGGAAGACGGTTGAGGCGACGTTCGCCCCGAGCACTCTCGCCCCTCATGACGGTCACACGCTGCAGGTGACGTTCAAGGTGTTTTAGGGGCGGAGAACGGCGGAACTAGTAGGGAGGCCTACGGAGAGGCGGCGGAAGGGCGCCTCGCTCAGCGCGCGGACGGGAAGGACGCTGCGACAGTTATCAGACGCTCGCCGGATGTATTGTGTACGCAAGCGACATTGCGGGCCTATGTATCTTACCAACTTTGACTGCCACCTAGTCCGCCTTCCAAGAGATGTCCGCAACAGACTTCTGCCCCGCGAGCCCGAGCGAGAGCTCGACCTCGGCGAAGATGGCCTGGATCACCGCTCAACGCCCTCCTGCCCGGCGATCGCGAGCCTGTAAGTGTACATTCGACCGACTGCGGCGCGCGATATCCGTGCTCAGCAGCCGCTCGAACGAAGATGGGGAATGGAGGATGGAGGGGAGATGGGACTCACGCAAGACCGTCTGCGCGGAACATGTCAGCGCCGGAGCGGAGGCCGCCGTCTGTGTGGACGACAAACATGTTGGACACTGGCGCGTGCTTGACTTTGCGTGACGGCATGATTTTCTTGAGAACATGGGACTTATGGGTCGAACTTGATTGCGATGCGCAGGAGGGAGACGGTAGGAAGGACATACCGCGGTTCCAGACAACGGTCCCGTTGTCAATCACGATCTCCGCATCATGAGAAAAGAGATATCAGCGTATACTCAAGAAGTAGAGATACGAAGACGTGCCTCGGGAGGATACCCCAACGGCCCCACTCAATGCTCGCGCATGAGCTGCACGATGTCACACGCCCTGAACATCCTCACCGCCCCACGCCGCCGTAGACCTATAAGTGCATCGCCGTCCTCGACGAGCTTGTCGATACGGGACCGCCAGGATATCGCTCTTGTTCGTGTGCGTCGAGGCCCCGGAGCGGGAGGAAAAGCACAAGTCAATGTGGACATAGCGCCTCCAGGTGGCCACGATGTTGAGGTGTTATGTCCTACGTCCGCTCATGTGAATTGAGTATTTCCGCGCATGGGTGATGAAATGACAGACCAGTACAGTCGGAACCGGCGCGCCATTAGCCTCGGCGACCTGCTGGAGCAAGCACGAGGGGGTGAGGATGGGGGTGAGGGGATTCCGAGTGCACCGGCGGCACGCGCGGTTGCGCATTCGGCGCGACCGTTGAAGCCTTTACATGCGATGGGACCGATGAGGAGCGTGGGGCAGGCGACACCCAAAAAGTGGATCGAACGCAGGGATACGGCGACGCGGGAAAAAAAGACGTACCCTGAGGGCGCGGTGCGTAACATCGCGGGCCTATACGGCGCGGTTTGTCGCCCCCCGAACTCGTCGCAGTTTGCGTCGGATGTCTCCTGTCCCTGCGCATTCGGGCACGAGGTTTGAACGAGTCTACTAAGATATATCTTGTGAGCGGGAGGGAAGACGCGCATACAGATGAAGGGGCGCACCGGATAGTCCTTCAACTCCTCTTTCATGTGATCCTCCAACTTCCAACGGGGAGAGAGCCTGATGGTCGTCGAGGCAGCGTACGACCGAGAGAAAGACTAGCAATGGCAGGTCAGAGTCGCTCCTCCTCGCGACGCGTCTCGGAATCCATATCGTCACGTGGCATTTCCCCCACGCCCACCGCCGAATTCAACTGGCGCCGGGGCCAGAATTCGTTGGCTTTCTCCTCCGATCCGACGATGCAAACATCGCGTCCACCAAGTCACGACGAAGCCATCTCATCCACGCGAATTTACGAGCGATGTCGTGTGCTGGTCCTTGCAGCGACGCTGGCAGGAATATGCGTCTCCACGTTGTGGTTGGAAACGCGTAAGGGTGGCGGAACTGGTGCGGAAGGGACTCGTGTTAGCCTCCTTCTCGGCCGCGCAAGTAGCCAGCAGTGCGCCGAAGTAGCAGCTATCCACGCAGACGGCCAGCTTCTCAACGGTCCTCCCGCGATGGGCTGGTAGTCGCTGTGATGACTTGCTTGTCTGCTTGTACATTATCTTCCGGTGCAGGCCGTCTTGGTGAGCTCCGTGCGATCTTCCTGCACCCATCCGTCGTTCGCTGATTGTTGGGATTTTAAATCTAGCCCGAGATTCCGTCGCTCTGCCTCCGGCGCCGGGCCGTCGCCTTGAGGCCTTGAGGCCTGCGACAACGCTTCTCACTTCCATATCACCTGTCCGCACACAGGCGCGGACGTATCATCGTCGACGGCCTGTCTATTCATTTTCGTGCGCCCTCCACAGCATGGATATCCCCCGCCTGTGTTCGTCGCACATTGAAGGCATTTCGAACAGCTTTCTGACGAATCGACTCGCTACTCACGGAAGGCGCCACTCTGTTCTCGGTTTGATCTGTTCGTTCTATCCCAAGATTGAATCTTCGGAAACGATAGTGCGTGACAGGCGAAGACGACACGGTCGACCGGAGCTCGCAGTGGTGTCGGAAATTGGATGCTTCCAAGCTGCACCAACGTGCCGGCACGCCGAAGCGCTGTCTACACTGGACACTAGTGAGGTGCGGCGCGCAGGGTATACAGCCAGACGTGCGGCACGAGGCCTCCACGACGCTGCCCTGTCCCCTGCACAAGTCCGTGCCCCGTACGAATCAGGTCTGCCGTAGCCCTTGTCCCCGTTCTCAACCTCGACCCTCGAGCTCTTACTCCGTCCCCTCCATCTTACTCCTCGCCTCGACACTCAGTGCGCTTCAGGGTCGCCGAAGTTCGTCGCTCTTCGTAACGCTTGCAACTTCTCTTGGTCATTACGCGTAAATTCTTCTGCCGACCTCCGGGACGCGATCATCTCAGCAAAGTCGACATCCGAGGGCACCCGCTTGTGTCGTTTGCACATACTGGTGAGTCTGACATCCGTCATCATCTCGCGCGTCGTCTCGCTGAACGTTGCCTGCAAGTTAGAGTCATGTGGCTTCTAGGAACGGCCCGCGCCAACCTCGTTTTCTTCCCTCGTCCTGAGGATGTCCCAAAGCCCGGATACGCCATCTTGTCGCACACTTGGGGGCCCAAAGACTCGGAAGACACCTTTCAAGCGGTTCAGAAACTGAATGGCGAAAATGCCAACCAAGCGGCACCCACGAACACTCTCGAGGCCCGCATTTCAGAACTTTTCCGACTCGTCCGAACACACGAGATAGACCGTCGCCTTGCACTCGTCAGACCCGCTCGCTGCTCCTCCGCTCCGCAGAAGACTCTGCCCCAAGCACCTCGTCTAAGTCCCGCCGTGATCCTTTCTTACTTGAACACCTCGCCCGCTTGTTCCCTCTGTTCGACACCAGCTCGTCCCTCGACCTTGCCTGCCGCGCTGCACTTTCAACAATCTTCTGGGCAACCGCTCGTAACGGCGAGTTCCTACTACAAAGCCAGAAATCTTTCCACCCGAAAAACCACGTGCAGCTCTCTAACGTCTCTTTCAACACGCGAGATGGTGGCGTTATCGTATGCACCATACACCTCCCACACACAAAGACCCATCGTTTCGACGGTGAGGATGTTTATTTTGCCTCCCAACCCATGCACGATCCGGTCCGCGCCCTCCGTGAACACATCGCCTTCAACAAGCCCGGAAAGGGTGAAGCACTCTTCTCACACACCATCCGCAGCTCCCGTCGCCCGCTCACGCTCCGGGCCTTCACGGTGCGAATCCGTGCTCTCGCCGCGGAGTTCAACTTCGGCACCCCTTCCGGCCACAGCCTGCGCATTGGCTCCCTCCTCTGCTACGCCCTCAACGGTTTCTCTCTCGCCGATTGCATGGTCAAGGGGCGCTGGCACTCTCAATCCTCTTTCCAGCTCTACCTGCGCAAGCACGCAGACGTCCTCCAGCCCCACCTTGTTGTGCTGCCACACGTGTGGGACGACATCCAGCGCGCGATGATGCAGGTCCGTTGTCCCTCTGCTCCTGTCTTCTTTGGGAGTCGTCAGCCTCGCCCGACGCGTCGCGCCGCTCCTGCCCCGTAATGGGACTCGTAGCTCACCCTCCTCTCTCACAGAGCCAAGCTCAGGTTGTGCCTCAGAGCACCGCGAGCTCAGCGGAGCCCGCGCACGCCGCGCGCGGGGATCTCAGCCACGCGCGCTAACACGCGCCGCGTGCGCGCTGCCGCAGAGCACGCGATCCGCTCTTGTCCCATTTGGTGTCCTTCCCACTGTACTACTACCACGAAATACATTTCGCCCGCGCACTAGCTGGCGCGTCCACCATAGAGCGTCCAGAGCCGGACGCCGTAGATGACTGCCCTGGCGCGGAAGCGAGGAACGAGCGACTGAGACAGGTGCTAGTCTACGGCGGGAGGAGCGGCGGAGAGCAGACGCCCACGGCTTGCCTCCAACCACGACGCTCCTCCCGCCGCATCGTCCGCCTCCTTCCTCCCTCTCTCCTCCATCGCCTTTCCTCCGTCAGCTCGGCAAGTTCTTTCGACCCTCCCACCCTCTGCCTTCTCTTTGTTTTGTCTCTGCCCTTTTTGTTTGGCAGGCCTTTGCTTTGCCCTGTGTTCGGGACTCGTAGCTCACCCTCCTCTCTCACAGAGCCAAGCTCAGGTTGTGCCGCTGAGCTCTTGTCATGAACTCAAGGGGCATAGGTACGCTGCGATCTACACTCCCTGAGTCAGTGTCGTGATGCCTGGTCTTACGCCCTACCCCCCTTTCCCTCAGGACATCCATACCTCTCCTCTCTTGGTGATCGACCACGAGCTTATTCAAGCTGGAGATGCGGATGAGATTGAGAGGCTCTGGAAGGGTGCGACGGAAATGGGGTTTTGGTAGTAAGTGACGGCGTTGTGCTTGAGTGAACACTACGACTGACCCGCGATCCGTTCCAAGTCTCATGAACCACGGCGTATCTGAGGAAGCGGAAGGAATGTTTGCGATGGGCTAGGAGACGATCGCTCTTGCCCTCGAGGAGAAGCTCCTCTTTGAGCAGGGAGACCAAGGTGTTTCATTCGGGTACGTTCTCTCGAATATCTCGCATTTGCACTCTCCGACGACCTCCACATCGGCACAGCTACAAGGCCGCCGGCGTGCAGTTCACCGATGACAAAGGCACGCGTCACCGAATTCGTCAACATCTCCAAGGGCGACGCGCTCGCCTGGCCGGCGGTTGCACGACGCACGTACCCCTCCGCCGTCAACGCGCCGATGGAGTCCATCGTCACGTCGTTTGTGAAGAACTCGCTCGCGATCAGCAACCACCTCATCGGTGTCCTCACCGACAAGCTCGGGCTCCCTGCGGGCACGCTCGCGTCTCCGCACAAGGTCGAGGGGTTCAGCGGATGTACGGCACGGTTCATCAGAGCGCCGTCGTATCCTGGGCTGGAGGGGAAGACATTCCTGACGGTGCACACGGACTTTGGGTCCTTGGTGAGTGATTTGCCTTGTGTCCCCTCGCGTTGCACTGACATCGCTCTCCCCAGTCGTTCCCGCACAACCGCCTCGGCGGCTTGCAGGTGCTCCCGCCCAGGTCTGACCAGTCGTTCTACGTCAAGGTCAGTCACCCATTTCGATCCACTGCGCTCATGCTCACGCAGTCGTCCGTCGCTCAGCCCCTGCCCGGACACGCGATCTGCAACGTCGGCGACGCCCCCAACATCTTTTCTGGCGGCATCCTACGCTCCAACATCCATCGTGTCGTGTGAGTTTGTCTGCGCGACGTGCCTATCCGATACCCCGCGTCTCACACCCTTCCCAGCCCCCCTTCACGGGAGCAGGCCCAGTACGAACGCCACTCCGTCGTGTTCTTCACCTGCCCGAACGACACCATCGAGCTGTGCGCGCTGTGAGAGCAGAGCGAGCGGATCGCTACGGCGGTTGCCAATGCGCCCCCGGGCAAGTAGGCCCCTGGCGTGACGGTGATGAAGCGGCTGCTGAGGAGGGTCAATTGGCAGCGGGTGACGAACTACAAGGTATGTCTTGTCCTGCCGATGTGCGCTTTTGCGAAGAGCTGATGAAGCCGGTAGGGTTCAGAGAGCTAGAGGGATAGGCGGGGTACCGAGGACACGGCAATCCCGAATCAGGGGAAGATCTGAAGAGCCTCGAATAACGTGTATGTAGTATGTACAGTCGTAGCCTTCGATGGACACATGCGTCTCAAACACCCCGATTGCGCCATCTGCGGACGGGGACCCGTGCGTGGACATGGAAAAACAACCCATGTAGGCGACCGTTTCTGGACAATCGAAATCTCGGCCTCATCTGCAAGGTCTTGGTGTACCCGATGGGCGCGCTCGGCATGAACAACAACCCGGATGTTTATTTCGCGCATGGTAGCACAGCAAGAGGTAGAGCCAAACGTAACACGCGTGGCACGATACGGAGGGTCGACGAACATCACCCTCCCTACTCTGAACGCAACTCGTCGTGTACGGCACCCTCGCTGATAACCTCCCCAGCCACATACTCCGTGCCGCGCGGTTCTGCAGAAATCTCGTCCCTGAAAACACACGAAATGAGCCCAAAATCCGTGTACAACGACAGATCTACTCACCCCACCGCCTCCGTACCCCGGGTCCGGGATTACCCATCCTACCCTGTCCGCATACAGCTCGAACTCCGTGCACTGCTCCCCGAGCTGCATCCGCTCGTTCGCGCGCCCGGGCACCCCTCTGAGCAGAACGAACCGTCTGCAGGGTGGGGCACGCGCCGCACAGCCGGCGCGTGAACGCGTCCAGGTCGAGGGCGCGTATGAACGTCTCGGCCGCGCACGGGGGGTCCGCGACGAGGTAGCACAGGACGCTGACGACGAGCACCTGGAGCGCGGGGAGGCTCCCGACGGCGGCGACGAGGCCGTCCTGCAGAGCAAGACGTGCGTCAAGGCCGAGGAAGCGCTAGCGGAACCACCAATTCGAGGGACGTACGACGATCCGGGGGCATCCACGTCAGCGAGCCCCGCCGCGCGCGCGACGTCGTCCCGGGGTGTGATCCCGATCGCGAAGACGCGAGGTCGCATGGGTCCGTCGTGCCGTCCGCGAGCTCGACGCCTATCACGTGCGCCCGCGGAGTCGGATTCCGAGGAGGAGGTCTAGACGCGGACGGCGAAGGTCCCGCCGAGAAAGCGCACGCCCATGCCCTCGATCCGCCGGCGGACGATGTCGCCGCCCTGGGTGTCGAGCTGGCGGGAGAGCGAGTAGTGGGAGCGGTGCCCGGCTGTGGCGGCCTCGAGTCCGAGGAGTCCTCAGCCGATCCGAGGACGACGGCCTGGTGGAGCCCCGTCGATATAGGCAATGTGTCTGCCAATCTCTGTCCAAGCGAGAAACAACCTGGGTCAAAAGCGTCAGATAAAATATGGACAGGGCGAAGCGGACAAATATCACCTTCCGCCTCAGTGTTCGCGCCAACCCGCCTTTCTCCTCAATCTCCTGTCACGCGCGTGCCACACCAGGACGGCGATCGTGCAGCTCTACCGGCGGATGGACCGATTTCGCGATCCTATGACACTTCAATTTGTGAGGGCGCCGCTTCGCACAGCGACCGCGCTGAGTGCGTCGGAACGGGGAAGCCGGAATGGTGGGGCACGAGGAGGCTCGTCGGAGGGCGCCGCGCGTGTCGTCTCGTTTTGACAGACACCCCCGTGGGCGCGCAGGGTCGTGTCGCGACAGTTTGTGGGACGGGTTCCAATATGGCCGGACCGAGTCTGTGGACCACGTCGACGATCCTCTCGATGTTGTCGTTCACCCACTTGCGTGCACTCGCCGAGCGCGGAACGTCGGGCGGGACAACATCCATCTGCACGACCTCGTTGTCCGTGAGCCGGAGGAAGCTGTACTTGATGCGTTCCAATTCATGCGCAACGCTGATGTCCACGCGCGACCGCAAGTTCTCGACCACCCCGGGTATACCGCTGAACGGTGTGAGTGGGTTTGCGCGAAACCTCTGGCGGGCGTGGCCCGACATTGTGGGCTTGGTCGACTTCTTTGTTTCCAGCCGGAGCTCGAGCGTTCGCAACACCATGAAGATCGATTCGGGCGTAACGCTCAGCCAAGGAGGAAGTTCGGGTGCGTCCGTAGAGAGTCGAGTCGACAGGTTTTCGAGAGCGCGCAACAGGCTGTAATGAGAGGGGAGTTAGTGCCACGGAAATATGGTCTAGTGTGTCGCTCACTAGTTGTAACAATGGGACAGCATTTAAGAAAAGCAACGCAGAGACTGGAACTTCCTGCACGATCGGCGTTTCGAGTACGTCACCGCGCGTTGTCGTCCCGCCCAGAACTTCATCCGTCACCTGGGACCTTCGTCGGCCGGATCTCCGCCGCTTTAGTATGGGTTCGATGGCGCCCGCGAGGAAGGGGACGAGTCGTCGTTCCTGGGAGTGGTATGGAACTGCAAACGAAGACTCGTAGAGATGAGGCCCAGCGCAGATGGTGTAAAAGGAACGGAGACATACCACGGGGCGTGTGAGAGGGCTTGGATCACGGAAGCACTAGCTGGGGGTTGGACGATGCGTTTTAAGAGGCACACATATATCGGACGCTGCCTCCGACTATATGCGAGGGTATCAGAACAGGGTGTGCTCGGAGCAGTATGGGGAGATCGAGACCGGACGTACCACATGAGCACCGTGATCCTGCTATTCGTGATCGACCATAGCGACTGAAACGCCTCCACCCATCTCGTGCATGGATTACGCCTTTACGTGAGCGATCTTTGGGTCCGTTGGGTCCTGAGCAGAGAAACGACGGCCGTAAGACAACAGGTATGGAGTAGGAGGACGATTCAAACGTACGGCAGACGGCCTCCGCCCCTCCATCCATCCTCAGGTGTATCCGGATTCGCCTATCCTCGTCGCCCACTTGAAATAGCCAAGATGGAAGGACCCAACTTCAAAGCGTGTCTCGAAGGCCGACCTGGAGGGCTGATGACGTCTGTGGCGAAGAGCAGAAGTTTGGCCAGCTGCAGAAAGTTGTTTCAAACGGAGAGACGCACCTTGGATGAATGACACATCACAAGTATATCCCATGCGACAAAAACCCTCGCGCACTGGCACCCGTCTCTCGGCTTGCGACGTTGCACAGACGATACGACATGTAGAAGCAGCTGCGGTGTCGCGTTGAGCGAGTGCGTCGTGGCACAATTGAGAAAAGGTGTGTACGCAATGGGAGTGGTCTCATAAGGGAGCGTGGCGGGGAAAGAGGACGAGCTGCTCTTCTCAGACGGAGCTGAGCCCGATGGTGGCTCCGCGCGTCTACGCCCCGGAGAATGCGGACCGTGGTCTCGTTGGCGCTGGTGCCTGTGGGCGCCGCGAGTGAACCAGCAGCCGACTCTTTGCTCTCACCATCCACACAAAACACACGGAACATGTTGTGTGTGTAAGCGCTTCTCCCCGCCGTTTTATTTCCGATTCTTGAGCCGCACCACGACCTTGTGTAAACCTGTTCCGAACCGGGCCTCTGTTCGGCATGTATTCCTCGATACACGCTGTCGTCGTCGAGCGTACCACGGTGGTCATGACGGTGGGTCCTTAGCAAGCTATTATCCTCATTCCTGTACTCAACTTCGCGTATACGTACCCCCGGATATTTATCACGACTTTTCCGACGCTCTTACCAAGTAATCTGATTATTCACGCCGCAGGGCCTGTAGATCTCCAGTGCAAGCTTCGGGCGTGCTTCTGCCCATAACGCAGCATGTATCGTTGTCGGCAAACAAAGCACTGCGGCGGACCTGCCTGAATCCTCGTTGTAACGGTATGTCGCGGCCTGCCTCCGTACGCTTGGGATCAGCTGACCATTTATCTCAGGAGTGCATATTTACGTCCGAGGTTGTGCGGCCACTATCGCGCTTGCCCATCTGGGAGGCGGCGTTGAACGGCTCTCTAATCCCCCGCTTCTCGCTCAGCCGGCGTGTCGTGCCCATTCGCGTGCATACATTGTCTCTAACAAGCAGGGCGGAGGCACTCGCGCGCGTTTACTGTATGCTCCGGTGATCCAAACATCGTCGAACATCTGGGGCACTACGTGCGTACATTCCCCCGAGGTAGTATCGGGCCACATCGTGTACTACCTCTCGACGAATGACATAGAGCGCTCTCAGCTTCGCCTAGCGGATAACGCGCACGACATCGATATCTACGTCTGACACGTTCGAGGAAAGGCAGGTCATCACGCCCCGGGAGCGCGAAGGCGGCCCGGACTCTGCTGGCCAGGAGACGCTCCGACGCTCTCGGCTGCTTTCACCGCATGTTCGAACTTCGCGTTGTGGGCGTGTGGGACCGCGGTCTCCCTCGCCGCGACCTGCCCTCTACCGTCTCGCTCACGACCCATCTCACATCTCCCCTCGTCCATCTTACATCCCCTCCGCCATCGACTCCCTCCGTGATATCAAGTACAGGAAACCCCGTTTACTGGATACTCATTGTACGTCCGGATACTCATTGTACGTCCGCTCTTCCGATGCTCTGCATCGCATTCACTCATGCTCCCCAAGTGTCTGTACTCCTCCCGCGTGTCGTACACCTCAAATCGCACCCGGTATTCATGCTTGCCCTCGCGAGACATACATGTGCTCATATTCGTGAAAGAAGCGATGTGGCTCCTGGGCACCGCGCGCGCGAATCTCGTCTTCTTTCCCCAACCTGAAGACGTTCCTGGGGGCTATGCTATCTTGTCTCACACCTGGAGAGGAGAGGAAGACTCGTTTCAAAAGGTTCAAAAGCTGAATGCAGAATCCAATAGCTCCTTCTCCCCGGAAGATCAACGTCCCTTGCCCCCCACTGAGCTCCGATCTCTCATTTCCCAGGCGGTCTCTGAAGAAGCGGCCGTTCTCCGAACCCTCATCTCCCAGGAAATCTCTCAAGAAGCGGCCGTTCTCCGCGATGAGCTGCGCCTTCTTGTTTCTGAGACAGTCCCGAAAGAATCTGCGGCTTGCAAAAACTTGAAGAATGCTTTCCATAAAGTGAAATCACACATCGTGCAAAAGTTCAAATTGCTACTACACCTACGCCCTTCCCGCCGTACCGAAATTCCTCCTGGATTAGTCCAGGACGACGCGGGTGGGAATCGCCCAGACAGACGACCATCCAGTACTGAATGCGAGCCAGGTTCGTCTAATGATGAAAACTTGTTTTCCCTACTCGGCGCTGACATACGAAGGTCGCTCGACAGATTCATATCCACGTGCTCCCGTGATACCGTTTTCCCCTACTCCTACATCCGTTCAAGGACTTTCTGAGCCATCCCGCTCGTCGCCACCATGGTTCAACCCACGCGATCGCCTCACTCCCAAAGTTCAGTCATTCCTTGAGCTCGCCGAAAAGCACGGGCACGAGTACGCTTGGGTCGACACGTGCTGTATCAACAAGGAGAGCAGTGCCGAGCTCTCGGAAGGCATCAATTCCATGTTCCGCTACTACGCCGTCTCCGCCATCTGCTACGTCTACCTCAGCGGCGTCATATACTCCGACACTGATTCACGCAGGATGTGGAGCGCCTTCCACAGAAGCCGTTGGCACTGGCGGGGCTGGACGCTCCAAGAGCTCATCGCGTCCCGCGTCCTCGTGTTCTATTCCAAGGAGTGGATCTCTCTGGGCACCAAGTACGAGCTCGCCGACCGCCTAAAAGAAGCAACTGGGATCTCCACGGCAGTCCTCCGCTTCGAGAACCCGTTTACCGACGCGAGCATCGTGACGCGCATATCCTGGGCGGCGCATCGGGAAACCACGAGGCCGGAAGACGCCGCCTACAGCCTCTTCGGGCTTTTCGGGGTCAACATGCCGACGCTCTACGGCGAAGGGCGGCACGCATTCTGCCGGCTCCTCATGGAGATCTCAAAGACCTCGCAGGATCCTTCGATTTTTCTCTTGGGAAGACGATGGTATATGTCCGACTTGGAAGACCTCCAATCGAAACTCCAGGGAACGCCCGACAGCCGAACACGTCGCCATCTTCTCCCCCTTCAGCCTTCGCCGACCTTTGGCCCATTCTTCCCTACTATTCCTAGGGTAATCAGATACGAACCCAGTGTCCGCTCGCAGAGAGGACAAGATGAGGTACGCTGATATGGATGCCATTCTACGCTGTGCTACATTGACGACCATTTTAGCACGGCTCGAATCCAAGAACGACCACAGAACTCCGTGCTCCCACGTTTTCCGTGTCACCAGGCGGGATCGAGCTCCACGCGGCCGTTCTACCTCTGGATGATACAGAGAGATTTCTCCTCGTCGACTTATTCTGCCGAGATCCAGACCCCGTCTTCCTCTTGCTTGAAAGGGTGGACGACGAGCTCAACGCTGGCGCTGCTCCGCTATACCAGCCCACAGAGAGCCCCGTTGTGTGCATGTATAAACCAAGCACGGCGATCGACTCACATGGCTGGAAGATGACCAACCTCCGCGTTGTAGCCCTCCCTCCGTACACCGGTGACCTCTCCGAGGGCGAAACCGCAGGGATGAAGTCGCTGAGGCGCTTCTGCGAATCCACCACTACCGGCTCCCCCTTTCACCTTGTCTTTCGCGGCTTCCTCGGGTTCCGGCACATTAAAACGGTCTTCGACGGTGACGAAAGCACCCTGCCGTCGCCTTCTTCCACCGAAGGCGTCTCCCTTTATTTCAAATATTCCCGGTGGCCGCAGCATGAAACGCTCGTTGTCGTTCTTGGGACATGCTCTCGTACCGAGTCCGCCATTGACAACCACCTACGCACATCCAGGACAACCTCGCTGTCATCCCGGATCGCCATGGAGACGCCAGGTCTAGGCGCACCACGCCGACCACGCTTCTGCATCCTTCGTTGGTCCGAGAGCGATGAAGAATCCCTGGCCGCTGCGACTGCGCATTCGTGCGAGACGGATCATATCGACATGGACGGACCATGGCCAGTGGAGCGCCGAGTGCAGGGTTGGTTTGGGGAAGTTGTGTTATCGTTCTCTCCTAGTCCGTTGGGTAGAGAAACGCTGCAAGTGAAATTCCGCGGTGCCAAGTAGGTATGATAGACGAAGAAATTGATTTGTGTACAGCTTCAGGTCTGCTGGTACGAGACGTAGAGAGCGGCCCATTGTAAACATCACCGTACATTTTCCAAGGCCAACCAACAATTCCATCTATCGCTAGCACCGCACATGGAACGGTCGTGACGATGCTGTTGCACGCTGATGTGGCGCTAACTCTGGCGTGGAGTCAGTAGCAGGTGTGAGGGCGAGGGAGCGATCTCGTGTAACCGCGAGGCTCGGGATATCGAGTGAGGTGAAAACGAAGCAATATACGACGCCCTGCGTGGAGGCCGAACGCGGGGCACGCGAGCTCGCGCACACGGGCTGGCAAGATGAAGGACGCGAGGGCGAGATTCAGGAAGGAGTCTTGGGCGTGTGCGTGGGCGAGGTCGAGGTGTAGCGAGAAGATATGCAGGCGAAGTTGAATGAGCATACCGCATGGCACGCGAGAAAAGGGCGGCCTCAGGGGGAAAGTTGACTCAAAGCCTACATACATACAGCGCGCGCGGCGCGAGGGCGTATCTAGGAGAAGATACTGTACCGAATCCAACTATAAATCCGCGATGCGGGTGATACGACGAAAGAAGCGAGAGAGAGCGTGGAGATGGACGGAGGTGGACCAAGACAGAGAGAAATGAACAGGGGACGAAGAGGGTGGATATTCAAGAGCGTTTGATAGGCAATCAAGTGAAATGAGGACGTACGATTACGGCTACGGGGTGCCATCGCGAGAGGGAGAGGGCGCCGCGCCGCGGGTGGTTGTGGTCGAGTGCGCGCGGTGTAGACCGCGAGAGTGCACGGACGACGCCGCGGTGCGATCGCATGTGTCGCATCTTGACGGGCCCATGCTATATGCCTACGAGGTAGTCCTATGGTATCCGCGGGCGGATAGCGAAGGGTGCGCGAGCCGGAATAGACTAGGTACGCGAAGACGAGGACCGAACGCGGAGATGATCGCGCGGGCGTACGTTAGCCTGGTCGACGGTGTAGGGTTCGTGCTCCTGCACTGTACGGCGACAGCGCGTGCGTATCAGTAGAGAGACCCGTTATACGGAGGTGTGATGGTCAGTGCGAGACCGGTCCAATGATTTCCAGTGCACTCACTTACAACCAAGCAGCATTCAGGACCACGCGCACTGAAAACCGAGTTCTCAAGAGTAGATGACCTCGCTGCGCGAGTGCTGTGGTCAGTTCTCCATCTGTGTCACTGTCATCCGCGTATTCTCACCGTTATATTAGTGTGCCCGGTCTCCTGATCTTGTATTAACATGGACACGTCCGCTTCAAGGAGATCGAGAGCATGCGGCTGCCGGCGCGAGCGCGCCATGCGCCATCCACTGGCTTCGCTGCGCAAGAACTGGGGCCTATGCAACGGGATTAGCGGTGAGTGAGCGTGCGATATTTCCAGCGCGTGTACCATGAACCCAATGCTCACACCGGAGTACGTTCACACCAGAGTAGCCTGGATCCCGATGCGCTCCGTCAGATCTGAGGCGGCGTTGAGTTGGGCGAGAGGCATAACCAGGCAGAGGTCCCGCCCAACGGTGGCGTTATGGATGTCGAGGAGGGCGAAGGGGCCGGCTTGTTCCTTGGTCGTCGTCGGGACGCTGCTCCGAAGACGAGACGGTCTGTAAATAGGTGAGTCAGTGCACTGTATCAAACGAGGGTATCTCGGAGTACGTACCATTGAGTCCAACACCTCCGAGGAGGAACCCAAGCTCGGAGAGGCAGTCCGTCGGCGAACTCCCGATGTCCAACAGGTTGAATAGATCAACCACATCGTCCGTCCCGGTCTATCAATATCGCGCGCGTCCGTTACAGGACCAACGCCGCAGACGAATCCCACCTACTGGGATTTCTGCAGAAGAGAGTCATCAGTCTCCAATGACCGCTTTCAAGGAAAGGTCAAACGTGCATCGGGTTGTAGAACATGGGGAGAGCGCCTCGGTTCCGCGGGCCGTCTCTCCGCGTAATCCCGAATCTGCCGTAGCATGCTCGTCCACCCTTCCAGATGCGAGGAAGCTCGTCTGAAGACGCGCCCTGCCTGAAAACTGGGTCCCAGCACGTGTTGATCCTCCCGCATCCTCATTCAACCTGCGCATATACTCACCTTGGAGTATAGATGAGAAGGGCACGCGTCCAGATCAGACGTCGCAGTGACGTCACCCCGCTTCCCAGCTCGAATCTGTGTCAAGGTGACCTCACACTGATTGGGGAAATGGGCGCAGAAATTAGCGGGATAGCGCGACGGGTGTGGAGAGAGATCCGGCGACCTAGACAGGGGATTCTCAAGAGAATTGAACAAACGGCACTCACATGGGATCCGATGTCAGAACGTCGCCAACGCTACGGCGCGCTGGGTGACGCAGTGGTCCTGGTTCGTTCAGATATCAACGGCCGTGGACCGCTGGAGGTGGAGTCGGGGTGAGCTGCACGAGGGATCGTGGTTGATATCGAGAGAGGCTGTGGGGTTCGGGGAGAGGACCAGTACGTGTAGTATCGAAATGGCACACTGTTAAGAGCGGGTGCCACAGTCGGCATGGAGGATGCGAGGGAAGTGAGTGCGACGACGCGCGCGCGCGCGCGTGGCATCGCGGCGGGTACAGCTCGAGCGCGAGCAGACCGCCTCCCCCGCGTCCGGCTCGGCTCGCACCACGTGCAGGAATGCGGTGGTGGCTCCCACTAGGAGTCGTCGGGGAGACAGTCCGAGGCGCGCGGGAGGGGCTTCGAGGGCGGTTGGATGCTTAAGGAGCGTGGCAAGCGCAAGCAATGTGTCGGTCCAGGGGCAGAGACGCAGCGCGCGCGGAGGGGAGCAAGGGGGCGGAGGAGAGGCCACGCTCGGGCCAGCGCGCGGGGAACGCGTGCGCGTCGGGTGTGCGGTCGCAGCGGGGGTGCCATCACAGGTGCCCGCGACCGGAGGTGGAGGTGACGACTCGAGTGAGGTCGTCATGTGAGGCGTCGAGGCTCACGCGCGTGGGCGCCGGAGACGCGTCGAGATGGTGGTGAAGGGCCAGGAGAGCAGCCGAATGCGCCCGGCGGAGAGGTGCCCGCAGGGGGTCGAGGCGGAGGGCGTCGAAGAGACGGCGCGCTATTGGGAGCAGCGCGTGACGATGACGGTGTGCTCGGCGGGAAGATGGACGGTCGGGAGGGACGTCGAGGGGAACGTCTTTTCCCGTGCGTTGGGAATCAAGAGGATGAAGCCGTGAAGGACGGAGAGCCGCGGGGTGGCGGAGAGGAAGTCCGGCGGTTGGGGCGCGACGGCGAGCAGCAGGCGGGAGCTAGGTCGCGTTGGGTACTTGTGGCCGCAATCCCACGCAGACTGGCCCGCGTGGAACGTCGTCGAGGGAAGTGGCAGGATAAGAGGGCAGCCGCTCCAAAAGGTTCGTCCACACCTCGCTATGACCGTGCTCGCACACGTTTTGGGTACGGCCAGCATCGGGATTCAACGGAAGCCACCGCTCTCGTGTTCGCGGAACATGGGGCTGGCCGATTTTTCAGCAATGCGCAGTTCGCGAGGCGTCGCCGCTGTCCATCGGTGCACGGTGTACTCTGTCGACCTTTGCGGAGGGCGCGAGAGCTTTCCTATGCCACATGGTCCACTTGTGCGCTCGTCAAGGAGCTCGTGCGGCCAGCCTGTCGATGGTTGTGGCTCATGCGGTCGCGTCAGATTCTTTCCACTCGCGCGGTCCCGCAGCCTGCGTAGTGCTTCAATTGAAGAAGTATGCGAAGTTGTGGCGATGAAGTACCTGAACGCGGAGGGGGGACGTCAGCTAAAACAAGTCCGAGGATGGTGCCACGAACATATACGCATGTTTGCCATCGACATAGAAGCGCACCTTGGCTGATGAACAAGTTGAACGATGTGGCTTGCACACGAGCGACAGACCTCGCTTACATCAGCCCTCGCGCGCGTTGGCGCCGCGTTCTCGAGTCTCGCCGGCTCGGACATCCACTACCTCCTCCACACCCACTGAACCACTCCACACCCACATCTATCAAGTTGCCCCGCGGAACCCCCACCGAGACGCACATTGCTCTTGCTTTGCCACTTCATTCCTCTCCGAGTCATGAGATCATGCTGCAAGTTTAGCACATTTCTCGCGGAGTACGGAGTAGCGAGACCCTTCTCATGAACTCAAGGATAATAGGTGCGCTGCTATCCATATCCCCTGAGTCTCAATCGCAATGCCTTTCCCTCAGGACGTCCCCACCTGTCCTGTTCGTGATTGACTATGGGCTCGAGATGCACATGATGTTGTGAGGCTCTGGAGGGCTGCGACGGAGATGGGGTTTGGGTAGTGAGTGACTGCGCCGCGCTCGAGTGAACATTGCGACTGACCGGCGATCTGTTGCAAGCCTCATGAACCACGGCGTATATGAGCAAGCGGAAGGGATGTTTGCGATGGGCGAGGAGACGATCGCTCTTACCCTCGAGGAGAAGCTCCTCTTTGAGCAGGGAGACGGTAGGCCATGGGGTTTCATTCGGGTACGCTCTCTCGAATCCTTTGCATTTTTCACTCTCCACCGAGGCCGCCGGCGTGCAGTTCACAGACGACAAAGGCACGCGTGACGTCTCCGAGTTTGTCAACATCTTCATTGTCCAAGGACAACGCGCTCGCCTGGCCGGCCGTTGCGCGCCGCACGTACCCCTCCGCTGTCAACGGGCGGATGGAGTCCACCATCACGCCGTTCGTGAAGTCGCCGCTCGTGATCAACCACCACCTCAAGGACAGACTCGGGCTCGCGGGCGGGTCCGCGTCTCTACACAAGGTCGACGAGTTCAGCGGATGCACGGCGCGGTTCATCGGGGCGCCGTCGTATATTGGGCCGGAGGAGACGACATTCCTGACGGTGCACACGGACTTTGGGTCCTTGGTGAGTGATTTGCCTTGTGTCCCCTCGCATTGTACCGACATCGCTCTCCCCAGTCGTTCCTGCACAACCGCCTCGGCGGCTTGCAGGTGCTCCCGCCCGGGTCCGACCAGTGGTTCTACGTTCAGGTCAGTGATCCTTCTCGATTCGCCGCGCTCGTGCTCATGCGGTCGTCCGTCGCCCAGCCACTGCCCAGACACGCGATCTGCAACATCGGCGACACCCTCAACATCTTCTCTGGCGGCACCCTGCGCTCCAACATCCATCGCGTCGTGTGAGTCCGTCCGCGACGTGCCAATGCCCCGCGTCTCACCTTCCCAGCCCGCCTCAGCGGAAGAAGGCCCACGAACGCCACTCGGTTGTGTTCTTCACCCGCCCGAACGACGACCTCGAGCCGCGCACGCGGTCTGCGCACAACGAGCGCATCGCTATAGCGGTCGCGAACGCGCCCTCGAGGAAGTACACCCCTGGCATGACGGCGATGGAGTGGCTTGTGAGGAAGGCCAAGTCGCAGCGGGTGACAAACCACAAGGTGTGTCCTGTTCCGCTGAGGTGCGCTGTTTCCAAGGGTTGACCGTGATTGCCCATCCCTATCCGCATACAGCTCAAACTCTGTGCACTGCGGTCCCAGCCGCACCCGCCCTTTTGCGCGCGCCCCTGAGCAGAGCTGGGAGCGTCGGCAGCCGCAAGACGGGCACCCGACGCACAGCCGGCACGCGAACGACCTCAACGTCGCCGCGGAGGACGCGCTTGCTTGGCCCACGGTCACGCGCCATATGACTACCCCGCCCCGTTGAAAGCGCGCATGGCTCCTTCGTCCGGTGCGCAATCGAGACAAACGGGACGATGCTCGCGATTCTCAACGAATGGCTTGGGCTGCCGTGCAGTACGCCGGTGCAAGCATCGAAAGGAGGAGTGGAGCTGAAGTGAGCCGCGGGTCACGCGGAGCCCACTGCGCGAGCCGTCCGAGGGCACCACTCATACTTTGGCAGCCTGTCGTTCTTGCGTGACTGTCTTGGCGGGCTGCCAGTACGCGGACGTGGCGGTATGTCAAGGTAGGTTTCCCTCGCTCGATCGCGCTGGCATGGAGCTGACGGCCGTCTCGCCGCTATACAGCCTATTCCCAACCACGCGATCTGCAACATCGGAGATGCGCTGACAATCTTCAGTGGTGTCCTTCTCAGGTCCAACCTCCACCGCGTCGTGTAAGTGTCTCGCGTACCCTGTCTTCGCTGACTCGGCTCTGAACAGACCTCCTGGAGAACAGCTGGCGCACTGCGAGCGATACTCCCTCGTCTACTTCACTCCACCCGGAGACAGCGTCCAGACGGCCCCGCCCGCAGATCAAAGCGCGATCATTGCCGACTCTGCGGTCGCCCGCGCTGCGCCGCACCTGCACGAGATTTTCGACCTCACACGAGTGGTTTACGCGCCAGGTGAAGAGCACGCACGTCAACAACCAGAAGGTATGCGCACTGATGAGGACACTTTCGTGCGGCTGACGAACATGCTAATGTGCGCAGGGAACGTACGGCGATGTTTGGAACGCTGCCCGCGAGCCTCACCTAGCTTAAGCATTGGTCTCTTTAGTATCCTGCGTCATGTTGTAGCACTCAGTCGTCGTCGTCTCATGTCAGCTTTCAGCTTGAGCTGTTGCGTTCGACGATCGGCATAACGAAAATTGAACACGGTGACACGCGCTGCCGCCACCCGATCGCGCATCGGAGTGAAGCTGTGAGCCCTCCGGCGCGCCGATTGGAGTCCGAACGTCTTGCGCACAAGCAAAGGTGGTTGCGCCCGTCGGCGAGCACTTGCCACCACGTGCGGCTGAGGCACAGGCGGCCGCGCGCGATCTCGCCGTCGCCGTGCCAACCGCCGCGGAGGGCCCCTTTGCGGCGGTACCAGTAGCAATGCAGATGACTCGTGAAGCGTCACTTACCGCACATCTTTCTAGCCATCCTTCGACCTCTGAGTTGTCGGTGTCCGCGTGGCGGTCGCACACAGTACAGACCTACCGGGCGCCGCCGGACCTAGCTCAAACGAAGCATCTTTATGAGTGGCAGCCATGCGGGAAAGTTTTTAGAATGCATCACATACCACGACGAGATGAAGGGTCTTCGAGCAAAGCGCGGGGACTTCCTCAGGCCAGTGCGTGGCTGATGTCGATGAGACGAGCATGGCAGTAGAGAATACCCTGAGTCAGAGGAGAGGGCGGACGGAGGGGAGCAACGCCATCTGTCCCCATGCTTTTATAATGCTTCACGGGTGGTGGCGGTTTCATCTGATGCAATCACACCTTGCGGAGTGGGCGATTCTGAGATATTTCCAGGGCCATCATTTGCAAGTAGCGCCAAGGCGCGAGCGTCGAAGCAGCACGTACGTCGTGCAGGTCATCAGCGTTTCGCCGAAAAGGTTGTAATGTCCTTGTATATAATGGCTGAATTGGCATGCAATCCATATATTGTATGCCGTGGAGCGCGCATTCGTGTATCCGCTTTAAATATCAAGCGCTTTCCACCATGGCATTACAATGTCGTCACAATGTTCTCACAATGCTCGCAATATTGGCACAATGTACCCAATGGATGACAGGCATTGCGAGGATTGCAGTAAGTCCAGCAATTATGTGGTGTTACAATCTGGCGTGCACATTTTGGTGCGAGTCGGTCATGGGCTGGCATGCTACATTCGGATACGACCTCCGAGGCTCCGACACATTTTAGGCACACGGCATAGCAGATGCTGATGAACAAGCCTCGAATTATTAGGCAAGCTCGGATCTGGTAGAGTAACTAGGTCTCGATCACCGTAGCTAAAGCCGCTAAAACATGGGGAAAGGATGTAATCCCACAAGGGCCCGAAGACGCGCGCTAGGAGCCGCAAGTACTAGGGGAAGTAAGTACTCGTACAGATACTGCCTGTCGCGCGTTCTTCATCCAGTGAGCGGCGGGTACAAGGTTGAGAAATGGGCAGGCTTACTTTGTGGGGGCGCGGGACCCACCTCGGACGCGCGCGCGGCGTTCCGCACGTTGCCCGCCGCGCGCGGAGTGCCGCCACGTTCCCGCTGCGCGCGCCGGGCGCGGCGGCGCCGTCCCCACCCCGTTCGCAGGATGCAGCCAGACACCTTCACGCGGAAGACCGCTGGCACTCGCCCGTCGACCTAACGAACGCGCGCGCCGCGGCGGAAGATGACATCCGCGTGCTCCCCCCGGGACTGCGCGGACGACGGTGCTCAACCTGAGCGGGCTGTGGGGCAGCGCACGCCAGCTGCGCAATTGGGTCTCGCGCGTCGCGATGACTCGCAGGACGCCCTGCAGGCCAAGGTGTGCGCGTCTCCCTGGGCACACACACGGCACAGTACAGTCGCGGGGCACCTGAGGTGCGTGTCGGGGGGAGCTCTGGCATGGCACGACTCGTGATGGGGGTTCAAATGCTTACACCTGGAGGCTTACCAGGTGAGGGAACTGGCACGTCCCTCGCGGCCGGAGCAAGAGCAAGAGCGACAGTGGTCGTGAACGCGATCGTACGTGGCTGCAAATGTGGATGCGCGAGAACCAGAGGGAGGAGTGCTGCGATATAGTCCAGTAAATGTTTGCGTGCGGATAGGGTGATAACATACTTATCTTGAGAGGAGGAAGGCACTCGGACGTGTGGGTGAGACATTGGAGAGGAAGAGAGGGGGTCGCCTTCACAGACCCCTCGCATACCACTCTAAGTACGTGTGCAACACAAGGCACCAACCCGCGGGCGGCGGCAGCCACCGCAAAGCTAAAATGACCGCTAGGCTGAGCAAGCATATCAAAGGAGCAAATAAACTCATAGTGAAACGTACACAGCACCACAGATGAATCCAAGCTAGAGAGATGGGCAGACAAGCTGCATGACACCGATTTTGGTAGAGGTGGAGAGCTTGGGGGTCGATATCGTTGGGGAAAGCTGAGGGAAAAGGCAAAGAAGTGGTAGAGTCGTGCCAGAAGGGAGAGGGTACCGCTGGAAGGTTTGTTTGTTTGTTTGTTTGTTTGTATCCCATTTATCGCCCGTGAGGGCGGAGCCCTATGGTAGGCGGTACGTACGGTAATTACAAAGCGGGGAGGGCTATCGCATACGGGGAGGATTTCGTGTCGACCCTCCGGGGAGGGGCGGGCGGGCCAGGGTGTAAGCCAAAGTAGGGTACATGAGCTCATGTCAGTAGACTAGGAAATGAAAAGAATTGAGGGACGTAAGGTGGGAGACGTTACCGCGGGAGCCGGGACGAAGGGGGTAGTCCGTCAGTTCGAATCATCATAACTAATCTAAGGTGAGCCACGTCATACGCAGGCGCCCTGGAGCAAGGGGGTCGTGACCTTGCGGAGCATAGAGGCGGGTGTGGGGAGGGGTGAAGGAAACGGCCACTGGGACGGGGGAGGAGAGGGGGGATATGGGTGGGATAGCAGGCACAGTAGCGATGGGGCACGACGGGGGTAGGGACGGGTACAGTGAGCACCAGAGTGGGGTCGCGCGGGGGCGCGGGGGCCGCCGAGCGGTGGCGGCTGGGACGCAGGCGGTTATGGAGGTCCGGGGTGTGCGCGCGAGTAGGGGCGACGGCCAGTTGATGGTGGTAGTAGACCGAGGTCGGTCGGGCAATTACCGCTGGAAGGTCGCGGGCGACGACTTGTGTCATGTAGTCGAGTCGCATCATGACATAACCTCGCGGTAACAGGCCTAGCGGACTGCGCCGCCGGGCTGTGCAGACAAGGTGAGAAACAGCGGAGACGGTCCGAAGAAGGGCGCACCTCTCCGTGCTCACGCGCGCAACCGAGAGCAACGACACCAACCTCCCGCGAGCGAAGGGCCCTTCGGCGTTGGCCTGTGCCGGTCGCGGACATTTGGCGGACATCGCGCGGTGCCCAGCCTGTCCTTGAGCGCTTGAGCAGGATGCTCAGCCTGGGCGACTGTGCTTCGCTCACGTGATCAAACCTTTCCGGCATTATTATGTCATGAAATGTTCATAATGCCGATGCACCCATTATAACGATGCCCCTCCTTACAATGTCCTTACAGACGCCTTTCAATCGTCGCGCATTATTTCAAGCGCCGAAATGCTTACCCCGCGGTCCGCCCTTTTGCTGATGGTAGCATCAGGCTTGTAGGTTCTTTTCCAGATACGAGGAAAGTCTCCTAAATATTTGCGAACGCACTCTACGCACTGACAGATGACGAGTGTCTAGACACGCGAAGTCTCGCCTGCAGCGTCCCCTGGGCCCCCGCGCAAACTGAACAGACTCCGGCATACGTCCCACCTGCACGGTCACGCCATCCACCCTGCTCGCTCCCCCTCGACACGAGTAACTCGGGCGGAGATTGCGCCCGAGCCCGATCACGATCGCATCCCGCCGGTATCCCTTCCCGCAGGCTTGACGGTCTGGCGGGAAGCTTGAAGCTTGCTCGAAAGCTTCGCCCCCGTCGGACTAGGCTTGCGCGCTGTGGCAGGCCTCACAGCTAGCGGCGGGCGATCGAGCAGCAGCGCGTCCCGCCCGCCGTCCGGAGCAGGTTCAAACCGATGGGCCGCAGGTTGTTTCGTCGAGCGCTGCACTGCGCTCTAGATCTGTGACCCGCATCCGGAAGAACGAGTCGCCATGGACCGGCGGAGCAGAAAGCCTTGCTCGTTCGTCTCAAACCCTAAGCTCTTGTAATGCTAATCAAACGATCGCCTCTGAACGCAAAAAGGCTGGCGCACCTTGGGACCGATTCTCGCCTCGGCACAGTGCCGTGCACCGCCTCTCCTCCCGCATCCGTACCACCCGCCTTTCGCTCGTCCGGACCCGCACGGACTTGCTGCGGTGCACGTACTCGAGCTCGGTGAGCACGAACCTGGGTCCCTGGCACCGGCGCCCACGACCGGTCCTCGAACACGCGCCGGACCAGGTCGGCCCCGGCGAGCGAGCCGAGAGAGATGGCGTCCACGCGGCATAGGACGAGGAGCGTGCACAGCTCCACCATGGGAGCGGGTGCCCCGTCATGAACATGTGCGTTGCGCTCGTTGGCTCGAGCGGCGCCTCCCGCACGGCGATGTCCACGCGCGCGCGAAACCGGCTGGGAGCGCGGTTAGCGCGGAGAAGCGGAGGGCGGTGAGCGTGGTCTCGAGCACGATATCGAGGTTGACGAGCCACCGGGTCCGTGAGCATGCGCCGCGGCTTGCGATCCGAGATCGGGAACGTGCCGTGGAGCCGCTGAGGATGCGCGCGTGAAATTCGGAGAGCCAGTAGGTGAGGTGGCCGACGGAGGCGCATGAAGAGGCCGGAGAACGCGACCACGTTGGGGGGAAGGCAGACGTTCATCGGAGAATGGTGTGTGCGTCCAAGGATGAAGGTGTTGCCGAGCACGCGCGTGGCCAGGTGTTGACACCCATCGCGAGCTCGGCGAGGGGATGCGGGAGTGGGGAGTGGCTGGCGACCTATGACAGACCCCCGTATATGATGGCGAAGGAGTCGATCCGATTGCGTCTCGTGTAGTGAAGTACCTCGTCAGGGGGCATGAGTGTACCTGTTGGGAATGTTCAGCATGACTAGTGCAACAGCGAGCGAGCGAGCGAGCAACATACGTACGAAAGGCCCCGTCGGATTCTTCCCCGACGGTGTTCAGCAAACAGTTTCACGGCACAGTTGCTTGATGGCCATCTTGGAGGCACGTTGTGGCGCAGAAGGTAGATGATGGTGGTCATGGGATCATGGGTGTAGTGCCTGGTCCACGTGCGTTAGATAAAGCCATAAAGGAGACAGACGTCGACTTACAGAACGTTACTCCTCCGCATCCGCGTGAAGTGGGAGGGGAACGCCTCTAACCGATTCGAATCACCCATATGCATCTTCATCAGCTCTTCCAAAAGCCCGCCATCGACGAATTAGATGGCCATCTTCGACTGTATGGCCCTGAATGCGCCCGGCGGAGATGTGTCCGACGGAGAGCACAGCGCGCCAGTGGGAGCACTGTGTGATGATGACGGTGCGCGCGGCGAGACGATGGACGGTCTGGAGGGGTGTTGACGGAAACGTCTGTTCCCGTACGTTGGGGATTAAGAGGTTGGAGACGTGGAGGACGGAGAGCCGGAGGTCGGAGGAGAGGGAACGTCTGGCGGATGGGGCGCAGCGGCATTGCGGCAAGCAACAGATGGAATCCTGGGAGCCGGGTCACCGCGTTGCGTACTTGTGGGCGCAATCCCACAGACTGGCCCGCGTGGGACGGCGTTGAGGGAACGGGCTCAGAGGGCGGCCGCTCCGGAAGGTTCCACACCGCGCTACGGCCGTGCTGGGACACGTTTTGGGCACGGCCAGCATCGGGATTCAGCGGACGCTTCCGCTCTCGTGTTCACGGAATACGGGGCCGGACGAGTCTTCAGCGACGCGCAGTTCGCGAGGCATCGCCGCTGTCCATCGATGCGGGTGTACTCCGTCGACCTTGGGCGCGAGGGATTTGCGATGGCACGTGGTCGAGTTGTGCAATTCAAGCAATTGGTGCGGCCAGCCTGTCGGGGTGTGTGGCTCATGCAGCCGCGTCAACTTCTTCTTTCCACTCGCGCGGTCCCGCGGCCTGCGTATGAAGTTGCCGTCGTAGACTAAATGGCGGACCACGAGACGACGGTCTTGAATGTGGCGGGCATCGCAGACGCTGAGAAGTGATGTTTTGAGCAACGGTGGGCGAGGCTTCAACGTTCAACAGCCGCACATACCTGGCAGCGCACTGGTTTGGTCCTCCGGAATTTATCGTTCCATCCACATCTTCATATCTGCACGCGAGCGCGTCTTGAGCCTGAACTTGCGCGAACCGCACCATAGAGCATGTGTCTTGCGTCTGTGGGACGTCGTCAGGACCGTCGCCATTCCTCCTCGAGTCCCTCTGGCATGTATTGAGCTCATACAGAGCTCCTGAAATGGCATAGTTCAGCATCACTTGTCCACAGAACAAGGATGCTAGCCCCCTGTCCGCCACCAGAGTGCTAATTCCTCCAGAACACTACCCCAGTGCCATCTACCCTCCAGAAACATGCTACGGCCGTCGACGCCTTCCATATTGCGAGTGCATCGCGGTGGGGGCATCGAAGGGACGCACCCGAGCGAGAGACGCGGGGAGGAACGCAAGAGCGAGGGCGTGAGCTGACGTACCGGCATGCCCCATCTCCTCTAGACCTGTCTGCGACGTCGTGCGGGCGAGCGAGCGAGGGCGGATGTGCGGCGACGAGTGCGCAGACGCGGCGGCGACGACCGGATACGGCGTTTATCCGGGCCGTCGTGCCATCTGAGCGATGACGTCAGCGACCGGCGTCAATGCGTCTGCCGAGTGCCTGCTGCCACGCTGACTCTCATAGCATTTTGTGACTCTCGCGATTGCTGCAGACTGCTACATTTATTGTCGATACGTGGTACTACATTGGATATCAAGTTACTCCCCTGTCGTCTGTAACCGTGCCCCTCTGCCGTCCGTCGCCGGAGTGCGTCTCCGAGACGCTCCGCTCCTCCAACAGCACGCACGCGGGGCTCACAGAGTGGCCGGAGTCCGCTGCGCGGGGCACAAAGGGCGACGCGAGGCGATGGAGGGAGCGGCGAGGGCGCGTGGGCTGCGGCCGCGAGGGGCTGGGAGAGACGGGCCCGCTGAGGACGCAGATGTGGATGCGCGCGCAGGGTGCTTCGCATGCCATGCCGCTTCTCGTCGATAACCATCAAAGAGCCCATTGGCGATCGCGTGATGAGCAAGAGGCTCCAGCAGAGGCTCATCCGCTGCTTGCGCATGTCCTCGATCACATGCCGGGTTGGCTTGGAGTCGTGCGTCGACAGCGCCAGCGGCGACGAGTCCGAGTGCAGCCTGCGCGGGTCGGGCGACGCTTCTGCGACGTGCGTCGTGCCGTCGGGCGAGGGGCGGCCACCGGAGTTCTGGGACGCCTTCCGCGGATTGTTGGCGTTGGCGGAGAAGGGCAGAAGCGGGGCAGGAAGGGCCCGCGGCAGCGGCGAGCACTGGAGGGGGGCGAGGGCGAGTGCCCCTCCTTCGACGAGTGGACTTCGGACCACCAGGAGTGGACCCGTTGCGGCTGGGCGGCGAGCGACAGGTCCGAGGACAAAGATGCTTCGGCCTGCGGCGGTGTCGAGGAGCTAGAAGCCGTATCGCTCGCTGACGGCACGGGCGGTGTCGACGAGGGACGGGAACCTGAGCTCGTCGACGTCGATTGCAGGACGTTGACGCACAACCTCCCCGTCCTTCCGATGACGGAGCTCGGGAGGCCGTCCGACGCGCTCATCTCTGGCGAGCTTGGCCGCCGGACGGGAGTTCGCGTGTTCCCACTGCTCCGACCCGCGGAGCCGCCGCTGTTGCCAGCGCTCGAACACGTGTGGCTGGTCCCCGACGGGCAGAGCGGGGCATCGTCTGCGCGGAGGGTAGCCGGCAACACGCTCATCGCTGCGCGACGGACCCCCCCACGGGCCCGGGCGAAGCCTGCAGTGTCGGGGACCGGACCGCGTCGGACGAGCGCGGCAGCGTGTGGGGCGTGGAGGCGACAGGGGGCGGACGGGAGCGGGCGTCGACATCCATGAAGTTCGAGGTGAAGCCGGCGACAGGGACACCAACTTCGCAGTCGCCGACAGAGACCGGAGCCGTGGGCTGTGCGTCGTCCCTTCGTCACCGTTGGGAAGTTGGATGGAGCCGGGGGATCCGCGTTGCTGGGGGCGTCGCTGGGGACGCTGGTGCATCTGCGTTGCTCGTCGGACACACTTCAGTGGCCCTGATCTCCGACGCGGCTTGCGAGATGACAAGGTCGTCGACATAGGCCTCCTTGTGCTTCTGCATCTTGCCGCGGACGGCGTCGATGGCGATGAACACACTAGTCCGCCGGACTCCGGATGAGCAGTGGAGGAGCACGGGGGTGTTGTCCTTCGCAAGTATCGCAACGCGAGTAGAAGCCTCGACTTCTTCCGCGGCACAGTCCTTGTACGAGACGATCGTCTTGCCATGTGCACGTGGGAGGCTCTTGGCAGTAGACTGGCCGAGCGGTCCTTCGTCCCGTGGGGTTGACCGGTCGAACAGGCATGTTCGACGGTGTTGCTGTGCGACAGAGGCCGAGGAGCGGAAGGCAGTGAAGATCTCCCCAAGAGCGGGCGAGGATAAGACCCCGGAGCAGCCGCAAACGCGAGAAGTTACGATTGCGCAGAGAGAATCCTGCGACATCGATGATCCGTGCTCGAGCTGCCAATAGGGTCCTCCGCGCGAGTCGTTGGTTCACTGCTGTCAAGAATGTTGGACATCTGTTATCTTCGATGTTAGAAAGTGCATGGAAAATCAAAAAAAGCGAAACAACGCACCGCGGCTTGGTTGCAAGCAGGATTGTCTCCGTTATAGACCAGTACTCGACCTCGGGAGGCGAGAAGCAATAGGTGGGGACGCGTGGAACACATCGTTGTCCCAACGGGCTGGAATAGAATCATCGTCAGCACGAGTGAATCCATGTGATCGTAGCACAATACACACCTCGGTTGCGCGAAGTCGAAGCGCGACAAGCCCTTCTGCTACCTTTGACTGCCGTTCCCTCTTCAGGTTGAGCCGTTAAGGGAGCCATGGGAGCGTCGGCACGCCTGCTCGTGGGCAGCCTACACAGCTACATACTCTCGTCCGCGCGCGAGACCCCTTAGCAAGTGAAGATTCGCCGAAAAAGACCCGTCAGCTACCGCACTACATCGAAGGGGAGCGCCGGCTGCGGTGCGGGGTAACCAGAAGAATGACCTGAACTCACCGTTAACACTGGGTCGCTTCTCGAGCGCAGCCACCAGGGGTTCCCAATCGACGTACACGTTGAACAGGTCGACGCTCATGAATGTTGACAACGTCTTGTATTTCGATGAGGCATTGAACATGCGCCGCGACGACTGACATCGCCTGCCGACGGTGACCAAACTATGAATGAGGGAGAACGCGCACGTCTGAAAGGACGCGGCGATTGTGACGGTAAGCAGTCGACATCAACCACAGGGCAGGGTAGGCATTGATCGCGGTGTGGGGAGAGGGCGCAGCTGTGGACTCACCCTTGGCCTCAGCCACCGCCAACCGTACGCTCTCGCTCGGAATTCCCAGTTCGTCGTGCGATTGCGGAGAGTGGGTGTTCACCGACGAGGCGGCCGACAGTCCTGAAGGCCTGAACGGCACCGGAGTTCAGAGGGCCTGACAAAGAATGAAGACAATGGCAGATACGTACCGAGCTAGATTCGATGACAGGTGGCGAAGGAGCCTCTGCTGTCAAGGGCCAGCGAGATGGCTGGACCGCCTGTTCAGTATCTGTGGACGCAACGATACGCAGACTGCTAAAAGAACGCACCCTTTGAAGGCGACTCATGCTGGTCTCACAGGGTTGACCACGCGAGGACCGCCGAAAAGAAACGAGAGCGCGTCGCCCGCGTCCAGGGAAGAGGCGTGAGGGTGTGGACGAAGAGCAGGAGAGAGCGTAGCACCTGCGCCTCCAGCCTGCGGGTGTTCCGGCGTCCGGGGCTCGCCGGTCCGCAGGGCCCAAACAGGCGCGTCGTCATCGGCGCTTGCAGATTGTCCTCTGCGTGCCGTGCGCACGGCGACGCCCATCTCCGTGGGCAGCGTCTCGAGACGGAGGACGAAGACGGGGTGTGCGTTGCGCGCCCGATGCGCTCCGCGAGCTCGTACATATCGCTTGGTGCCGACTCCTGCGCATTTCCGTCCCCCTCCGGATCCTGGGCGGCGCGGACGTCCTCGCCATGTCTTCTTCCCCATCCTATTGGCTACGCCGCGCCTGGTCAGCCGCGCCCGCTCCACCTGAACGGTCCCGCCTTCCACGCATTTCGCTCCGCCGCCTTGAGTCCGTCAATCCGCCGCAGCACCGTGTCCACGGGCATCGCGGGGGATAACACCACGATCCGCTTCGGCACGAGTGACTCGGGCTCGAACTTCTCCCACTGCGACGTCAACGAACGCCGCGGGAACAGAAGACGATATATCGCTCATGAACGCCTGGAGCAAACGAGGAAGAGACGGCCGCCGATACCGACAGAATGCGGACCGTGGGCTGGTTGGCACTGGTGCCTGCGTTTCCAGCCAATTGCGTCCCCCGCAAAACACGCGGCGCATATCGTCTACGGAAGCTCCCCTCGAAGTTCTCCATCCGAGTCTAGAGCCGCACCACGACCGAATGCTCGTTTCTCGCTGTTTCGACTCTGATTCCGGAACCCTCTGTTCGGCACGTCCTCCTGGACATGCGTTATCGTCCGCGTGGTCGAGCGCACCGCGGTGATCATGTGAGTCTGCAGCTCGCTCCTCACTTCCTTCCTGCGCTCAAGGTGCTACTCCGGGATATTGATGCCCGCTGCCCCGCTGCTCTTCAGTATCATGGATCTTGCTATTCACGCGGACGTGCTCTTGTGACCGACTGAGGTTGCGAAGATCATCGGTGCAAACATCTCCGCAGCGATGCTTCTGTGCACAACCCTCCTGGGGTCATCGGCAACGCGGCGGGGCACTGCCGCGGACCTGCCTGAACCCTCGTTGCAACGGTATGTTTTGTGCATGCCTGGACCAGCTGACTCATTTGTCTCAGGGGTGTTCATCTCCGCTCAAACCAGGGCTGTGCGGCTGGGAGATCTAGAACATCGCGCTTGTCCTTCCTGGAGTCGGCGTCGAGCTGCTTTCCGATCCCCCGCTTCGCCCACCACTGGCATATGGTGCCCATTCGCGCGCATACACTTTCATTTATAACGAGCGCGACTGAGACACTCGTGGTTACTGAAGTCTACTCCGGCGATCCAAGCGTCGGCGAACATCTGCGTATCGGACTATATCATGTACCTCGCGACGAATGACATACCTCTCAGCTTCGCCCAAGGGTGAACACGCACGTTATCAGAACCTGACATTTTCGTGGCAGGGAAGGTCATCTCGCCCTAGGTAGCGCGAAGCCTGCCCACACTGTGTTCGCTTTCATTTCTCAGCAGAAGCATCGGAAGTGCTCCGAGGCTATCGCATGCATGTTCCGCACGGCGGAGCGTGCGGTCGGTGTATGAGACCGGGGTCGCCCTTGCAGCAACTTGGCCTCTTGCGTCTCGCCCTCAGCCCTCGACCCATCTCACGTCTCCTCCCGTCCATCTTGTGTCTCCTCCCAGCCATCGACATCCTCTGTGAACCCAAGTACCGCAAAACCCATCGACCGTCTTGGATACTCTCATCGTACGTCCCCTCTTCTGATGCTTTGTATCGCATTTTCTCATGCTCCCCAAGTTTCTGTACCCCTCCCGCAAATTGTGCACATCACCTCTCACCCGGTATTCGTGCTTACTCTCGCGTGACATACATGTGCTAATATTCGTGATAGAAGCGATGTGGCTCCTGGGCACCGCGCGCGCGAACCTCGTCTTCTTTCCCCAACCTGAGCGCGTTTCTGGAGGCTATGCCATCCTGTCGCACACCTGGGGGGAGGAAGAAGATACGTTTCAAAAGGTTCAAAAGCTGAACGTAGAATCCAACAGCACCTTCTCCCCGGAAGACCAACATCCCTTGCCTCGAACCGAGCTCCGATCTCTAATTTCTGAAGCAGTCTCAAGGGAATCTGCGGCTCGCAGAGACTTGGAAGATGCTCTCCATCGGGTGGAGTCCCAGATCATGCAGATACTTCAGTTGACTCCTCCTTGCCGTACCAATTCCTCCCCCGTAGTCTGTGATTCTACCGAAGGGAATCGAGCATCCGATACCGTTGAATGCGAGCCAGGTCAGTGTAATCAAAGCTCACTTATCCTCCGAGTCGGCGCTGACATACGACTCGACCCAAGGCCGCTCGATACATTCAGACCCACGTGCCCCTGCGATACCGTTTTCCCCTACTCCTACACCCGTCAAAGGACTCGCTGAGCCACACCGGTCGTCACCGCCATGGTTCAACCCACGCGATCGCCTCACTTCAAAAGTTCGATCATTCCTTGAGCTCGCCGAACGGCACGGGCATGAGTACGCTTGGGTCGACACATGCTGTATCAACAAGGAGAGCAGCGCCGAGCTCTCGGAAGGCATCAATTCCATGTTCCGCTACTACGCCGTCTCCGCCATCTGCTACGTCTATCTCAGCGACGTCGAATACTACTCCGGCGCTCGTTCACGTCCCATGTGGAACGTCTTCCTAAACAGCCGCTGGCACAAGCGGGGCTGGACTCTCCAAGAGCTCATCGCGTCCCGCATCCTCGTGTTCTATTCCAAAGAGTGGATCTCTCTGGGCACCAAGTACGAGCTTGCCGATCGCCTTGAACGGGCAACTGGAATCTCCGCGGCAGTCCTCCGCTTCGAGAGCCCGTTTACTGACGCGAGCATCGCGACGCGCATATCCTGGGCGGCGCATCGGGAAACCACGAGGCCAGAAGACGCTGCCTACAGCCTCTTCGGGCTTTTCGGGGTCAACATGCCGACGCTCTACGGCGAAGGGCAACACGCATTCTGCCGGCTCCTCATGGAGATCTCGAAGACGTCGCGGGATCCTTCAATTTTTCTCTTGGGAGAAAGATGGAATCTGCGGAGGGTGGAAGACCTCAAAGTGGCCCTCCAGGAAATGCCCCAAATCGGAACCCGTCGTCATCTTCTCCCCCTTCAGCCTTCGCCGACCTTTAGCCGATTCAAACCTATTCCTAGGGTAATCAGATACGAACTCAGAGCCCGCTCGCAGAGAGGACAAGATGAGGTACGCTGGTATGGATGCCATTCTACGCTGTACTACATTGACGACCATTTTAGCACAGCTCGATTGCAAGCACGACCACAGAACTCCGTGCTCCCACGTTTTCCGTGTCACCAGGCGGGATCGAGCTCCACGCGGCTGTTCTGCCTCTGGATGATACACATAGATTCCTCCTTGTCGACTTATTCTGCCGAGATCCCGACCCCGTCTTCCTCTTGCTTGAAAGGGTGGATGACAAGCTCAACGCTCACGCTGCTCCGCTATACCAGCCCACAGAGAGACCCGTTGTGTCGCTGCGGGAATCACGCACGGCGATCGACTCACATGGCTGGAAGATGACCGATCTCCGCGTTGTAGCTCTCCCGCCGTACACCGGCGGCCTCTCCGAGGGCGAAACCGCAGGGATGGAGTCGCTGAGGCGCTTCTGCGAAGCCACCACTACCGGCTCCCCCTTTCACCTTGTCTTTCGCGACTTCCTCCGGCTCCCGAACATTGACATGAACAGAAGCACCCTGCCGTCGCCTTGTTCCACCGAAGACGTCTCCCTTTTTTTTACTCGCGGCGATCGTCTAAGGCTCGTAGTCGTTCTTGGGACATGCTCTCGTACCGAGTCCGCCATCGACAACCGTGACCCACGCTCATCCAGGCCAACCTGGTCGTCCCGGATCGCCACGGAGACGCCAAGTCCGGGCATACCACACCGACAACACTTCTGCATCTTTCACGACGGTGAAGGAGCCACGGCTGCTGCGGCTGTACATTCGTGCGAAACGGATCATATCGACATGGACGGACCATGGCCAGTGGAGCGCCGAGCGCAGTCGGGGTATTGGGAAGTTGTGTTATCGTTCTCTCCCAGTCCGTTGGGTAGAGAAACGCTGCAAGTGAAATTCCGCATTGTCCTGAAGTATGGAAGGTAGACGAAGAAATTGATTTGTGTACAGCTTCAGGTCTGGTGGTACGAGACGTAGAGCGCCGCCTATTGTAAATATCACCGCACATTTTCTGGAGCCAACCAACAGTTACATCTATCGATAGCACCGCGCATAGAACGGTCGTGACGATGCTGTTGCACGCTGATGCGGCGCCAACAGCGATCTCGCGTATCCGCGAGGTTCGGGACATTGGTTGAGGTGAAAAAGAAGCAAGGTACGACGCCCCGCGTGGAGGCCGAACGCGCGACGCGCGAAGTGGACGAGGACGGGGAAATAGACGCGGGGAGGCGAGCTCGCGCACACGGGCTGGCAAGATGAAGGACGCGAGGGAGAGATTCAGGAAGGGGTCTTGGGCGTGCGCGTTGGCAAGGTCGAGGTGTAGCGAGAAGAAGTCGAGGCGAAGCTGGATGAGCCCACCACACACGCGAGAATAGGGGGAAAGTTGAGTCATAGCCTACATACATGCAGCGCGCGCGGCGCGAGGGAGTATCTGGGAGAAGATACTGTACCGAAGTCAATTATAAATCCGAGGCGCTGGTGACACTGCGGAAGAAGCTAGGGAGAGCGTGGAGATGGATGGAGGTGGACCAAGACAGAGAGAAATGAAAAGGGGACGAAGAAGGTGAATATTCCGGATCGTTTTATAGGCAATAAAGTGATTAAAGGACGTACGATGACGGCTACGGGGTACCATTGCGAGAGGGAGAGGGCGCCGCGCCGCGGGTAGTGGTGATCGAGTGCGCGCGGTGTAGACCGCGAGAGTGCACGAAGGACTCCGCGGTGCGTTCGCATGCGTCGCGTCTTGACAGCTCCATGAGCTATGCGTACGAAATATTCATAAGATATCTGCGTGCGGGTCCCGATATGTGCGCGAGGCGGAATAGACGATATGCGCGAAGACGAGGTCCGAACGCGGAGATTATCGCGAGGGCGCTAGGCTGGTTGAAGATGTTGTGTTCGTGCGCCTGCACCGTACGGCGACAGCGCGAGGGTATCAGTTGATAGGCCCGTTATACGGAGGTATGATGGTGAGTACGAGACAAGTCCGATGATTTCCAGTACACCCACTTACAACCCAAGCAGCACTCAGGACCGCGCGCACTGAGAACCGTGTTCTCAAGAGTGGATGACCCCGCTGTGCGAGTTCTGTTGTCAGTTCTCCATCTGTGTCGCTGACATCTGCCTATTCTCACCATTGTAGTAGTATACTCGGCCTCCTGATCTTCTATCAACACGGGCACGTCCGCTTCAAAGAGATCGAGAGCACGCGGCTGCCGGCGCGAGCGCGCGATGCGCCATCCACTGTCTCCTCTGCGTACAAGCCTGTTGGCTTGGGGCCTATGCGACGGGATTAGTGGTGAGCGAACGCGCGATATCCCATCTTACCTCAACGCGTGTGCTATGAACCCAATGCTCACACATCCCAGTTCGTCGTACGTCTCTCCTTGTCTGTTCCATGACATTGTCCCCTGGTGCCGATGAAACGCTCACGTGTACTGCGCACCAGCAATGATGAAAGGTACCGCACTCGTCCAAACCCGTATCCGCGGACGAGGTTCAGGGTACGTCGCAGGTCGGGTAAGGGCATGCTCCGTTTGCCCATACCCTAGGCATGATCACACCGGAGTACGTGCACACCAGGGCAGCTTGGATCTCGGTGCGCTCCGTCGGGTCTGAGGTGGCGTTGAGCTGGGCAAGAAGCATAACCGGGCGGAGGTCCCACGCAATGGTCGCGTCGTGGATGTCGAAGAGGGTGAGGCGACTGGCGTGTTCTTTGGTCGTTGCCGGGACGCTGCTCCGAAGACGACACGGTTTGTAGATAGGTCAGTGCACTGTATCAAACGAACGTATCTCGGAGTACGTACCATCTAGGCCAACACCTCCAAAAAAGAACCCAAGCTCGGAGAGGCGGTCCACGGGCAAACTCCCGATGTCCAACATCAACTACATGGTCCGTCCCGGTCTATCAATTTTGCGTGTCAGTTACAGGACAAACACCGCGGACGAATCCCGCCTACTGGGACGAATTCTTGGGTGGGATTTCTGCAGAAGAGAGGATGAGTCGCCGATGACCGCTTCCAAGGAAAGGTCAAACGTACATCGGGTTGTAGAAAATGGGGAGAGCGCCCTCGGTTCCGCGGGCCGTCTCTCTGCGCAATCTCCAAGCTGGGGCAGCATGCCCGTCCACTCCTTCCAGATGCGAGGACACTCGTCTGAAGACGCGCCCTGCTTGAAAACTGGGTGTCAGCACGTATAAATCCTCCCGCATCCTTATTCAACCGCATATACTCACCTTTGAGTATAGATGAGAAGGGCACGCGTCCAGATCCGTCACCCCGTTTCCCAGCTCGAATCTGTGTCAAGCACTGATTAGGGAAATGAGCGCAGAACATACTTGGAAAGCGCGAAGGGTGTGGAGAGAGATCCGGTGGCCTCGACAGGGTATTCTCAAGAGAATTGAATAGGCGGCACTCACGTGAGGTGGAGTCGGAGTGAGCCGCCCGAGGGATCGCGCATGACATCGATCGCTGTCAAGAAGAGCCAGGAAGGGCAGCTGGTACGGTGTCGGGTGCCACGGGAGAATGCGAGGGAAGCCGTCGAGCGCGACGACGTCCGCCCGCGGCATCGGCGGTGGGTACGTATATATACAGCTCGAGCGTGAGCATGCCGAGGGCCGGGCAGACAGCCTCCTCCGCGTCCGGCTCCGCTCGCGCCGCGCGCAGGCATGCGACGGTGGCCGCACCCGCTAAGACTCGGTGAGAGATTCGAGCGCTGTACTTGAGGAGTGTGGCGAACGCGGGCTCGGCGTCGGTCCAGAGGCAGAGGCGCAGCGCGAGCGCGGAGGGGAGACCGCGCTCGGGCCAGCGCGCGGGGAAGGCGTGCGTGTCAGGTGTGCGGTCGCGGAGGACGTGTCACCACAGGCGGCCACAGCCGGAGGTGGAGGTGACGACTCGAGTGAGGTCGTCATGTGAGGCGTCGAGGCTCACGCGCGTGGGCGCCGGAGACGCGTCGAGATGGTGGTGAAGGGCCAGGAGAGCAGCCGAATGCGCCCGGCGGAGAGGTGCCCGCAGGGAGTCGAGGTGGAGGGCGTCGAAGAGACGGCGCGCTATTGGGAGCAGCGCGTGACGATGACGGTGTGCTCGGCGGGAAGATGCACGGTCGGGAGGGACGTCGAGGGGAACGTCTTTTCCCGTGCGTTGGGAATCAAGAGGATGGAGCCGTGAAGGACGGAGAGCCGCAGGGTGGCAGAGAGGAAGTCCGGCGGTTGGGGCGCGACAGCGAGCAGCAGGCGGGAGCCAGGTCGCGCTGGGTGCTTGTGGCCGTAATCCCACGCAGACTGGCCCGCGTGCAACGTCGTCGAGGGGAGTAGCAGCGGTCGCTCCAAAGGTTCGTCCACAATGCACTGCGCTATGACCGTGCTCGCACATGTTTTGGGTACGGCCGGCATCGGGATTCAACGGAAGCCACCGCTCTCGTGTTCGCGGAACGTAGGACCGGGTCCGAGTTTTCAGCAACACGTAGTTCGCGAGGCGTCGCCGCTGTCCGCGGGTGTACTCCGTCGACCTTTGCGGAGGGCGCGAGAGCTTTCCGATGCCACATGGTTGAGTCGTGTGCTCGTCAAGGAGCTCGTGCGGCCAGCCTGTCGAGGGTTGCGGCTCATGCGGCCGTGTCATATTATTTCCACTCGTGCAGTCCTGGGCCTGCAGCCTGCGTTGTGCTGTAAGAAGTATGCGTAGTTGTGGCGACGAAGTACCTGAATGCGGAGGGGGACGTCAGCTAAAACAAGTCCGAGCTGATGGTGCCACAGACATATATGCATGTTTGCCATCGACACAGAAGCGCACCTTGCAAGGCTGATGAACAAATTGAAAGATTGTGGCTTGCACACAAGCGACGAGTCAGACCGGATCGCTTACATCAGCCCTCGGGCGCGTTAGCGCCGCTTTCTCGAGTCTCGGCTCGGACATCCACTCTCTCCTCCACACGCACTGAACCGCTCGACACCCACATCTATCCTACCCCGCAGAACTCTCACCGAGACGCGCCTTGCCCTTGCTTCACCGCTTCAGTTCTCTCCGAGCCATGAATAATGCTGCGACTTTAGCACATTTCTCGCGGAGTACGGAGTGCCGACACCCGTCTCATAAACTCAAAGGGCATAGGTACGCTGCGATCCATACTCCCTGAGTCAGTGTCGCGGTGCCTGGTCTGAAACACTACCCGACTTTCCCTTAGGATGTCCCCACCTGTCTTGTTCGTGATCGACTGTGAGCTCGAGATGCACATGAGGTTGAGAGGCTCTGGAGGGCTGCGACGGAAATGGGGGTTTGGTAGTGAGTGACTGCGCAGTGCTTGAGTGAACGTTACGACTGACCGGCGATCCGTTCCAAGCCTCATGAACCACGGCGTATATGAGGAAGCGGAAGGGATGTTTGCGATGGGCGAGGAGGCGATCGCTCTTACCCTCGAGGAGAAGCTCCTCTTTGAAGCAGGGTGACCAAGGCATTTTGTTCGGGTACGTTCTCTCCCACCCCCTTGCATTCGTACTCTCCACCGACCTCCGCATCGACACAGCTACAAGGCCGCCGGCGTGCAGTTCACAGACGACAAAGGCAGGCGCGACGTCACCGAGTTCGTCAACATCTCCAAGGACGACGCGCTTGCCTGGCCGGCCGTCGCGCCCCGCACGTACCCCTCCGTCGTCAACGCGCGGATGGAGTCCACCATCACGCCGTTCGTGAAGAAGTTGCTCGCGATCAACAATAGTCTCATCGGCGTCCTCAACGACAAGCTCGGGCTCCCTGCGAGCGCGCTCGCGTCTCTGCACAAGGCCGAGGATTTCGGCGGATGCATGGCGCGGTTCCTCAGGGCGCCGCCGTATTGGGCGCTTGGTGAGTGATTCGTCGTGTGCCCTCTCGCGTTGTACCGAAATCGCTCTCCCCAGTCGTTCCCGCACAACCGCCTCGGCGGCTTGCAGGTGCTCCCGCCCGGGCCTGACCAGTGGTTCTACGTCAAGGTCAATGTTCCCTGTCGCTTCACCACGGTAGTCCGACTGTCCGTCGCCCAGCCCCTGCCCGAACACGCGATCCGCAACATCGGCGACGCCCTCAACATCTTCTCCGACGGCATTCTGCGCTCCAACATCCACCGCGTTGTGTAAGTCTGTCCACGACGTGCCATCTGATACCCCGCGGCTCACACCCTTCCCAGCCCGCCTCCGCGGGCCCAGGCCCAGTACAAGCGCCACACTGTCGTGTTCTTCACCCGCCCGAACGACGCCGTGGAGCTGCGCGCACTGTCCGCGGAGAGCGAGCGCATCGCTGCGGCGGTCGCCAATGCGCCCCCCGGGAAGTACGCCCCTGGGGTGACGGCGATGGAGTGGCTTGTGAGGAGGGTCAAGTCGCAGAGGATGACAAACTACAACGTGTGTCCTGTTCCGCCGATGTGCGTTGTTGCCAAGGCTGACCGTGATTGCCCATCCCATCTGCATACAGCTCAAACTCTGTGGACTGTGGTCCCAGATGCACCCGCTCTTTTGCGCGCCCCCCTGAGCAGAACTACAAACGTCTGCGGCCGCGAGATGATACACCCGACGAACAGCCGGCGGGCGAACGACCGAGTTCCTCGCCGTCGCCGCGGAGGACGCGCTTGTGTCCCATGGTTCCGCGCCATATGCCTACCCCGCCCCGGTGAACGCGCGCATGGGCGACGCGGTGGGCCCCTTCGTCCGGCGCGCGATCGAGGTGAACGGGACGATGCTCGCGATTCTCAACGAGAAGCTCAGGCTGCCGCGCAGTACGTCAGCATGCAAGCATCGGAAGGAGGAGTGGGGCGGGAGCGAGGTGCGGGTCACGCGGAGCCGGCCGCGCGAGCCGTTCGAGGGCACCGACGAAGCCAAGGCGACGCTCACCGCTCATACCTACTTTGACCACCTGTCGTTCTTTCGTGACTGTTTTGGGGGGCTGCCGGCACGCGGACGTGGCGGTATGGCAAGGTAGGTATCCTTCGCACGATCGCGCTGGTATGGAGCTGACAGCCGTCTCGCCGCGATACAGCCTGTTCCCAGCCACGCGATTGGAGATGCGCTGACAATCTTCAGTGGTGGCCTTCTCAGGACCTCCAACCTCCACCGCGTCGTGTAAGCGTCCCGTCACACGCGTACCCTGTCTCCACTGACTCGGCTCTGAACAGACCTCCTGGAGAACAGCTGGCGCACTGCGAGGGATACTCCCTCGTCTACTTCACTCCACCCCAGACGGCCCCGCCCGCAGATCAAAGCGCGATCATCGCCGATGCGGTCGCCCGCGCCGCGCCGCACCCGCACGAGATCTTCGACCTCACTCGAGTGGTTCACGCGCCGGGTAAAGAGCACGCACGTCAACAACCAGAAGGTATGCGCACTAATGAGGACACACTTGCGTGCGGCTGACACACATGCTAATGTGCGCAGGGAACGTACGGCGATGTTTGGAACGCTGCCCGTGAGCCTCACCTAGCTTAAGCATTGGTCTCTTTAGTATCCTGCGTCATGTTGTAGCACTCGGTCGTCGTCGTCTCATGTCAGCATCTTTCAGCTTTCAGCTTGAGCTGTTGCGTTCGATGATCGGCATAACTCGAACACGGTGACACGCGCTGCCGCCATCCGATCGCGCATCGGAGTGAAGCTTTGAGCCCTCCGGCGCGCCGATTGGAGTCCGAACGTCTTGCGCACACGCAAAGGTGGTTGCGCCCGTCAGCGAGCACTTGCCACCACCTGCGGCTGAGGGACAGGCGGCCGCGCGCGATCTCGGACGCCTCTAATATCGTGTCTCGTTGTGGTCGTCGCCGTGCCAACCGCCGCGGAGGGCCCCTTTGCGGCGGTAGCAGTAGCAATGTAGATGATCCGTGTGAAGCGTCACTTACCGCACATCTTTCTAGCCATTCTTCGACCTCCGAGTTGTCGGTGTCCGCGCGGCGGTCGCACACAGTGCAGACCGAGCGAGCGCCGCCGGACCTGGCTCAAACGAAGCATCTTTATGCATTATGAGTGGCAGCCATGCGGGAAATTTTTTAGAATGCATCACATACCACGACGAGATGAAGGGTCTTCGAGCAAAGCGCGGGGACTTCCTCAGGCCAGTGCGTGGCTGATGTCGATGAGACGAGCATGACAGTAGAGAAGACCGTGAGTTAGAGGAGAGGGCGGATGGAGGGGAGCAACCCCATCTGTCCTCATGCTTTTATAAGGCTACACGGATGGTGGCGGATTCATCTGATGCGATCACACCTTGCGGATTGGGCGATTCTGAGACATTTCCAGGGCCATCATTTCGCGCCACAATGGACGAACAAAACAATTGCAAGTAGCGCCAAGGCGCGAGCGTCGAAGCAGCACAGTCATTGAATGGCGCCAAGCTTGTGGGTTCTTTGTGGCCAGATACGAGGGAAGTCTCCTATATATTCGCGAACACATTCTACGCATTGACAGATGACTAGTGTCTAGACACGCGGAGTCTCGCCTGCAGCGTCCCCCGCGCCCCCGCGCAAACTGAACAGACTCCGGCATACGTTCCACCTGCACGGTTACGCTGTCCACCATGCCCGCTCCCCCTCAATATGAGTAACTCGAGTGCCAAGTATCCAAGACACCGGTGGCGGCAGAGGGAGAAGGCGGAGATTGCGCCCGCGCCCGCCGCCGCCCGATCACGATCGCATCCCCGCCGGTATCCCTTCCCGCAGGCTTGATGGTCTGACGGAAAGCTTGAAGCTTGCTCGAAAGCTTCGGGTGGGCCCCCGTCGGACTAGGCTTGCGCGCTGCAGGCCTCACAGCTGGCAGCGCGCGATCGAGCAGCAGCGCGTCCCGCCCGCCGTCCGGAGCAGGTTCAAACCGACGGGCCCGGGGCCCCAGGTTGTTTCGTCGAGCGCTGCGCTGCGCTCGAGATCCGCGACCCGCACCCGGAAGAACGGGTCGCCTGAAGCCTCATGGACCGGTGGAGCAGAAAGCCTTGCTCGTTCGTCTCAAACCTTAAGCGCGAGTAACGTTGATCAAAACACCAGCTCTGAACGCAAAAACGCTGACACACCTTGGGACCGATTCTCGCCTCGGCCCGGCACCGTGCACCACTCCTCCTCCTCCTCCTCCCGCATCCGTACCACCCGCGTTTCGCTCATCCGGACCCGCACGGACTTGCTGCGGTGCACGTACTCGAGCTCGGTGATCACGAACACCGTCCCTCGCACCGGCGCCCACGACCGGTCCTCGAACACGCGCCGGACCAGGTCGGCCTCGACGAGCGAGCTGAGAGCGACGGCGTCCACGCGGCACAGGACGAGGAGCGTGCACGGCTGGAATGGCGCCTGTATACGCGACCACCACGGGAGCGGGTGCCCTGTCATGAACATGTGCATTGCGCTCGTTGGCTCGAGCGGCGCCTTCCGCACGGCGATGTCGGCGCGCGCGAAGCCAGCTGGGAGCGCGGTGAGCGCGGAGAAGCGGAGGGCGGTGAGCGTGGTCTCGAGCACGATATCGAGGTTGACGAGTCACTGGGTCCGTGAGAATGCGCTGTGGCTTGCGATCCAAGACCGCGAACGTGCCGTAGAGTCGCTGAGGATGAGGTAGCCGACGCGTTGGAGGCGCATGAAGACGCCGAAGAACGCGACCAAGTTGGGGGCAAGGCAGACGTTCATCGGAGAATGGCGTGTGCGTCCAAGGATGAAGGTGTTGCCGAGCACGCGCGTGGCCAGGTGTTGACACGCGTCGCGAGCTCGGCGAGGGGATGCGGGAGTGGCTGGCGACCTCCGAGAAGGGATGTTGTGAGCAGCGGTGGGCGAGGCTTTAGCAGCCGCACACACCTGGCAGCGCACTGGTTTGGCCCTGCGGGATTCATCGTTCCATCCGGATCTTCGTGTCTGCGCGCGAGCGCGTCCTGAGCCTGAACCTGCGCGCACCGCGGCACAGAGCGTGTGTCTTGCGTCTGTGGGACGTCGTCAGGACCGTCGCCGTGCCTCATTGAGGCGGGCCTTCTGGGACGTATTATAAGAGCTCCTGAAATGGCATAGGTCAGCATCACTTGTCCACAGAACAAGGGCGGTAGGCTCCTGTCCGCAACTAGAGTGCTCATTCCTCCATACCACGATCCCAGCGCCATCTAACCTCCACAAATATCCCGCGGCCGTCAACGCCTTCCATATTTCAAGCGACTCGCGGTGGGGACGTCGTTTAAAGGGACACACCCGCGCGAGGGACGTGTGGGGAGGAACGCAAGAGCGAGGGCCTGAGCTGACGTACCGGCATACTCCATCCCATCCTCTGTCTGTCTGCGGCGTCGTGCAGGTGGGCGAGGGCGAGTGTGCGGGGACAAAGCGCAGAGGTTGCCCGACACGGCGTCGATCCGGGCCGTCGTACGTGTCATCCGAGCGATGACGTCAACGACCGGCGTTGCGCGTCCCTTGCTCCGGTGCGTCCGTCGAGTGTCTCCGCCGCGCTGACTCTCATAGCATTTCATGGCACTACTACGTTGGACCTCCGTTGTCTGTAACCCTTCCGTCCAGGACTCGCGCCTGCGTCGCACGTGAGGCCGTCAGATTGCATCCCCGAGACGCTCCACTTCAACAGCCACGCACGCGGGGCTCGCAGGGTCCGCGAAATCCGCTGCAAGGGGCGCAAAGGGCGATGCGAGGCGATAGAGCGAGCGCTTCGGGTTGTGCGTGCCCAGGTTGACATTGAGCGGCGAGGGCGGGGGGATGCGGATGTGAAGGGGCTGGAGGAGCTGAGCCCACTGAGGGTGTACTTTGATGCGAATGCGCGCGGGCGGTACTTCGCCTGCCGCTTCTCCACGTCGACAACCATCAAATAGCCCCTCAGCGACCGCGTGGTGAGCAAAGGCAGGCTCTAGCAGAGGGTGCGCATGTCCTTGATCACACGCCGGGTCGGCTCAGAGCCGTGCGTTGACAGCAACGGCGGCGACGAGTCCGGGTGCAACTTGTGCGGGGTCGCGATGTGTGTCGTGCCGTCGGGCGAGGGGCGGCCACCGGAGCTCTGGAGCTCCTTCCGCGGGTTCTTGGCGTTGGCAGAGGAAGAGGGGAGGAAGTGCCAGCGGCAGCGGCGAGCACTGCAGGGGGCGAGGGCGATTCGAAGACTGGAATTCCGACCGCCCTAAGTTCTAGACCAGTTACGGCTGGGCGGCGAGCGACAGGTTTGAGGACCAGAGACTTGTGCTCATCGACATCGATCCCAGGACATTGACGCACAACCTCCCCGTCCTTCCGATGACGGAGCTCGGGAGGCCGTCCAACACGCTCGTCGATGGCGAGCTTGGCCACAGGACGGAGAGATTTGCGCATTCCCACTTGGAAGCCGCCGCTGTTGCCACCACTCGAACACGTGCAGCCGCTGGCTCCTGTCGGGCAGAATGCGGCAACTGGTGCGCGGGGGGCAGTCGGCGACACGCCCATCGCCGCGCGACGGACCTCCTTCACGAGTTAGGGCGAAGCCTGCGATATCGGGGGCGGGACCGCGTCGGACGGGTGCAGTAGCGTGTGGGGCTCAGAGGAGACAGGGGCCGGACGGGAGCGGGCGTCGACATCCATGGAATCCGGGGTGAAGCCGGCGCAGTCGCCGATAGAGTCCAGAACCGTGGGCTATGGGTTGTCCTTCGTCGTTGGGCCGTTGCGTGGAGGCGGGGAATCGACTGCGATACTCGTTGGACACACCGGAGGGTGCCTGGAACTCCGACGCGGCTTGCGATCTTGCCGCGGAGGGCGTCGATGGCAATGAACCCGCCAGTCCGCCGGGATCCGGCTGAGCAGTGGAGGTGCACGGGGGTACTGTCCTTCTACGATATCGATCATCCATGCTCGAGCTGCTAACAGAGTCCTCCGCGTGAGTCGTTAGTCCACGGCTGTCAAGGATGATGGACATCCGTTATTTGCAACATGTTAGAAAGTGGATCGAGCATCAAAAGATCGAAGCAACGTACCACGGCTCGGTTGGAAGCAGTATCGTCTCCATTATAGATCTGGGGAAGAGCGAAACTATAGGTGTGGACGGAATAGAAACGTTGTCAGCACAAGTCGTTCCATGTGATCGTAGCACAATACACACCTCTCAGTAGTCGCGCGAGGCCAAAACGCAGCAAGCTCTTCTGCAACCGTTGACTGCCCTTCCATCCTCGGGTTGAGCCGTCGAGGAGGCTACGGGAGTGTCCGCCACTCCGGCTCGTAGGCAGCCTACGCAACGACATAGTCTTGTCCGGGAGCGAGACCTCTTCGAAACTAAAAATTCCTCAAAACCGCGTCAGCAACCGCACGGCAACATGTATATTGGAGAGGAGCGCCGACCAGGGGACGCGGTAACCAAAAAGATGATCAGAACTCACCTTCAACACTGGACCGCTTCCTGAATGCAGCCGACATCAACCACAGGGCAGGGGAGGCGTTGATCGCGGTATGGGGAGATGGTGTAGCTGTGAACTCACTCTTGACTTCAGCCACCGCCGACCGGACGCTCTCGCTCTAATTCCCAGGCCAGTCGGATGCATGGTTGCGGAGAGAGGGTGTTCACCGATCTGACGAGGCGGCCGAAAGTCCTGAGCGAAACCGGGGTTTAGAGAGGCCCCGACGAAGAATGCAGACACGCGCTGAGCTGGATTTGATGACAAATGGAGCAACTGGTAAGAGCCAGCGAGATGGCTAAAACACCTGGTCGGTATCTGGAGGGAACGATGGGCAGACCGAAAGAACGCACCCTGTGAAGGCGACTCACGCTGGTCTCGAACGGTTGCCACTTGGCCACACGAGGACCAACGAGAACAAACAAGAGCGTGCCGCCGGCTTCCAGGGAAGAGGTGTGAGGCTTGGAGGCAGCTGGAGAAAAGTGTGGAGGAAGAGCAGGAGAGAGCGTAACACCGTTGTGTCCGCCCTGCGGGTGTTCCGTCCGGCGCTCGCGAGTCGCCGGACCGCTGGCCCTAAACAGGCGGGTCGTCATCGGCGCTTGCAGATTGTCCTCCGCTTGCAGATTGTCCTCAGCTTGCAAGTCGCGATGCGCACGGCGACGCTCAGCGCTCATGCACCATCTACCGCCGGAGGTGGAGTCGGGGTGAGCTGCCCGAGGGATCGTGGATGACATCGATTGCTGTCAAGAACAGCCGGGATTGTCCCATATGGTAAGGCAGCTTGTACGGTGAAGAAATGCGCCACAGTTGGCATGGAGGCCGAGGATGCGAGGGAAGCCGGCGTCGGGCGCGACGACGTCCGCACGCGCCCGCGGCATCGGCGGCGGGTACAGCTCGAGTGCGAGCATGCGGAGGGCAGGACAGACCGCCTTCCCCGCATCCGGCTCGGCTCGGGTCCTGCGCAGGCATGCGGCGGCGGCGGCGCCTGCTAGGAGTCGTCACGGAGAGTCCATGGTGAGGGCCTCGAGTGCGGTTGGTGCTCGAGGAGCGTGGCGAGCGCTGGCTCGGCGTCGGTCTTGATGCAGAGACACAGCGCGCGCACGGAGTGGGGCAAGAGTGCGGAGGGAAAGCCTTGTCGGGGCCAGCGCGCGGGGAAGGCGTGCACGTCGGGTGTGCGGTCGCAGAGGAGGTGGCAGCACAGGCGGTCGCGGAGGTGGAGGTGACGAGGAGATTGAGGTCGTTATGCGTGGCGTAGAGGCTCGCAGGCGCGTGCGCGGGGGGCGCGTTGAGACGGTGGTGGCGAGCTTGGAGAGTGGCTAAATGTGCCCGGCGGAGACGTGCCCAGCAGTCGGAGGCGGAGGGCGTCGAAGAGGGCGCGCCATTGGGGGCAGTGCGTGACGATGACTGTGCGCTCGGAAGATGGACCGTCTGGACGGGAGGGGCGTCGAGGGGAACATCCTTTCCCGTGTGTTAGGGATGAAGAGGTTGGGGACGTAGAAGGAGAGCCGCGGAGTGACGGAGAGGAAGTCCAGTAGCTGAGGCGCGACGGCAAGCAGCAGGCAGGAGCGAGGTCGCGTCGCGTACTTGTGGCCGCAATCCCACATAGACTGGCCCGCGTGGGACATCGCCGAGGGGAGTGACGGGCTCAGAGGGCGCGCTCTCCGGAAGGTTCGTCCACACCGCGCTACGACCGTGCTCGCACACATTTTGGGTACGGAAAACATCGGGGTTCAGCGGACGCGTCCGGTCTCGTGTTCACAGAACGCGGAGCCGGTCGGGTTTGCAGCAACGCGGAGTTGGTCGACCTTTGCGAAGGGCTCGAGAGGTTTGGGATGCGACGTGGCCGAGTTCTGTGCTCGAGTCAAACAGCTCATGCGGCGCACCAACTTCTTTCCACTCGCGCGATCCTGCGGCCTCCGCTTGGCTGCTAGAAGTATGCGTACGGCCGGGTTGGAATCGTTGTCGGGTCATGAGTTGCGAATTTGGAGCTGTCGCGCTGCATGCGGCGGCCCCATCTGAGGCACCATTGCCAGGACGAGGGCGGGTGCGCTCGTCTCTGTAAACACGTGGCGTACCTGAACGAGGAGGAGGGACGTCAACGATCAAAAAAAAAGTCCGGAAAGCCAGCCATGCATGAGAACGCCATCGACATAGAAGCGCACCTTGGGCCTTGGCGGATGAACAAGTTGAAAGCTGTGGCTTGCACACGAGCGACACACCTCGCTTACATCAGCTCTCACGCGCGTTGGCGCCGTGCCAGTTCTCTCGTCTCGGCAGGCAGGTTCGAACGTCCACTTCCTCCTACCTCTCACCATCCACATCTATCCTGCCCTGCGGAACTCTCACTAAGACGTGCCTTGCTCTTGCTTCGCCACTATATCCTTCTGCGGGTCATGAGATCATGCTGCAAGTTTAGCACATTTCTCGCAGAGTACGGAGTACCGAGACCCTTCTCATGAACTCAAGGTACGCTGCTATCCATACTCCCTGAGTCCCAATCACGATACCTGATCTCACTCCCTGCCCGCCTTTCCATCAGGACGTCCCTACCTGTCCTTTCTCGGTGATCGACTATGAACTTACCAAAGCTGAAGATGCGGACGAGGTTGAGAGGCTCTGGAAGGCTGCGATGGAAACGGGATTTTGGTAGTGAGTGACGGCGCTGTGCTTGAGTGAACGTTACGACTAACCGGCGATCCGTTCCAAGCCTCATGAACCACGGCGTACACGAGGAAGCGGAAGGGATGTTTGCGATGGGCGAAGAGACGATCGCTCTTACCCTCAAGGAGAAGCTCCTCTTTGAGCAGGGAGACCAAGGTGTTTCGTTCGGGTACGGTCTCTCCAACCGCTTGCTTTTGCACTTTCCACCGACCTCCGCATCGGCGCGGCTACAAGGCAGACAAAGGCACGCGCGACGTACCTGAGTTTGTCAACATCTCCAAGGACGACGCGCTCGCCTGCTCTGCCGTCGCGCGCCGCACGTATCCCTCCGCCATAACCCCGGATGGAGTCCACCATCACGCGTTCGTGAAGAAGTCGCTCGCGATCAACAATCGCCTCATCGGCGTCCTCAACGACAAGCTCGGACTCGCTGCGGGCGCGCTCGCGTCTGTACACAAGGTCGAGGAGTTCAGTGGATGCATGGCGCGGTTCCTCAGGGCGCCGCCGTATCTTGGGCCGGAGAAGACGTTCCTGACGGCGCACACAGACTTTGGGTCCTTCGTGAGTGATTCGCCGTGTGCCCCCTCGCATCGTATCGACATCGCTCTCCCCAGTTGTTCCTGCACAACCGCCTCGGTGCTCCCGCCCGGGTCTGACCAGTGGTTCAACGTCAAGGTCATTGATCCTTCTCGATTCGCCGAGCTCGTGCTCATGCAGTCCGACTTTCCGTCGCTCAGCCCCTACCCGGCCACGCGATCTGCAACATCGGCGATGCCCTCAACATCATCTCCGGCGGCATCCTGCCCTCCAACATCCATTGCGTTGTGTGAGTTTGTCCGCGCGACGTGCCTATCCGATACTCCGCGGCTCACCCCCTTCCCAGTCAGCCTCCGCGGGAGCAAGCCCAGTACGAACGGCACTCGGTCGTGTTCTTAGCCCGCCGGAACGACACCGCCGAGCCCCGCGCGCTGTCTGCGCAGAGCGAGCGCATCGCTGCGGCGGTCGCCAAAGCGCCCCGGGGGAAGTACGCCCCTGACGTGACGGCGATGGAGTGGCTTGTGAGGAGGGTCAAATCGCAGCGGGTGACAAACTGCAAGGTGTGTCCTGTCCCGCCGGTGTGCGCTGTTGCGAAGGGCTGATGAATCCGGTAGGGTGCGGTGAGCTGGACGGATAGCGTGGTGCCGAGGACACGGCGATCCCGAGCCAGGGGAAGATCCGAATAGCTTCGAATAACGTGTATGTACTATGTACAGTCATAGCTCTTAATGAACACATGCGTTTCGAACACCCCGATTGCGCCATCTGTGAACGGGGATCCGTGCGTGGACACGGAAAAACAACCCATGCAGCCGACCGTTTATGGACACTCGAGGTCTAGGCCCCATCTGCAACGTCTTGGTGTACCCGACGAGCATGCTTGGCATGAACGACAACCCGGATGTTTATTTCGAGCATGGTACAGCTGACTGAATGCTTCCTCCGGGACGTAGAGCTAAATGTGACATTGTATGTATAATACTAACTCGATACGGAAGGTTTGTTTGTTTGTTTGTTTGTCTCCTGTTTATCGCCCTGGAGGGCCGAGCCCTATGGTAGGCGCTACATACAGTAATCTAGCTGGCGAGAATGGAGATGCGTATACGGGACAGATGACGTGTCGGCCCCGCGGGGGCCGGAGAGAGCCAGAGGGATCTAGCCATCGTGCAGACGAAATGGAGTGAGTGTGTGGCGAAGGGGGTGGGTACGGGAGCGAGAGTGGGGGTGAGTGCCGGTGGGTACCATACATATCCTCCGTTCCGCCTACCCGGGTCCACCAGCTTCCGCCGCGGCTTGAGGACGCCGGGGGAGTGCCTACTCCAAGTCGTGCCTTCTGGCCTCTGGAGCGAGGTGGTCATGGCCTCGCAGGTGAGAGTGGTAGGTTGGTTGGGATGGGGAGGAACGGAGGCGACCATGGGTGCGTGGGTGGATGAGAAGGAGGAGATCGGAGTGGGACGGTACAGACGAGAGGGTGCAGCGCAGCGTGGGGGTGAGGACGGTAACGTGCGATATTATCTATGGGAGGAGGATGGTGGGAGTAGCATTTGCTTCGTGCGCCGCGCAGTTTGCAGTGTGGGAGTTCCGTCGACTCTGGTCGCCGGACGGCTCGCCCGCCACCTATTTACTTTCGCGTGCGTTGCCCAAGCGCTGCAGGTGGTCGAGCGAACCCGGACGGACGCCGTCTCGGGGTCTCCTTCTTCGTGCGGGTGTGTCACGACGTGATTGCCCTCCCTTGGTGCTATGTATCTATTAGCTCGGTCAGGGGTACGAAACAGGAGACAGGATGCGCGAGGGGGAGGGTTGGGATTCGGGAGGGCGAAAGTTCAGTCCAACTGCATAAGTGTGTCTACCGGTTTCCAGCGCGAGGCGGGCGGGCCAGTGGGCGCGTGGTGGAGGAGGTGCGCTGTTGTTGCCGAGCCGGTGCGCGAGGTCGGCGCGGAGGTTGTCGGGGTAGTGCTGTGCGATGGCTTGTTTGACGGATTGCAGGGGTTGAAAGACGGCGCGGAGCGTCGGGGGTGTTGTCTTCAGGGTTGTCGAGAGCTCCGAAAGTCTGCCGTAGGTGTTCCGTTGCGTCGATATAGGCGAAAAGCTGGGGGAGTGCGTCTGTGTTACTAAGTAAGTACTCGAGCTTTCCTCCTTTCCGCCCGAGCTTCATGTGGATGTGAGTCATGCGTTCGCTCGAGTACGCGGGGCAACGGAGTAGGAAGTGTACCACCGTTTCGGCCCCTGCCCCACACGCCGGGCATATATCTGTGTCCGCGCGGCGTATGCGGTGGAGATGGGCGTGTAGGGGGATATGCCCTGTGCGGAGCTGGATGAGGAGGCTTGCCTTCCGGCGGGAGAGTGGTGCGATGAGGTCGAGGTATGATTTGGATGGCAGCGAGGGGTCGACTTGGTTAATCTTGGGGTAGCGCAGGGACGCACCCCAGCATTCCTTGGCTTCCGTTTGTAGGAGTGCGAGGTGCGTCGCGCGGAGCGCGGTCGCGCATGCTGGGAGTGGTTTGTTGAGGCACCCCGGGAGTCTTTCCGGCTTACTGACATCCCCAGCGGCTGCGCGCTTGGCGTGATACGGAAGGTCGACGAACGTCCCTACCCTCGTGAGGGCCGCAACTCGTCCTGCACAGCACCCTCGCTGACAACCTCCCCAGCCCCACACTCCATGTCGCGTGGTTATGCATAAACCTACCTACAAACGCACGAAATCAGTCCACCATCCGCGTCCAATTGAATGATTGACCCACTCACCCCACCGCTTCCGTACCCCGGTGCCCAAGATTGCCCATCCTATCGGCATACAGCTCGAACTCCGTGCACTGTTCCCCGAGTTGCACCCGCTCGTTCGCGCACCCGCGCACCCCGCCAAGCAGAACGACGACGGTCTGCAGCACGGGGCAAGTAGGGCACAGCCGGCGCGCGAACGCGTCCAGGCCAAGCCCACGCATGAACGCCTCGGCCGCGCACGGGGGGTCCACGATGAGACAGGACAAGACGCTGCCGACGCGCACCCGGAGCGCGGCGCTGACGGCGGCGACGAGGCCGTCCTGCCGAGCAACACCGGCGTCAGCGTTGGACGAGCGCAGACGGAAGCGGATTCGAGGGACGTACGACGATCGCGGGGGCGTCGACGTCCGCGGGAGAGTCCGCGTGGTAGCCGGCGATGACGGTCGCTTCTAGGCACTCGATCTGCAGAGGGGTGGTGGGTGACGCGGGCGATGCCCCGCGCCAGGACGCCAGCGTCGAAGCTTTCGAGGGAAAGGTGCACAGGCCCGAATGGCTTTGACGATGAAAGTCGTTTAGAGCGTGCGGATGGGGCAGGAGGGCGCAAGCAGGAACAGATCGCTGAGGAGGGCGCGGCACGATTGCAGCGGCTTGTGGCTCAGCCTCCTCGGAGAGAAAGCACGAGAGCCAGGAAGGTGAACATTTGGTGCACATCCGTCGTGCCATCAGACGAGGGGCCACCGGAGTTCTTGAACGTCTTCCGCGGAATGTTGACGTTGGCGAAGGAGGATGGGGGCGGAGGAGGAGGAGCGGAGGAAGCGCGCGCGGCGAGAACTGCAGGGGGCGAGGGGAAATGTGCCTCGTTCGACGATTGAACCTCCGAGCGCCAGGGGTAGACCGCTTGCAGCCAGCTGGCCGGCGTGCGACGGGTCCGAGGACAAGGGTACTTCATCCTGTGGCGATAGTAACCACATTTCTCGCTGACGGCGCGGGCGGTGTCGACGAGGGACAGGGACTTGAGCTCGTCGACGACGATTCCAGACCGTTGACGCACAAGATCCCCGTCCTTCCGATGACGGAGCTTGGGAGGCCGTCCGACGCGCTCATCGCCGGCGAGCTTGGTCACAGGACGAGGAGGTTCGTGCGTTAATCCCACTGCTCGGACCCACGGACCCGCTGCTGCTGCCACCACTCGAACACTGGAAGGGAGAATGCGGCAACTTGTGCGCGGGAGGCTGCCGGTGACACGCCCACCGCCGCGCGATGGTCGTCCTCCACGAGCTCGGACGAAGCCTGCAGTATCGTGGGCGGAACCGCGTCGGAAGAGCGCGGCAGCGTGAGGGACTTGGAGGCGACAGCGACCGGACGGGGAGCACGTCGACATCCATTGAGTCCGGGGTGAAGCCGGCGACAGGGCCATTGACAGGGCCATCGAACTAACAGTGGCCGGAATAGACCGGAACCGTGAGCTGTCCGTCGTCCTTCGTCGTTAGGAAGTTGGGTCGAGCCGGGGGATCGACCTCCATCGCGCCGGTGGGGGCCTCGCTGAGAACGCTGGTGCGTCTGCGGTACTCGTCGGACACACCTGAGCGGCCATGGAACCGAGTCCTCGACCTAGCCCTCCTCGCGCTTCTGCATCTTGCGGCGGCCGGTATCGACGGCGATGAACACGCCGCTCCGCCTGATTCCGGCTGAGTAGTGGTGATGCACGGGGGTGCCGTCCTTCGCAAGCATCGCAACCCCAGTAGTAGCCTCGACTTCTTCCGCAGCACAGTGCTTGTTCGAGACGACCGTCTTGCCATGGGCACGTGGGAGGCTCTTGGCAGTAGACTGGCCGAGCGGTCCTTCGCTCTATGGGTTCTGTATAGAGGAACAGGCATGTCCGACAGTGTTGCTCTGGGACAGAGACCGAGTAGCGGAAGGCAATGAAGATCTCCCAAGAAAGAGAAAGATCCTGGAGCAGCCGCAAACGTTGCGCAAACGCGAGAAGTGTCGATTGCGCAGATACCGGGAACGATATGCCACGACAAAATACCGCGATATCCTCATCATCCATGTTCGTGCTGTGAATAAAGTTCTCTGTCGACAAGATGGTGGAAAACTGCTATGTGGGATACGTTAGAAAGTGCACCGAGCTTCGGAAAAGCGAAACAACGCACTGCGGCTTGGTTGCGAGCAGTATTATCTCCGTTATGGACCAGCGGTAGACCCGGGGAAGCGAGAAACTAGAGGTGCGGACGCTTGAAATACGTTGTTGTCCCAGTGGGCTGGAATAGAATGATCCTCAGTACGAGTGATTCCGTGTGATCGTCATAGTACAGACCTCGATCGCGCAAAGTTGAATGATAAGCCCTTCTATTACCACTGACCGCCCTTCCCTCCTCGCCGAGGAGGCCACGGGAGTGTCGGCACGCCAGCTCGCAGATGGCCTACACAGCTACACACTCTCGGCGCCGACTGCGCGTGAGACCGTCCCTTAGCGACTAAAAGTTCGCTGAAAAAGACCCGTGAGCAACCGCACTACTACATCGGAGGGGAGCGCCGACTGCGGAACGCGGTAACCAGAAGAATGACCTGAACTCACCGTTAACACTGGGTTGCACCCGTCAAGGTTCCCCGAGCGACGTACACATTGAACAGGTCGCGAGGTTGCAAAGTACTTGCTGGCACGCTCATCAGTGTTGACATCTTGGATTTCGCGCACAATTCCATGCGGCATTGAACATGCGACTCGACGACTGCCATCGCCTGCCGATGGTAACCTTATGAAAGATATCTATAAGGGGGAGAGCGCACACGTCTGAGAGGACGCGGCGATTGCGAGGGTAAGCAATCGACATTAGTCGCGGTATGGGGGGAGAGTACGGCTGTAGACTCACTCTTGGCCTCGTCCACAGGAAGTTCTCACTCAAACTCCATAGCCCAAAGAATGGTTGAGGAGAGCGGATGGCGGCCGACCTCCTGGGCGGAGCCGGGATTCAGAGGGGCTTTGACGCAGAATGAAGGTGGTGACAGGTACGTACCGAGTTGGATTTGATGGCGGATGGCGCAGGAGCCCGTACTGTCAAGAGCCAGCGAGACGGCTAAACCGCATGTTCGGTATCCGTGGACGCGGCAACGATACGGACACAGACCGAAAGAACGCACCCTCTCATGCTGGTCTCAAATGGTTGGGACTTGGGCAGGGGAGGACTAAGGAGAGGAAACAAGAGCGTGTCGTCCGCGTCCAAGGGAGAGGTGCGAGGCTTGGAGGCAGCACGAAGAGCACTGGGAGCGAGCGGACGCGCGTAGCACCGGTGTCTCCGGCCTGCGGTGTTCCGGCGTCCGGCGCTTGTTGGATAGGCGCGTCGTCATCGACGCTTGCAGATTGTCCTCTGCTTGCAAGTTTGAAACTAAGGCGGCAAGTCGCGATGCGCACGGCGACGCTCGTGTCCGTGAACAGCATCTTGAGACAGAGGACGATCGAGACGGGATGCACGTCGTGCACTCGATGCGTTCCGCGCGCTCGTATCACTTGGTGCCCACCCCCTCGCGTTTCCGTCCCCTTCGGATCCTTGCGGCGCGTCCTCGCCACCATGTCTCCTCCCCCATCCCCACTGGTTACGCCACGCCTGGCCAGTCACACTCGTTCCACCTGCACGGTCACGCCTTCCGCGTATTTCGCTCTGCCTCCTCGACGGAAGATGAGTCCGTCAATCCGCCGCAGCAACGTGTCCACGGGCACCGCGGGGAATAACCCCACGACCCCCTTCGACACGAGTAACTCGGGCTTGAGCTTGAAGTCCCCCCACTGCGACATCAACGAACGCCGGCTCATGTACGCCTGGAGCAAACGAGGAAGAACCGGCCGTCGATATCGACAGAATGCGGACTATGGTCTGGTTGGCGCCGGTGCCTGCGTTTCGAGCCAACTGCGTCCACTTCGAGGCATCTCTTTCCCCCGCCACGGCAAGCCACGCGGAGCATACTGTCTACGGAAGCTCTCCTGGCCGTTCCCTTTCCGACTCCAGAGCCGCACCACAACCGGTTGCTCGTTCCTTGCTGTTTCGAGTCTTGCACGATGATTCCCAGGGAGTCTTCTCCTATTCCTGGACGTTATCGCGCGCGTCGAGCGCACCGCGGTGACCATGTGAGTCTGCAGCTAGCTCCCCTCCTCTTTCTTGCGCTCAAAGTGCTACTCCTGGATATTGATTCCGGCTGCTCCGGGGCTCTTCAGTGTCATAAATCTGGTAATTCACACGGACCTGCGCCTGAGGGTCCGAAGATCGTCTGCGAGAACTGCTCCGGGGCGACAATTCTATCCAAAACGCACGTGGAATACATACATATTGCATGTGCCGTCACCGGCAACACGGCGAAGCGCTGCGGTGGTCCTGCCTGAATCCGGTACGTCATGCGCATGCTTGGGACCAGCTGACCCATTTATCTCAGGGGTGTTTATCTCCGCTCAAACCAAGCTGTTGTGCGGCCGGGAGATCTAGAGCATCGCGCTTGTCTTTCCTGGAGACGGCGTTGAGCTGCTCTCCAATCCCGGCTTCGCACCTGGCAGCTGGCATCCGGCGCCCATTCGCGCGCATACACTGCCATACGAGTGCGGCTGAGATCTCTCGCAGTTACTGGAGTCTGGCTACTCCGGCGATCCAAGCGTCGGCGAACATCTGCGTATCGGACCGCATCATGTACCTTGCGACGAATGACATATCTCTCAGCTTCGCCCAATGGTGGACACGCACGGTATCAGAGCCTGACATGTTCGTGGCAGGGAACGTCATCTCGCCCTGGGAGTGCACACACTCTGTTCGCCTTCATTTCTCAGGAGGTGCCTTGGAGGCGCTCCGGCGCTATCGCGTGCATGCTCCGCACGGTGGGACGTGCGGTCGGCGTATGGGACCGGGGTCGCCCTTGGCCTCTTCCGTCTCCCACTCGACCCATCTCACGTCTCCTCTCGTCCATCTTGCGTTTCCTCCCAGCAACCGACCCCCTCTGTGCCAATATCAAGTACAGATAACCCCATCGACCGTCTTGGATTCTCATCGTACGTCCGCTCTTCCGGTGCTCTGTATCGCATTTGCCCATGCTCCCGCAGTGTCTGTGGTCCCCCTTCCACGAATCTTCCACAGCAACTCGCACCCGGTATTCGTGCTCGCCCTTGCATGAAATACCTGTGCTAATATTCGTGAAACAAGCGATGTGGCTCCTGGGCACCGCGCGCGCGAACCTCGTCTTCTTTCCCCAACCTGAAGGCGTTCCTGGAGGCTATGCTATCCTGTCGCACACCTGGGGAGAAGAAGAAGAGACGTTTCAAAAGGTTCAAAAGCTGAACGAAGAATCTAACAGCACCTTCTCCCAGGAAGATCAACATCCCCTGCCCCGAGCTGAGCTCCGATCTCTCATTTCTGAGGCAGTCTCTGAAGAAGCGGTGACTCGCAGGGACTTAGAAGATGCTCTCCATCGAGTGGAATCCCGGATCATGCAGAAGCTCGATGCCAGGCTACCCCCTCCTCGCCGTACCCGCGATCGCGCCGAAGAGAATCTCCGAGATAGTACCGAATGCGAGCCTGGTCAGTGCAATTAAAGCTCGTTTTCACTCCTCGGCGCTGACGTACGAGACCCAAGGTCGCTCGACACATTCAGATCCACGTGCCCCCACGATACCGCTTTCCCCTACTCCTGCACCCGTCCAAGGGCTTGCTGAGCCATCCCGCTCGTCGCCACCATGGTTCAACCCACGCGATCGCCTCACTCCAAAAGTTCGATCGTTCCTTGAGCTCGCCGAAACGCACGGGCACGAGTACGCTTGGGTCGACACGTGCTGTATCAACAAGGAGAGCAGTGCCGAGCTCTCGGAAGGGATCAATTCCATGTTCCGCTACTACGCCGTCTCCGCCATCTGCTACGTCTACCTCAGCGACGTCAAATACTCCGACACTGATCCAGACAAGATGTGGGACGCCTTCCGATGTAGTCGCTGGCACGAGCGGGGCTGGACTCTCCAAGAGCTCATCGCGTCCCGCGTTCTCGTGTTCTATTCCAAGGAGTGGATCTATCTGGGCACCAAGTACGAGCTCGCCGATCGCCTGAAACAAGCAACCGGGATCTCTGCGGCTGTCCTCCGCTTCGAGAGCCCATTTGCCGACGCGAGCATTGCGACGCGCATATCCTGGGCGGCGCATCGGGAAACTGCGAGGCCGGAGGACGCCGCCTACAGCCTCTTCGGGCTTTTCGGGGTCAACATGCCGACGCTTTACGGCGAAGGGCGGCTCGCATTCTGCCGGCTCCTCATGGAGATCTCGAAGACGTCGCGGGATCCTTCCATTTTTCTCTTGGGAGAACGATGGTATATGGACGACTTGGAAAACCTCAAATCAGCCCTCCAGGAAGAGCCTCAAAGCGAAATCCGCCGTCATCTTCTCCCCATTCAGCCTTCGCCGACCTTTAGCCTATTCGACCCTATTCATAGGTTAATCAGATACGAACCCAGCGCCCGCTCGCAGAGAGGACAAGATGAGGTACGCTGGTATGGATGCCATTCTACGCTGTGCTACATTGACGACCATTTTAGCACGGCTCGATTGCAGGCACGACCACAGAACTCCGTGCTCCCACGTTTTCCGTGTCACCAGGCGGGATCGAGCTCCACGCGGCCGTTCTACCTCTGGATGATACAGAGAGATTCCTCCTCGTCGACTTATTCTGCAGAGATCCAGACCCCGTCTTCCTCTTGCTTGAAAGGGTGGACGACGAGCTCAACGCTGGCGCTGCTCCGCTCTACCAGCCCGCAGAGGAACCCGTTGTGTCGCTGCGGGAATCAAGCACGGCGATCGAATCAGATGGCTGGAAGATGACCGATCTCCGCGTTGTAGCCCTCCCGCCGTACACCGGTGACCTCTCCGAGGGCGAAAGCGCAGGGATGGAGTCGCTGAGGCGCTTCTGCGAATCCACCACTACCGGCTCCCCCTTTCACCTTGTCTTTCGCGACCTCCTCCAGCTCCGGAACATTAGACTTTTCTTCGACGGTGACAGAAGCACCCTGCCGTCGCCTTCTTCCACCGGAGACGTCTCCCTTTGTTTTTCTCGCGGCGATCTTCGAAGGCTCGTAGTCGTTCTTGGGACATGCTCTCGTACCGAGTCCGCCATCGACAACCGTGACCCACGCTCATCCAGGCCAACCTCTCTGTCATCCCGGATCGCCACGGAGACGCCAAGTCCGGGCGTACCACACCGACAACACTTCTGCATCTTTCGTTGGTACTACGGCGGTGAAGGAGCCACGGCTGCTGCGGCTGTACATTCGTGCGAAACGGATCATATCGACATGGACGGACCATGGCCAGTGGAGCGCCGAGCGCAGTTGGGGTCTTGGGAAGTTGTGTTATCGTTCTTTCCTAGTCCGTTGGGTAGAGAAACGCTGCAAGTGAAACTCCGCTTTTTCGAGCAGGTATGATGGACGAAGAAATTGATTTGTGTACAGCTTCAGGTATGGTGGTACGAGAAGTAGAGCGCGGCCTGTTGTAAACATCACCGCACAGTTTCCAAAGCCAACCAACAGTTCCATCTATCGCTAGCATCGCGCATGGAACGGTCGTGACGATGCTGTTGCACACTGATGCGGCGCCAACCCTGGCGTAGAGTCGGTGGCAGGGGTGAGGGCGAGGGAGCGATCTCGCGTATCCGCGAGGCTCGGGGCATTAGGGGAGGTGAAAAAGAAGCAAGATACGACGCCCCGCATGGAGGCCGAACGCGCGGCGCACGAAGTGGACGAGGACCGGGGAATCGCGCGCATCGCGAGGGCGTATCAAGGGGAAGAGACTGCACCGAAGCCAATTATGAATCCGCGAGGCGGGAGACACTGCAGAAGAAGCGAAAGAGAGCGTGGAGATGGACAGAAATGAAGAGGGGACAAAGAAGGTGAATATTTCGGAGTGTTTGATAGGCAATCAAGTGATGAGAGGACGTGCGAGGACGGCTACGGGGTGCCATCGCGAGAGGGAGAGGGCGCCGCGCCGCGGGTGGTGGTGATCGAGTGCGCGCGGTGTAGACCGCGAGGGTGCGTGGAGGACGCCGCGGTGCGTTCGAATGCGTTGCGTCTTCACAGGTCCATGAGCTATGCTGACCCGATAATCCTAATATATCCGCGTGCGGATCCCGATTTGTGCGCGAGGCGGAATAGACGAAATGTACAAAGACGAGGACCGAACGCGCAGATGATCGCTTGGGCGTTAGCCTGGTCGAAGGTGCGTTCCACCGTACGGCGACACCGCGGGGGTATCGGTGGATAGGCCCGTTATACGGAGATATGATGGTCAGTACGAGACAAGTCCAATAAGTTCCAGTGCACTCACTTACAACCCAAGCAGCACTCAGGGACGCGCGCACTGAGAATCGTATTCTCAAGAGTGGATGACCTCGCTGTGCTCGTGCTGTGGTCAGTTCTCCATCTGTGTCGCTGTCATCTGCGTATTCTCACCATCGTAGTAGTATACCCAGCCTCCTGACCTTCTATTAACACGGGCACGTCCGCTTCAAGGAGATCGAGAGCACGCGGCTGCCGGCGCGAGCGCGCCATGCGCCATCCACTGGCTTCGCTGGGAACGAGCTGGGGCCTATGTAACGGGATTCGCGGTGAGTGAGCGCGTGATGTTCCATCTTACCTCCAACGTGAGTGCTATGAACCCGATGCTCACACCTCCCAGCTCGTCGTACGTCTCTCCTTTTCTGTTGCACGACATTGTCCCCCGGTGCTGATGAAACGCTCACGTCTACTGCGCACCAGCAATGATGAAAGGTACCGTGCTCGTCCAAACCCGTACCCGCGGACGAGGGTCAGGGTACGTCGCGGGTCGGGTAAGGGCATGCTCCGTTTGCCCGTACGCGACCCCTGCCATTCCCTAGGCATGATCACACTGGAGTACGTGCACACCAGGGAAGCTTGGATATTGAGGCGCTCCGTCGGGTCTGAGGTGGTGTTGAGTTGGGCGAGAAGCATAACCAGGCAGAGGTCCCGCGCAACGGTGATGTCGTGTATCTCGAGGAGGGTGAAGCGGTCGGCTTGTTCTTTGGTCGTCGCCGGGACGCCGCTCCGAAGACGAGACGGTCTGTAGATAGGTGACTGCACTGTATCGAACGAGGGTATGTCGGAGTACTTACCATCTCTAACACCTCCAAAGAAGAACGCAGGCTCGGAGAGGCGGTCCACGGGCAAACTCCCGATGTCCAACATCAACCACATTGTCCGTCCCGGTCTATCAATAGTATCGTGCGTCAGTTACAGGACCAACGCCGCGGACGAATCCCGCCTACTTGGAAGGATTCTTGGGTGGGATTCTGCAGAAGAGAGGATGAGTTGCCGATGACCGCTTTCAAGGAAAGGTCAAACGTGCATCGGGTTGTAGAAAATGGGGAAAGCGCCCTGGGTTCCGTGGGCCATCTCTCTGCGTAATCTCCAGTCTGCGGCAGCATGCTCGTCCACTCCTTCCAGATGCGAGGAAGCTCGTCTGAAGACGCGCCGTGCCTGAAAACTGGGTGTCAGCACGTATCCATCCTCCCGCATCCTTATTCAACCGCATATGCTCAGCTTGGAGCATAGATGAGAAGGCCTTGCAACGCGTCCAGATCCGACGTCACCCCGCTTCCCAGCTCGAATCTGTGTCAAGTCACTGATTAGGGAAACGGGCGTAGAAAATACCGGAATCGTGCGATGGGTGTGGAGAGAGATCACCCAATCCGGCGACCCAGCCAGAGGATTCGAGATAGCCTCGAGCGAATTGCACATAGACGATGCTCACCATGAGATCTTGAGATCCGATGTCAGAGCCTCGTCGCCGAACGCTACTGCGCGCTGGGTGACGCAGTGGTCCTGGTCCGTCCGGATATCAACGTTTCAACGGCCGTCGACCGCGCTGGAGGTGGAGTCGGGGTGAGCCGCACGAGGGACCGTGAAAGATATCGAGAGAGGCCGTGGGGGCCAGGGGAGAGGACCAGTACGTGTGGTACCAAAACGGCGCACTGTGAAGAACGGGCGCCACAGCCGGCATGGAGGATGAGAGGGAAGTCGTCGAGCGCGACGACGTCCGCGCGCGCCCCCGGCATTGGCGGCGGAACCTACAGCTCGAGCATGAGCATGCTGAGGGCCGGGCAGACAGCCTCCTCCGCGCCCGGCTCGGCTCGCGCCGCGCGCAGGCATGCGACGGTGGCCGTACCCGCTAGGAGTCGTCACGAAGAGAGCACGTAGGGCTTCGAGCGCTGTGCTCGAGGAGTGTGGCGAACGCGAGCTCGGCGTCGGTCTAGAGGCAGAGGTGCAGCGCGAGCGCGGAGGGGAGCCCGCGCTCGGGCCAGCGCGCGGGGAAGGCGTGCGTGTCGGGTGTACGGTCGCAGCAGACGTGTCAGCACAGGGCGAGCCCGGGCGGCCACGGCCGGAGGTGGAGGTGACGAGGAGAGTGAGGTCGTCATGCAAGGCGTCGAGGCTCACACGCGTGGGCGCGGGAGGCGTGTTGAGACGGTGGTAGAGGGCTCGGGGAGCGGCTGTATGTGTCCGGCGGCTGGGAGGCGGAGGGCGTTGACGAGGGCGCGCACGGCGCGCCATTGGGGGCAGTGCGTGACGATGATGGTGCGCTCGGCGGGAAGGTGGACGGAGAGCCGTGGAGTGGGGGAGAGGAAGTCTGCATCAGTAATTTTGCACGCGTCTGGCACAGCTGTCGCGTCTGTCCATTTCGCACGCAGCAGCCACAGTTCAGCAGTCGAGCAGATGGACAGTTCGGGGGTGCACAGCTCACACAGTTGGGCAGACGGACAGTCGACTGCAAAAAAACCCTCATTTGCAAAAACTAATACTGGCTACTTCGAGCGCGATTAAGTAATCTCACGGGGAGAATATATTGGTATTAGTCTGAAAATCGATCTACTACTTGCGACCTGGAGAGGAGGAGGAAAGTCCGAGGGCGAACGCAACAGGCGATAGGCGTCACGACACGCTGCCCCAGGGCTCAACGTGCCGTCCAGGCTCCCAGTGCACAGCACCCGAGGGTGCGCTCGTGTGCGCAGTTACTTGAAGCGCAAGCTCTACTACGATGCGCACGACCTTGCCAGCGATTTCGCCACGCAGCTTGTGGAGCGTGTCGATGACCTGCGCAGCTGGAGCGCGGGATTGTACTATAGAAAGAGCGGTGTGAGAGCGGGAAAATGGGAATGGAAGAGACCATGCGTACAGTATACAAGATGAGAACGACAAAGTGAGGATTAGGGATCACCAAGGGTGCGGGTGACCCGCACGGGTTCACGGGTGCGGGTGCTACGGGTGCGGGTGCGGGTGCGGTCTACAGGACCCGTGTACCCTTGGCACCCGTGGGGCTACTGAACGCCACAGTTGGGCGGCTGCAGCACCCGAGGCTGAGGCGCCGGGCCGAACGCCACCAGCTATACAGTTCCTGCACTGGGTGGCGCCAGAATACCCTGCCACTGGCGTTCATATCAATGACAACATACACCGCTACTGGCGTTCGGATAAGCTCATATGAGTGGGCGCTCTATACCTGCTACTACCGTCTATATGTACCACATAGCCACACATATGAGTGCCCTCACACCCTGCCACCTATACATATTATAAAAGTGGCTGCTTATATGAGTGCATTAGTGTCTTTCCCTCATATGAACTTTGTAGCGCCTTGCCACTCATATGAGCTCGTCCCCTCATATGAGCTCGGCGCTCGCCCCCCTCATATGAGCTCGCTCTCCTCATATGAGCTTGCCCCCTCATATGAGCTCATCGGCGTCTCACCCCTCATATGAGCTTATTAATATCCCACCCTTAATATGAATGCACCAGCATTACACAGCTCCCATTAGCACATCTGGGAACTGGCATACTCTATTGCATGCCTGTGTTTCTTTGCATGTATAGGTGCACCCATGCCAGAGCAATTCTTCAGCTTATCATATCACTGAGACACAGGAACTGTACTCTGAAAGGACAGGAAACTGCACCAGCTGTGCAACCGAAACAGACAGAATGGGTGCCCATTAGTTCCATTTTTATTCACACAATGCGCAAAGAGAGAGCAAGAAACCCATGATAGAAAGTGCAAGGCTCAAGCCAATCTCCGAAATCGGCAATTGACTCCCCCCGGGGGTCACCTCCGGGCCGGTAATTGACTCCCCCCGGGGGTCGATCTCCGAGTTTTTGATCACCTGTGTATCTCCGAGTTTTTGACCACCTGTGTACCTCCAACTTTTTGATTGCCTGTGTATATTGTCAGCCTTCATTACCAGACTGCCTGTATCTATTACCGAGTTTTTGGACATCTGTGTGTATTACTGCTTTCATTGCCGAGTTTTTGATTGCTGGTGCCTGTTACCGGTCCTCATTACCAACTTTTTGACTGCCTCAATCCATCACTGAGTCTTTGTTCGCCTCCAGCCTTTGACACCGAGTTTTTTATCACTGATATTGGTAATATTAGATGAGTTAGTATGCCTGTACTAAACACCCTCTCCCTAGGAAGTCACCCTTCACAGCTGCATGTGTTGATGGAAATTGACCAAGCTGTTTGCTGGATCAGGTAGTAGCATGCAAGAGCTGTGGGTGTGCAAATCTGGAGGGCAGTAGCTGCAAAAGTGAGGGAGTAATGGGGTATGATATTCTAAAATGACATACCAAACACAGACATGGGATGAGAGTGTATCACATCCCAGACACCTAGATATATTCACAGAGGATGATTTAAATGCAATGCAGAAGAGAGCGCACAGAAATCAGGATTTCTGATGAAGATACAAGATATGTGTGGAAAGTGGAAGTTCTGAGAAAACACAACATGCATAAGTTCATGTGCAGACATTATATCAACAGGCTATTTGCTGCATCACAATTGAGTACTATTGGGGTGCTCAGATCGGAATTTGCAAGCTTATCGGTGATGAGATGCATATGGGGCACCATATGTCATTATTTCATGACATACAGTATCCTGACACAGCATATGCTCCGATTAGAATGCAAAAACATGGAATAGAACGGGGTAGAACATAGCTATCCAACGCAGAAAAGACCTTGAAAAACGGTTGAGAATCAGTGGAGATGTGCAAGGTGAGCCAGAAGTGTGGTTGTAGTGAAAAGCGAGGTCAGAGTACATTCAGCATAAACCACACTTCTGGCTCACCTTGCACATCTCCACTGATTCTCAACCGTTTTTCAAGGTCTTTTCTGCGTTGGATAGCTATGTTCTACCCCGTTCTATTCCATGTTTTTGCATTCTAATCGGAGCATATGCTGTGTCAGGATACTGTATGTCATGAAATAATGACATATGGTGCCCCATATGCATCTCATCACCGATAAGCTTGCAAATTCCGATCTGAGCACCCCAATAGTACTCAATTGTGATGCAGCAAATAGCCTGTTGATATAATGTCTGCACATGAACTTATGCATGTTGTGTTTTCTCAGAACTTCCACTTTCCACACATATCTTGTATCTTCATCAGAAATCCTGATTTCTGTGCGCTCTCTTCTGCATTGCATTTAAATCATCCTCTGTGAATATATCTAGGTGTCTGGGATGTGATACACTCTCATCCCATGTCTGTGTTTGGTATGTCATTTTAGAATATCATACCCCATTACTCCCTCACTTTTGCAGCTACTGCCCTCCAGATTTGCACACCCACAGCTCTTGCATGCTACTACCTGATCCAGCAAACAGCTTGGTCAATTTCCATCAACACATGCAGCTGTGAAGGGTGACTTCCTAGGGAGAGGGTGTTTAGTACAGGCATACTAACTCATCTAATATTACCAATATCAGTGATAAAAAACTCGGTGTCAAAGGCTGGAGGCGAACAAAGACTCAGTGATGGATTGAGGCAGTCAAAAAGTTGGTAATGAGGACCGGTAACAGGCACCAGCAATCAAAAACTCGGCAATGAAAGCAGTAATACACACAGATGTCCAAAAACTCGGTAATAGATACAGGCAGTCTGGTAATGAAGGCTGACAATATACACAGGCAATCAAAAAGTTGGAGGTACACAGGTGGTCAAAAACTCGGAGATACACAGGTGATCAAAAACTCGGAGATCGACCCCCGGGGGGAGTCAATTACCGGCCCGGAGGTGACCCCCGGGGGGAGTCAATTGCCGATTTCGGAGATTGGCTTGAGCCTTGCACTTTCTATCATGGGTTTCTTGCTCTCTCTTTGCGCATTGTGTGAATAAAAATGGAACTAATGGGCACCCATTCTGTCTGTTTCGGTTGCACAGCTGGTGCAGTTTCCTGTCCTTTCAGAGTACAGTTCCTGTGTCTCAGTGATATGATAAGCTGAAGAATTGCTCTGGCATGGGTGCACCTATACATGCAAAGAAACACAGGCATGCAATAGAGTATGCCAGTTCCCAGATGTGCTAATGGGAGCTGTGTAATGCTGGTGCATTCATATTAAGGGTGGGATATTAATAAGCTCATATGAGGGGTGAGACGCCGATGAGCTCATATGAGGGGGCAAGCTCATATGAGGAGAGCGAGCTCATATGAGGGAGCGAGCTCATATGAGGGGGCGAGCTCATATGAGGGGGGCGAGCGCCGAGCTCATATGAGGGGACGAGCTCATATGAGTGGCAAGGCGCTACAAAGTTCATATGAGGGAAAGACACTAATGCACTCATATAAGCAGCCACTTTTATAATATGTATAGGTGGCAGGGTGTGAGGGCACTCATATGTGTGGCTATGTGGTACATATAGACGGTAGTAGCAGGTATAGAGCGCCCACTCATATGAGCTTATCCGAACGCCAGTAGCGGTGTATGTTGTCATTGATATGAACGCCAGTGGCAGGGTATTCTGTCGGCATGCGCTGGTTCCTGATGGGAGGCTGAACGCTGGATGCGTGTGAGGCGACTGGACACTGTGTATGACACTCTGCTCCGGCTCCCGATCTCACTCTACTCGCAATTCTCCACTGCTGAGTCGCCTTCTCCATAACCTGCCATGTCTTCTCCCACTCGTAATCCTCCATCGGGTAAGAAAAGAGCAGCGTCTCCAGCAGGTGAGGTCCTGCCCGATGGCCTGAAGCGTGCCCGGCTTCCTTCAAAGCGCCTCAAAGAGTCAAAAGAGGGCGAGGCAATAGAAGCGTCAACAGGGCTCACCTCTGAAGGCTCGAAGCCTAAGACAGGTATGGATCTCGCTATACCGTCGCTGTTAAAACCTTCTTATTTGCCTGAAGTGGATGAGAAGGCCACAAAAAACGTCAACGAGTCGTCGGGAACATCTGTCACAACTGAGGCCTTACCTGCGAACACCGTGTTCATTCCGAGCATTGGCCCCGCTCGCATCGCGGGTGGAAAACGTGTCCCAGCAGCTCGTGCAAAGGTCAGGACGAAGCACTTGAAGGACTCGGCCGCACGCACCGGGACGGACACCGCGGCCACGCGCGCTGCGGTGGACACTTCGGCCACGCGCGCTGCAACCGACTTGGCCCCACAAGCACGCGCCGCGATGAACTCGACCACGCGCGCTGCGGTGGACAGTTTGACTGCGCGTGCTGCAGCCGCCTCGGCCCCACAAGCACGCGCCATGACGAGCTCAACCACGCGCGCTGTGACGGACGATTCGGCCACGCGCAAGGCTGCAACCAACTCGGCCGCACGAGGACGCGCCGTGACGAACTCGACCACACGTGCCGCGGGGAACCCAACCACACGCGCATGTGACGTGATGGAGGTATCGGACGACGATGACGATGATGACCCTAGCGGCGAGAAAGCGCTTGGTGAGCTCCACGCCACAGCACTGATATGACGAGTTTGGTTAACAACTGCCACACAGACAAGGCAATGATGAAGTGGAGCTCACCGTATTACGCCTTCTTCGAGAAGCGTCCCCGCATTGACGACTCACTGCCGGGGAAGCGTTGCTACGTCTTCACGTGTCTCATGAAGGGAAAGGGTTGCAAGACGTCGGAAAAGCGTCGCTATCTTCAGACGGGTGACTCGTCGTCTACGAGTGGGCTCAAGAAGCACGCCATCTCGTGCTGGGGGCAGGAAGCAGTCGACAACCTCGTCGCCGCACAGCTCCCGGTTGACGATGCGCGCCAGAAGCTATTGAAGACGAAGCCGCGGAGCGGTGACATCAGTGTCATATTCGAGCGCGCGGACGGTGCAAAGGGACCGGTGACGTACTCCAACCGGCAGCACACGAATATGGAAGTTCGGTGCGGAGTAACTTGTTGGCTTTTTTCATGTAGTGTTTTGATAGCGCGCTGGGTCGCAGAGTCGTCAAGGCCTTACAACATCGTCAAAGATCGCCATCTGCTCACCCTGTTGAAGACCGGTCGTCCAAACTACCAAGTTCCATCAGCAAGCACCGTGGCACGTGACGTCAAGGCCGTATTTGCGGGATCGAGAGCGACTGTGCGGAAGCTACTCCGGGTAACATATCACTTGACTGCAGTATTCACATGGATATAGGCTCACCTTGTCCCCTTCCAGAACTACCCTGGACGTCTTAGCTTCTCAACAGACTGCTGGACGGCACCGAACGGGCGGCCGTACATGGCCGTTGTGGTCTATTTCATCCACAAGACGAAGCCAATCAGCATGTTGCTCGACGTCATAGAGATCGCAGAGGTACATACCATTTACTATCGGTCACGCGGCACGCCGTCCCCGCAGCTAATCATCGTCACTGCGGCGCGACCGCGGCAGAGTCACACCGGTGCAACACTTGCTAGGGAGTTTGTCCGCATCCTACGCGAGTTTGGAATAGACGAAAAGGTGAGCAGTGGGTCCTCTCTCAACGACTAGAACATATGTTAACATACCGTGTTCACAGATCCTCGGAGTTGCGTGCGACAACGCCTCGGCGAACATCAAGATGCTGGCACAGATTGAAGTCGAGCTCGACAACTTCTTGGCTAGTGTCGGACACGTTCGATGCTTTGGGCATGTAATTCAGCTTGTCAGCTTCGCGCTCTTGAAGCACTTCAACGGGCTGAAGAACACGAAGAAGTCGGACTCACTGATCGACGGTGAGGAGAGCAGTGATAACATCGCTGCTGTGTTGGCATCCGAGGACGAGGATTCGGTGGCAGAGGGAGATGTCGAGCTCAACGAAGAGAACCGCAGTCTTGATGGGGATGCGGAGATCTTGTATGGCGGGAACGAGGATGACTGGGTGGACGACGTGGGGAAGTTGACGGAGAAGGGGATGGAGGCGTTCCTCCAGAATGTCGCGCCTGTCCGGCAGACCCTAGCCAAGGTTGGCGTACGAACTATCATTTGTAGAGCATAAACTCACCTCGACCCTGTTTGCCCACAGCTTCGCAACATTGCCGTAAAGATCAAGGGGTCCCCGACCGTCTTGATGCCTGCGTGGAACAAGCTGTTAGCGCAACTCGGGCTCAAAGCACGGGTCATCCCTATCGACGTCCGCACTCGATGGAACTCTACACTCACCTTGGTTGATACAGCTGTTGAGATGCGCACACCCGACCCCCTTCCCCCTCTGTAGCCGTCGGTAACGGCGGTACGACCCCGTCATGTTGCCGTCGGTAACGGCCATACGAGCTCGTACGAGCTCCGGTCGTGTAGCCCGTCAGTAACGGTCGTACGAGCTCCGGTAGTGTAGCCGTCGGTAACGGTCGTACGAGCAGTGGTGGAGAAGTAATATACAATGCCAAATGTATCATTCTGGCTGTCGTGTGCGTGCTTTGAGGTCCTCTAGTGTGCTACATACACGCAAGAACATCCCGCAGCCCCAGGGAAGCTAATACCGGGCTAATATAGCAGGGAATGCTGGTTCCGGTAGTGGCACGTCCCACTGCCTACATTGCGCCCTACTGCACCGTACGTTTCGGTAATGCGTTCGCTACGTTCCCCTGGGTCATACGAGCTCGGAACAGTCGTTTTTATCACCGCGCGTGCTGTGGTTGGCCCGGAGCAATGAAAACACTGCCCAGACTCGTACGAGCCTGTAGCCGTCTGTCACGGTCGTACGAGGCACCTCCGGTGTGCACCCGGAATATTGCGGTAATGGATTCGGCAGATGCGCGTTACTGTACCGAACGCAGCGCACTCAATTTCGTTGCGATGCGTGCCATGGTTGGCCTGGGGTAACAAAAACGCTGCCCAGGCTCGTACGAGCCTGTAGCCGTCTGTCACGGTCGTACGAGGCACCTCCGGTGTGCACCTGGAATATTGCGGTAACGGATTCGGCATATGCGCGCGAGTGTACTGAACGTAACACATCAAATTCCATTGCCGTGCATATCATGGTTACAGAGGGAGGGTCAGAACAGTGCTCAGGCTCGTACGAGCCTGTACCCTGTCTCAGACGGTCGTACGAGTACCTCCGGGAGAGCGGACACCCGGAAATCTCGGCAATGCATGGCGTGCATTGCCGAAGGTTACCGGAACGCAGCAAACCTTATTTCGTCGCTTTGCGCACTGTAGTTAAGGTGGGAGAGTCGAAACAGTGTGCAGGCTCGTACGAGCCTGTACCCTGTGTGAGACGGTCGTACGAGTTGTTCCCTGGTGAACCTCGTTTTTTTTGGTAATGCTTTCGGTAGATGCGCACGGATACGCTGAGAATAGCGAACTCAATTTCATTGCTGTACCTGGTGTAGTTAAGGAGGTATTGTCGAAACAGTGTGCAGACTCGTACGAGTCTGTACCCCGTCTGGAACGGTCGTACGAGGTGCTCCTGGTGGGTATCAAAAATTTCCGGTAATGCATGCAATACATTGCCGGAGATCACTGGAACACAGCGCACTTTGTTTTATTGCTGTGCGTGGCATGGTCAAGGTGGCGGAATTGAAACACTACAAAAGCTCGTACGAGCTTGTACTCCGTCTGAGACGGTCGTACGAGTTGTCCCCCGGTGAACCTCGTTTTTTTCGGTAATGCGTTCGGTAGATGCGCACGGGTGTGCCGAGAATAGCGCACTTGATTTTAGTGCCTTATATGCTCTGGTTGGGGCAGCGGAGTTCAAACAGTGTGAACACTTGTATGAGCTTGTACCCTGTCTGTGACAGTCATACAAGGTGTCCTCCGGTAAAAACCCACTTTTTCCGGCAGTGCATTCATTACCGAGATTCCGGCAGCCCTTCCATTACCGAGATTCCGGCAGTCCCTCCATTACCGAGTGTTTGGTCATCTGTGTGTATTACCACTCTCACAACCGAGTTTTTGACCACCTGTGCATATTACCACTCTCACTGCCGAGTTTTTGATTGCCTGTATTCATTACCGAGTTTTTTGCACCCATTGCCGAGTTTTTGATCACCGGTATCAATCAGCAGTCCTCATTACCGAGTTTTTGACTGCCTGAATCCATCACCGAGTTTTTGGTCACCTCCGGACTTCAATGCCGAGTTTTTGACCACCGGTATCCATTGCTTGTCCTCATTACCGAGTTTTTGGACACCTCCAGCCTTCAATGCCGAGTTTTTATTACTGAGGTCTGTAATCCCGGTGCTCACTGCCAGTGCTCTCGCTGACCTCTGGCCTTCAATGCCGAGGTTTGAATACCAAGATCGGTAATCCCGGTGCTCACTGTTGGTCCTCTGGCCTTCAATACCGAGTTTTTGTTACTGAGGTCGGCAATTGTGCTACCAGTGGTGCTCACTGTCTCAAACAGCGAGCTCACTGTCAGACACAGTGAGCTCAACATGTTGCCCATCTCTGTATCTGTCCCTCATTTTTTTGGAATGCACCTCTGCATCACATCTGAATGTATTGCAGCACCTTGCAGCATATTTATATGAGTTGGTCTGCCTGTACTGAACACCTTCTACCTGAGAAGTCACCCTTCACAGCAGCATGTGTAGATGTTATTTCACCTCGCTGTTTTTTGGATCAGGGAGGAGCATGCAAGAGCTGTGGGTGTGCAAATTTGGAGGGCAGTAGCTGCAAAAGTGAGGGAGTAGTGTGGTATGATATTTTAAAATGACATACCACACACAGAAATGGGATGGGAGTGTATCACATTCCGAACACCTGGATATATTCATAGACGATATTATGAATGCAATGCAGAAGAGAGCGCACACAAATCAGGATTTCCGGTGAAGATACAAGATATGTGTGGAAAGTGGAAGTTCTGAGAAAACACGACATGCATAAGTTTATGTGCAGACATGATATCAACATGCTGTTTGCTGCATCACAATTGGGTACTATTGGGGTGCTCAGATCGGAATTTTCAAGCTTATCGGTGATGCGATGTATATGGGGCATCATATGTCATTATTTCATGACATACAGTATCCTGACACAGCATATGCTCCGATTAGCATGCGAAAACATGGAATATAACAGGGTAGAGCATAGCTATCCAACGCAGAAGAGACCTTAAAAAACGGTTGAGAATCAGTGGAGATGTGCAAGGTGAGCCAGAAGTGTGGTTGGAGTGGAAAGCGAGGTTGGAGCACATTCAGCATAAACCACACTTCTGGCTCACCTTGCACATCTCCACTAATTCTCAACCGTTTTTTAAGGTCTCTTCTGCGTTGGATAGCTATGCTCTACCCTGTTATATTCCATGTTTTCGCATGCTAATCGGAGCATATGCTGTGTCAGGATACTGTATGTCATGAAATAATGACATATGATGCCCCATATACATCGCATCACCGATAAGCTTGAAAATTCCGATCTGAGCACCCCAATAGTACCCAATTGTGATGCAGCAAACAGCATGTTGATATCATGTCTGCACATAAACTTATGCATGTCGTGTTTTCTCAGAACTTCCACTTTCCACACATATCTTGTATCTTCACCGGAAATCCTGATTTGTGTGCGCTCTCTTCTGCATTGCATTCATAATATCGTCTATGAATATATCCAGGTGTTCGGAATGTGATACACTCCCATCCCATTTCTGTGTGTGGTATGTCATTTTAAAATATCATACCACACTACTCCCTCACTTTTGCAGCTACTGCCCTCCAAATTTGCACACCCACAGCTCTTGCATGCTCCTCCCTGATCCAAAAAACAGCGAGGTGAAATAACATCTACACATGCTGCTGTGAAGGGTGACTTCTCAGGTAGAAGGTGTTCAGTACAGGCAGACCAACTCATATAAATATGCTGCAAGGTGCTGCAATACATTCAGATGTGATGCAGAGGTGCATTCCAAAAAAATGAGGGACAGATACAGAGATGGGCAACATGTTGAGCTCACTGTGTCTGACAGTGAGCTCGCTGTTTGAGACAGTGAGCACCACTGGTAGCACAATTGCCGACCTCAGTAACAAAAACTCGGTATTGAAGGCCAGAGGACCAACAGTGAGCACCGGGATTACCGATCTTGGTATTCAAACCTCGGCATTGAAGGCCAGAGGTCAGCGAGAGCACTGGCAGTGAGCACCGGGATTACAGACCTCAGTAATAAAAACTCGGCATTGAAGGCTGGAGGTGTCCAAAAACTCGGTAATGAGGACAAGCAATGGATACCGGTGGTCAAAAACTCGGCATTGAAGTCCGGAGGTGACCAAAAACTCGGTGATGGATTCAGGCAGTCAAAAACTCGGTAATGAGGACTGCTGATTGATACCGGTGATCAAAAACTCGGCAATGGGTGCAAAAAACTCGGTAATGAATACAGGCAATCAAAAACTCGGCAGTGAGAGTGGTAATATGCACAGGTGGTCAAAAACTCGGTTGTGAGAGTGGTAATACACACAGATGACCAAACACTCGGTAATGGAGGGACTGCCGGAATCTCGGTAATGGAAGGGCTGCCGGAATCTCGGTAATGAATGCACTGCCGGAAAAAGTGGGTTTTTACCGGAGGACACCTTGTATGACTGTCACAGACAGGGTACAAGCTCATACAAGTGTTCACACTGTTTGAACTCCGCTGCCCCAACCAGAGCATATAAGGCACTAAAATCAAGTGCGCTATTCTCGGCACACCCGTGCGCATCTACCGAACGCATTACCGAAAAAAACGAGGTTCACCGGGGGACAACTCGTACGACCGTCTCAGACGGAGTACAAGCTCGTACGAGCTTTTGTAGTGTTTCAATTCCGCCACCTTGACCATGCCACGCACAGCAATAAAACAAAGTGCGCTGTGTTCCAGTGATCTCCGGCAATGTATTGCATGCATTACCGGAAATTTTTGATACCCACCAGGAGCACCTCGTACGACCGTTCCAGACGGGGTACAGACTCGTACGAGTCTGCACACTGTTTCGACAATACCTCCTTAACTACACCAGGTACAGCAATGAAATTGAGTTCGCTATTCTCAGCGTATCCGTGCGCATCTACCGAAAGCATTACCAAAAAAAACGAGGTTCACCAGGGAACAACTCGTACGACCGTCTCACACAGGGTACAGGCTCGTACGAGCCTGCACACTGTTTCGACTCTCCCACCTTAACTACAGTGCGCAAAGCGACGAAATAAGGTTTGCTGCGTTCCGGTAACCTTCGGCAATGCACGCCATGCATTGCCGAGATTTCCGGGTGTCCGCTCTCCCGGAGGTACTCGTACGACCGTCTGAGACAGGGTACAGGCTCGTACGAGCCTGAGCACTGTTCTGACCCTCCCTCTGTAACCATGATATGCACGGCAATGGAATTTGATGTGTTACGTTCAGTACACTCGCGCGCATATGCCGAATCCGTTACCGCAATATTCCAGGTGCACACCGGAGGTGCCTCGTACGACCGTGACAGACGGCTACAGGCTCGTACGAGCCTGGGCAGCGTTTTTGTTACCCCAGGCCAACCATGGCACGCATCGCAACGAAATTGAGTGCGCTGCGTTCGGTACAGTAACGCGCATCTGCCGAATCCATTACCGCAATATTCCGGGTGCACACCGGAGGTGCCTCGTACGACCGTGACAGACGGCTACAGGCTCGTACGAGTCTGGGCAGTGTTTTCATTGCTCCGGGCCAACCACAGCACGCGCGGTGATAAAAACGACTGTTCCGAGCTCGTATGACCCAGGGGAACGTAGCGAACGCATTACCGAAACGTACGGTGCAGTAGGGCGCAATGTAGGCAGTGGGACGTGCCACTACCGGAACCAGCATTCCCTGCTATATTAGCCCGGTATTGGCTTCCCAGGGGCTGTAGAATATCGTTTTCATTGTTGTTGTACCAATTACAATGTACTATGGTATGTAGGAGAGTTGGAAAAGCACTAAGCTATCAAGGGGAACTACCTGCCCCCCACATCTCGTACGACCGTTACTGACGGCTACATTACCGGAGCTCGTACGAGCTCGTATGGCCGTTACCGACGGCAACGCGGGCACCTCGTATGGGCGTTACCGACGGGCTACAGCACTGCCACCGAGTGCACACCCATCACGGTGTTCTGTGCATCGGACGAGGGGAGTGATGTGCTGGGTTCGTTTGCACTGACCCCGCACGAGTGGCTCATCGCAGAGCAGCTCGTCGACGCGCTGAAGGTGCGAACCTTGTTTTGGCAGCTGTACAGTTGATACTCACGGTCTGTCCACCGGCGGCTTTCATGCGCGTTTGTCGACTCCTGCGACGTTCGCCTCACACTCCCGGGTCCCCTGCTTCTCTCTCTCTCTCTCTGCTTCATTGTTGGCACGCTAGATCTTCAAGGATGCCACTGAGTTCTTCTCTCGCGACACGCCCAACCTCGCCCACATCATTCCGGTCATGGACAAGATCGACAAAGAGCTCACTGTCAAGAACCAGCCGGGCAGCTTGTTCCGGCCGAGGGTCCCGTACGACCCTGCTATCCGTGCCGTGTTCGGCTTCGCAAAGCAGATGCTCCACAAGTACTATGACCTCACCGACTCTGTTGAGGCGTACCGCATTGCTATGAGTGAGTGTCTTAGAATCTGTGTTACTTTGTTTGACTACAACGTGCTTTGTCAGTCCTCCACCCGACGTACAAGGACGACTACTTCGTGGCCCTGAAGTGGGACGAGGGTATGATCGAGACGGCCATTGAGCTCGTCCGGGACGAGTTCAACGTCTCGTACAATGCTCCTGACACCCATGCGGCTTCCAACTCGGAGGATCCCGTAGAATCGGACCGTCAGGCCAACAATACTGCACCGGTACGTCACCATTGGTTCGCTCTTCTTCTTGCTGTGTTACTCATGTCGCATTGTGCTCCCACAGAAGGACGGCCGGAGCAGCAAGAACATGTTCGATTCTGTGTCGTTCTTGCCCGAGGACTTCACCAAGTCTGCAGCCCCTAGTACCCGCGACGAACTCACACGATACCTTGCATTGCCACGCGAGCCTCACGGTACCAATGCCATCCAGTGGTGGCAAGATCACGCAAGCAGCTTCCCTCGCCTCAGCCGCATGGCGTTGGACTATCTCACAATCCCAGGTTCGTCCCCGGTGCTCCACTCTTTCCATGACCGTTGTGCTTACTCCACGCTTCTGACAGCTACCTCCATTGAGGTTGAACGCATTTTCAGCCGCGGCCGGTACCTCATCCCCTACACGCGCAACCGCATGTCCGCGCAGACGACGCGCGCTCTGCTGTGTCTCGGGGCCTGGTCCGAGCTTGAGCTCATCGACAAGAACGTCTTGAAGAACGTGGGCAAGCTCGATGTAATCGACGAGGCGGGCTCCGACTATGAGATGGATGATGATTGGGATCACATTGACACATCGGACAATGAGATGTCGGACTAGAATACATGTACGTATACCGCCCGGCAGTATCCCTCGTGCGCACCGTCTCGAGCGCGCCATCAGGCTCCCTTGCACGCGCCTTCTCGTCCACACCGTCTTGCCCTCGCTGTCACATCGCCCAGCACACCGTCTCGCGGCTCGCCCATGCCGTTTCCTGCAGACCGTCTCGCACGTGCCACCTCGCCCATGCCATCTCACTCACTGCGTCGTCTCCTGCGGACCGTTTCGTGCGCACCGTCTCACGCATGCGCTGGCATCGTCTCGCATGCACTGTCTCGCGCGCAGTCTTGCATGCACACTCTCGTATGCAGCATCGAGTCACTGCCGTCCTAGCCTATCCTGTTCACCCGCGGGTGCCTGCCACGGGTGCACACCCGTGAGATACCCTTCCTACCCGTGTGCAAGCTGACCCTCGGGTCTACGGGTGCGGGTGTGCGCGGGTACGGGTGCGGGTCGAGTCAAAATCACCCGAGGGTCACCCGTGGTGAACCCTAGCACTGAGGATGTAGAGGGTAAAGTCCGGTCGCGCAAAAGCGCAGGTACGAGCACAGGTGCGCGTTCAAGCAACCGTGGCGCTGTCGTTGTTCTTGTTGTGTTCTGCGATTGCACAGGATAATGAACGCGTAGGTGTCGGTCAGTCCATTGAGGTGTTGCGCTCTGCTATGTCGGCAGCAGGAAGGAACTCGGCGTCAGCGTCCATGGTGGTCCATGGTGTCGGAAGCGGACGTGGAGTCGCTATTCGCCGTGGCTGTGAGCGCGGGGAATGGCTCGCAGACTGGCAGCGTGATCTCTTCGCGTGTCCGTTCAGCTTGTGGGCAGCAGACGGGCTGCGCTGGCAGTTGTAACCGTCGTCCTGCGGGAGTGTGGCGATGCCGAGCAGGATAGGGAGTGAAACAAGCGGTGGTAGCTGCACCGTTTGATGTGTGACATCTGCCGAACGCGTCAGGAGAAGAATGCGAAGAGAATCCAGCGGGTACGTGCCGTAGTAGGGGTGGAGGCCGGACGGAGAGTCCCGTTGATCAACACCAACGTCCTCCTAGAGCTCCCACGCATGTGCTCCGGGTGCTGCGCCTCCCACAGATGACTTTGGTTGTGGACATCGCGCACAGTGCAAGGACCATACCTCACTGTGCTCTGTGCGACTTGTGGCTCGGCTCATCAACGTGCGTGGTGGGTGGGGCGATGAGTCGGACGAGCAGGAGCCCCTGGGCGACCTTCAGTGCAGGCAGACTTCATGAAGATGAAGTGGCAGGAGGGGCGCATTTGACGCGTGGTGGATGGACTCGAGCTGGGGTGAGAGATCGGTCGAGTGTCTGTTGGGATAGTAGGCGGGGTGTGCGAGTGAGAGGGCTGCATGCGCACATAGGCGGCACGAGTGACACATATAGTCGGGTCGTAGATCGAATAGGCACGAGGAAGTTGAAGAGGGATGGTGGAGGTGAGAACAGCGTGGGCGAGAGGACATGGGCAGCGGACGCCAGAGAGCACGGTGTGCACTGTGCACTGTGCAACGGCGGCGTGTGCTGGGCCGCTGGCGGCCGCGGCACGCGGCAAGATCACGTGGATTCTCACGCAAAGCCGTGCGCTGTGCCGCATGCGCCAGCCTACGCCAGCCCACACCTCGCACGCCCAAGGCGCGCGCCACCCCTGGCGCGTGACCTGGTCCCAATCGCGAACCCTCCCGGAACGCGAGGCGCAGCCTCCGGCGCCTGATGAGGCCGGTTCTAGCGCGAGTAGCCTGAGCGGGGGTAAGTGAGGCGGCCAAGAAGCGCACGGACTTTTTTCTCGGTGGACTTTAGTTTCGGACAACGCGCGCTCGCTACAGGGGGTGCCGGGCGCCCGCGGCCCGATGACGTCGAAGTTCCGTAATCTGCCTACGGGTGCGGTCCCGTGCCACCGAGCGTCAACCGAACGCGGGATACTGGCCTAGCGCTGGGTCACCGTCGCTACGGTACTTACGTAGCCACTATGTGAACCGTCGGGATGGTCTGAGAATAATAATAATAATAATAATAAGCCAGCCTACGCCAGCAAATCCCTCTCCTGCCCCCAACTTCCTCTTCCTCCTCCTCCTCACCATCCACAGCGCCGCCCCCCACCGAATTCAGCTATCTTTGAACCTCGTTCATCCACCTCTTGTCTAGTACCCGATCTGCCTGCTTGTCCGCTTCCTTCCTTGCACCCTGCCTTGCTCATAGCCCCCTCCTGCCAGCTCACCCAACCTGCCAGCTTCTGTACCCGCCCATCCCTACTGTTCTGGTGGACGCAATGGTATGTTTCCACTGTCTTGCATTCATGCGGGCCCGTCTACAGCACAGCGTGGACAAGAATTGAGTGTGCAGGTGGCCATTAACAAGACACGCACAACTAGGGCCTGGGCCGATGCAACCTCGTACGTACCCAACACCGCGCCCCTTTTGCCGTGCCCGCCTCTCACCTCCCTCCACTCCTCTCCCCGCAGATACCACGGCCCGGCACACTAGATCGGGAAGACGGTCCAGCCCTGTTATCGCCGTCACAGCGTCCATCCCTGCGACTATCGTCAATTCATGGGATGGCGGCGCAGGAGCCAGCGGAGAGGTACGACACGCATGAGAGTCGAGGGAAACAAACGCGAACAGGAGGTGGTGCGGGGGAGCCCAGTGTGGACCGGCGGTACGTGGCGTCGTCCTTCGACACGCACTGACGCACCCGCTGACACCCCGACTATCCCCCCTCACCTTCACCTCTACCTCTACAGGTCTTCCATGCACTCGGTGTACTGCACGCGCTGCATGTACTCGCGCAGCCACGCCGGCTACCGCTCAAGTCGCTGCACCACCCGCTCTCGCGCTCGCCGTCGCCGGCTCCTCGCCCTGCGCCGCGCGGTGCTTTCTCGCGCTCTTCTGCCGCTGTACACCGAACGCGGCCGCCTCGCCCGCGTCCGCCTTGGTGTGCGCCCAGCCCTCGCGCCGGCGGAGCGTCGTGTACCGCCGGTTCCAGGCCCCGGGTGGAGTGCAAGGAGCAGCATCTTCGCCTGGTGCACGAGGCTCGGTGTGGGTGCGAGCGTGCCACACGCCCTCCACGAGACGCATATGCACACTGACATCCGATTGGGTGGAGACTGCGATTGAAGACATCCGCGCTGATGCGTGGTTCAGCCAGTACGAACGCTCGGAGTGAGGTCTTCGCGCGTAACTTGATGGAGCGTTGTTTCCCCTCTTGTTCGCAAGTAGTCGCTGTCATGTGAATGGCATATCTCATCACTATGTATTCGCTCGTGGTATCTTGATAATGCAATTTATTTATTCCATTAATTCCCGTCCGAATTTGCGTGCTGGTATCAAGAGCCACTGACGAACTGCTCCGTCTGTTCTGTCTGCGCAACTGTAGGAGAACACTCAGCGGTCGACTGCTCAACTGCTGGGTTTTACTGTCCGTCTGTTGTCTGCTCGTCTGTGGGGCACTGTCCGTCACTGTGACAGACGGACAGTGCCCAGCAGACGTGTGAAAAATTACTGATGTGGTAGCCGAGGCGCGACGGAAAGCAAAAGGTGGGAGCTAGGTCGCGTTGGGTACTTGTGGCCGCAATCTCACGCAGACTGGCCCGCGTGGAACGTCGTCTAGGGGAGTGGCAGGATCAGAGGGCGGCGCCCCGCTCCGGAAGGTTTGTCCGCACCGCGCTACGGCCAGCACCGGAATTCAGCGGACGCCACCGCACTCGTGTTCACAGAACTTCACAAAGCCGGACGAGGTTGCAGCAGCGCGCAGTTGAATTTTTCACACGTCTGCTGGGCACTGTCCGTCTGTCACAGTGACGGACAGTGCCCCACAGACGAGCAGACAACAGACGGACAGTAAAACCCAGCAGTTGAGCAGTCGACCGCTGAGTGTTCTCCTACAGTTGCGCAGACAGAACAGACGGAGCAGTTCGTCAGTGGCTCTTGATACCAGCACGCAAATTCGGACGGGAATTAATGGAATAAATAAATTGCATTATCAAGATACCACGAGCGAATACATAGTGATGAGATATGCCATTCACATGACAGCGACTACTTGCGAACAAGAGGGGAAACAACGCTCCATCAAGTTACGCGCGAAGACCTCACTCCGAGCGTTCGTACTGGCTGAACCACGCATCAGCGCGGATGTCTTCAATCGCAGTCTCCACCCAATCGGATGTCAGTGTGCATATGCGTCTCGTGGAGGGCGTGTGGCACGCTCGCACCCACACCGAGCCTCGTGCACCAGGCGAAGATGCTGCTCCTTGCACTCCACCCGGGGCCTGGAACCGGCGGTACACGACGCTCCGCCGGCGCGAGGGCTGGGCGCACACCAAGGCGGACGCGGGCGAGGCGGCCGCGTTCGGTGTACAGCGGCAGAAGAGCGCGAGAAAGCACCGCGCGGCGCAGGGCGAGGAGCCGGCGACGGCGAGCGCGAGAGCGGGTGGTGCAGCGACTTGAGCGGTAGCCGGCGTGGCTGCGCGAGTACATGCAGCGCGTGCAGTACACCGAGTGCATGGAAGACCTGTAGAGGTAGAGGTGAAGGTGAGGGGGGATAGTCGGGGTGTCAGCGGGTGCGTCAGTGCGTGTCGAAGGACGACGCCACGTACCGCCGGTCCACACTGGGCTCCCCCGCACCACCTCCTGTTCGCGTTTGTTTCCCTCGACTCTCATGCGTGTCGTACCTCTCCGCTGGCTCCTGCGCCGCCATCCCATGAATTGACGATAGTCGCAGGGATGGACGCTGTGACGGCGATAACAGGGCTGGACCGTCTTCCCGATCTAGTGTGCCGGGCCGTGGTATCTGCGGGGAGAGGAGTGGAGGGAGGTGAGAGGCGGGCACGGCAAAAGGGGCGCGGTGTTGGGTACGTACGAGGTTGCATCGGCCCAGGCCCTAGTTGTGCGTGTCTTGTTAATGGCCACCTGCACACTCAATTCTTGTCCACGCTGTGCTGTAGACGGGCCCGCATGAATGCAAGACAGTGGAAACATACCATTGCGTCCACCAGAACAGTAGGGATGGGCGGGTACAGAAGCTGGCAGGTTGGGTGAGCTGGCAGGAGGGGGCTATGAGCAAGGCAGGGTGCAAGGAAGGAAGCGGACAAGCAGGCAGATCGGGTACTAGACAAGAGGTGGATGAACGAGGTTCAAAGATAGCTGAATTCGGTGGGGGGCGGCGCTGTGGATGGTGAGGAGGAGGAGGAAGAGGAAGTTGGGGGCAGGAGAGGGATTTGCTGGCGTAGGCTGGCTTATTATTATTATTATTATTATTCTCAGACCATCCCGACGGTTCACATAGTGGCTACGTAAGTACCGTAGCGACGGTGACCCAGCGCTAGGCCAGTATCCCGCGTTCGGTTGACGCTCGGTGGCACGGGACCGCACCCGTAGGCAGATTACGGAACTTCGACGTCATCGGGCCGCGGGCGCCCGGCACCCCCTGTAGCGAGCGCGCGTTGTCCGAAACTAAAGTCCACCGAGAAAAAAGTCCGTGCGCTTCTTGGCCGCCTCACTTACCCCCGCTCAGGCTACTCGCGCTAGAACCGGCCTCATCAGGCGCCGGAGGCTGCGCCTCGCGTTCCGGGAGGGTTCGCGATTGGGACCAGGTCACGCGCCAGGGGTGGCGCGCGCCTTGGGCGTGCGAGGTGTGGGCTGGCGTAGGCTGGCGCATGCGGCACAGCGCACGGCTTTGCGTGAGAATCCACGTGATCTTGCCGCGTGCCGCGGCCGCCAGCGGCCCAGCACACGCCGCCGTTGCACAGTGCACAGTGCACACCGTGCTCTCTGGCGTCCGCTGCCCATGTCCTCTCGCCCACGCTGTTCTCACCTCCACCATCCCTCTTCAACTTCCTCGTGCCTATTCGATCTACGACCCGACTATATGTGTCACTCGTGCCGCCTATGTGCGCATGCAGCCCTCTCACTCGCACACCCCGCCTACTATCCCAACAGACACTCGACCGATCTCTCACCCCAGCTCGAGTCCATCCACCACGCGTCAAATGCGCCCCTCCTGCCACTTCATCTTCATGAAGTCTGCCTGCACTGAAGGTCGCCCAGGGGCTCCTGCTCGTCCGACTCATCGCCCCACCCACCACGCACGTTGATGAGCCGAGCCACAAGTCGCACAGAGCACAGTGAGGTATGGTCCTTGCACTGTGCGCGATGTCCACAACCAAAGTCATCTGTGGGAGGCGCAGCACCCGGAGCACATGCGTGGGAGCTCTAGGAGGACGTTGGTGTTGATCAACGGGACTCTCCGTCCGGCCTCCACCCCTACTACGGCACGTACCCGCTGGATTCTCTTCGCATTCTTCTCCTGACGCGTTCGGCAGATGTCACACATCAAACGGTGCAGCTACCACCGCTTGTTTCACTCCCTATCCTGCTCGGCATCGCCACACTCCCGCAGGACGACGGTTACAACTGCCAGCGCAGCCCGTCTGCTGCCCACAAGCTGAACGGACACGCGAAGAGATCACGCTGCCAGTCTGCGAGCCATTCCCCGCGCTCACAGCCACGGCGAATAGCGACTCCACGTCCGCTTCCGACACCATGGACCACCATGGACGCCGACGCCGAGTTCCTTCCTGCTGCCGACATAGCAGAGCGCAACACCTCAATGGACTGACCGACACCTACGCGTTCATTATCCTGTGCAATCGCAGAACACAACAAGAACAACGACAGCGCCACGGTTGCTTGAACGCGCACCTGTGCTCGTACCTGCGCTTTTGCGCGACCGGACTTTACCCTCTACATCCTCACTTTGTCGTTCTCATCTTGTATACTGTACGCATGGTCTCTTCCATTCCCATTTTCCCGCTCTCACACCGCTCTTTCTATAGTACAATCCCGCGCTCCAGCTGCGCAGGTCATCGACACGCTCCGCAAGCTGCGTGGCGAAATCGCTGGCAAGGTTGTGCGCGTCGTAGTAGAGCTTGCGCTTCAAGTAACTGCGCACACGAGCGCACCCTCGGGTGCTGTGCACTGGGAGCCTGGACGGCACGTTGAGCCCTGGGGCAGCGTGTCGTGACGCCTATCGCCTGTTGCGTTCGCCCTCGGACTTTCCTCCTCCTCTCCAGGTCGCAAGTAGTAGATCGATTTTCAGACTAATACCAATATATTCTCCCCGTGAGATTACTTAATCGCGCTCGAAGTAGCCAGTATTAGTTTTTGCAAATGAGGGTTTTTTTGCAGTCGACTGTCCGTCTGCCCAACTGTGTGAGCTGTGCACCCCCGAACTGTCCATCTGCTCGACTGCTGAACTGTGGCTGCTGCGTGCGAAATGGACAGACGCGACAGCTGTGCCAGACGCGTGCAAAATTACTGATGCGGCGGTCGCCAATGCGCCCCCCGGAACGTACGCCCCAGGTGTGACGGCGATGGAGTGGCTGGTGAGGAGGGTCAAGTCGCAGCGGGTGACGAACTACACGGTGTGTCCTGTCCCGCCGACGTGCGCTGTTGCGAAGGGCTGCACTTGAGGGCCCTAGAGTAAGCCGGGTAAGCCGGCTGACCGGATCCCAAAATACCCCGAAGGTACTGTCCGGCCGGGCCCGATCAGGTCCGGCCAGGTACCCCGTCGGAGTCACCCGATCAGGTCGCCCCGGGTAGTGCGGAGGAGTCGCCCGATCAGACCGGGATGCTGGTGGGGAATAACATCGAGGGGGCTTCAGCAATGACCTGTACGTAGCATAGCGACACAATATATAAAGGTGCCAGCGCGTAGAGCAAATGGGGGACGAGCACGTTGAGCGTAGGGGGGTTTCTATGTGTTTGTGTTCCGGCCAGGTCGTGCGGGGGACTCAGGCAGCCGGATCCGGCTGAAATCAACCGCCGGGCTCTGGGCAACCCACTGCAGCGCGCGATGCCTGCACATGGCACCCACATGTTCAGGATGCCGCCCCATGCCCATTTCAGAGGCGCACGGCGGCGTTGTGGCCCTTCGAAAGGGCTCGCGCGGGGGCCGGGTTGTGCGGGGGACTCAGGCAGCCGGATCCGGCTAAAATCAACCACCGAGCCCGGGCAATGGGAAGTGAGAGGACGAGGGCATGCAAGCGGCTCACCGATGAAAGCAGGCATGAGGGTGTGCGAGAGACTATGGGTGTGACCAAGGGGATGGGCGAGGCGGTGGAAAGGACCAAAGGTGAGCATGACAGCGTCAGAGAAGGCGAAGGCGAAGGCGCCGGCGATAGGGAAGGCGCCAGCGATAGCGAGGGCGACAGCGAAGGCGAGGGCGACAGATACGGCGATCGCGTCAGATACAGTCCTGGGATCCACCAGGATCATTAGCGCCTGATCCATCAAGCACATCGATTTGCCTGCTTGCTCTCTCCCGCTCGCTCTTGACCTCGCCGCGCTTTTGCAGTGGATTTCCCTCACCTTCAAGTTCGCCCTGGTGTTCCTCATGTCACAACAAGAGGCCAGCGCATCCGGCCAAGGCCTCACGCAGTTGTTGCCGGCCAGGATCCGTGAATTCAGCGATGTCTGCACACAGCTCAACTCCGCGTGGATCCGCTGGAAATTCGTTACGATCCCACCCCAGTCCCGCCCTGTATATGAGCTGAATCTGCGGCATCTTGTCTGTTCTGTTGGCTCCCTATTTGGCAGACACCACCGCGACATCAACGGGACTCTTCCTTCCATTGCCCTCGCCGCAGTTTACGAGTTCAAGCGCGGTGTTATGGCTCGAAGAGCCATCGCGGAGATTAGGTCCAGAGGGGATCCTCAAAAGATAGACGAAATTGAGGCCGGTCTTCCCCCCCCCTGTCGTCATTCTTTCCAACCTCCTCCCAATCTTCCGCGATATCCCACTCCCGGATTACTTCCAAGGAATCACATTGGACCCCCCCATCATGCCCAACGACCACGGCGTCATCCGCATCATGCCGCCGTTGGAAACCTCGTCTGTCTGGTGGCTGAGCGACGGTTAGTTTTTGCACTCCCTGCCCCGTCTTCCGTTATCCTGACGTTTTTCGTCACAGAGTTCAGTCCCCCTCCACAAAACGACGGGCCAAGTTCTGACGTCGGCATCGAGATGCAGGACTCTGAAACCAGTTCGTGTCCTTGATCCATTTTCAGAACAATACTAATCATGGCTGCTCAGAACCCGGCAAACGAAAGGCTCCTCCCGATGAACACGTCCCTCCAGAGGATGGGTTCCCACCGGAGGAAGTAATTGGAGACTTTAAATTGAAGCTTCCACAGGTTCGTTGCTGATCCTAAACATTGATTGCGTTGTAACTTTCTAATTGGGCGAATGTTTCCAGGACCAGCGCTGCAGCAATTGCAAGGGCAAAAGTAGATCCTGCATCATCGCGACGCTGCATAGCGCCAAGTGTCTCGGGTGCATTGGAGACAGAAAGGGATGCTCGCTGAATGAGAACGCCACACGACGCGCTCAGCTAGAGAGCTATAAAGGTTTCCGTCTGGCTTGTCAAGTCACTGACCCAGATCGATTTCCAAGAGACCCTGAACAGGACGGTTCGTGGGCTCGGAAAGACCGCAAAGACGAAGATGTGCCATCCTGGTACCGACTCCTCGTCTCCAAAGAACGCATCAAGGGATGGTCGAAATCCGAAGTTGATAAACTCCCGGTTTTTACACTCTCACCCCCGATTCATTTGCCAACTGCCCCTACCGCCCCAGTCAGTCCGCCCATCCTATCACCCGTTCCGCCCATCCCATCGCCTGTTCCGCCCGATTCGCCGGCGCCCCCTCGTGTTTCTCCCCCTCGTGCATCGCCCCCCGGGCCTTCGGCTGATAGTAACCTGCCGAGCGAGAGCAACATCGGGCAAGAATCTATGGACGAAGTCTCTATTGACCAGGTGTCGGATGAGGAGGCTCATTCGGACCACTCCGGGCAGTCCCCTGGTCCCGGTCAGCGTGCGCGTGGGCACCGGCGCGGTCGTGGCCATGGCCGTGGGCGCGGACGTGGGAAGGGTGTTAAGTCTGCCCAAGGTGGAACCCAGGTCCGTCACGGGAAGAACAAGGGGAAGTCGGTCGATCGGGGATCAGCGACTGGACCGGACGAAGTTGAAAGCAACGCGGCCACAGTCAAGTCGTCCACCGAACCATCGCGCAAGAAACGCAGAGTGGCAGACGCCGGATCCACTGCCCAGGCGAAGACGCACCTGAGGTCGCAAGGCGGTGAAGAGCTTGTGGAAGACAGCCCCGACCTGGTTGACGGTTTGTGCCACTTGACGGTTTGATTATTTCTGTGTGGCTAATGCAGTTGATGCACAGAGGACAAGTCGGACATGGAGTGGATGCAACGACGGGCCCCGCGACCACCTGGTGAGCATGTTTGATATATTTATTCGTTGTGCTTATCAGATCCACAGCGGATTCATATGAAAATATGTCCAAGGCGGTTGTGAAGCCCAACAACCCTTGGGAAGCAGGGCGACAGGCCCGTCAGGGAAGCACAGAGTCGAACATCAATGACGAGGACCAGACGAACAGGCAGGGGGACGCCACAAGACAAAACAGCCACAGTGTAGATGACCATGAGGGGGCCATTGACGGGAGCGCAGGGGGCGTTGATGAGAGCAGTGGGTGTCCGAAATTGACATGTTATTTTCAACGCTAACAGCGGCATGTTCGAACGCCAGCTGTCCCTACCGGGCAAGATTCTTCTGCACCTGAGGAAGACCGTGACGCCTACGGTCTTCGATTAGGGATAACGTACGGCCTGCGCGTGTCGATGGACATGATCAGATTGATGATCAAATGCGGTAAAGTAAGCCGGTCGTTTGTTTTCTGCTCGACGTAACACGTTTTAATTTGGCGTCAGGATGCTCCCGACGACCGCGAAGACAGAAGAATCACTATGTCTCGTAGTGAAATGAGAGCCCTTCTCACGGAGCTTAAGGACTGTTCGGACATTTTGACGACGATCATTGAAGGGGCCCCAAATCCGATATTTAACATCACTGCCGCTCATCGTCACCTCAAGAACGCCGGGCAAGCCATCGATCGGCCCCTCAACAGAGCGAACAACTCAATCGTAAACGCTGCCCCTCAGCCGTTGCCCTCTCAGGAGGACGTCTCAAGCACCGTTCGTGGGATGCTCGACTCTGTGTTATCGCAATGGGAGGAAGGCGAATTTCTGGAGTCAGTGAAGACCTCGATGAAGAATATGATCGAAAACGTGGTTCAGGAAGGTGCGCGCCTGTCTAACCACGCTCTAAAAATTCGCATTAAAGTGCCATTGATTACATTAGGTTTTAATCTGATAACCCTCAACGCCGCAGAGGACCTTGTGGCGGGAGCCCTTCGTTCGATGCAAGAGCAGATTTCCCAGATGAAGGAAGAAGGTCAGTGTGAGCTGGAACACATTCTAGGATTTGTGGTTGCTCATAGAACTCACTGATGCAGCCGCTGCTCATCGAGAAGAACTCCTGGTCGAAACGAACAGACATCTTCAGGAAGAGCTCGCCCGGGACAGAGCCGACCTCACCCGTTTCATTCAGGACGCGCATTCGATAGCCAGCGACGTCCTTGTGACGTCAGGTCTGCTCCCAGAGGTCAATGTTGGCGAAACGGAGGAAGCACGCCAACGGCTGCATGAGGTCGACCCCGGGCTCGCTCAGGTCGGGCTGCCTTGGCGACAGGCATACAGGGACGTCTCGCAGCATATTGGAGATGGGCAGGCTAAGACTGCCACTTTGGCGTTTTTCTTCAACAATCTGCGGTTGCGCATCGAAGCCTTGGAGTCCAACTTGACCTCCTCTGGTTCGCCAATGGGCTCGACTGAAGCCGCTGGGCCGAGTGCATCGGGCTCTGGAGGAGACCGCCGCCCAGGGAACGTAGGAACCACAGCCAACCAACCTCTTGTTCGCCTGCCTGTTGCATCGAAAACGGCAGGCCCTGCCCTGTCTGAATTCACCTTCGAGATGGGGATCCATGGGCGGCGCCCATCAGTATTTTTACATGTGTCAGACAGGGTCTGAAAAGGTCTGTACAGACCCATCCGACCCCTTTCTGACCTGTCTGACTGTCCGACATCCGACCCCGTCAAAATTGTCATCCGACTTTGTTGTATCCTCATAATCTGACATTCTGATCTTAATCTGACTTTTGTGCTGACATTCTGGCCTCGATCCGACTTTTGCGAGAGACTGGATTCCGCGCAATTTGAGCTGAACGGGGTAGTTACAATGCGTATATTGAGTGCGGTATATAAGTACATGGCCCCTTTATCTACACGACATCCATGCACTACACCCGTCCGACCCGTGGCGCATGCGCAGTCACCCGTGGGCTCTGGCCACGACCCCGGATTCATCGCCGTCTGTGCGCGTCGCGGCCACAAAGGCAACGGGGCGGGGCAAGAGGAAGGAGTGCATGCCGCTACTGTAGCCTGGGGTTGCCACTCATATTGCTGACACTGTAGCCCGGGAATGCCACTCAGATGGACTCATATGAGTGGGCGCTCTGTAGCCTGCATTCTCGCTCATATGAGTGCACAGCCACCTGTATAAGCCGCCTTTCACTGCCTGTCTATAGTATTGTTACTATGTTGCTACTATTACTGCTTTATTATCATGTAGCCTGGAGTGCCATCTATATGAGCCTGTTGCTTGGGCTATTACTCGTATGAGCCTGTTGCTTGGGTTGTTACTCATATGAGCCTGTTGCTTGTGCCACCGCTCATATAGGCATAGCGCTTATCCCATGTATTGCCACTTTAGCTACTATAAATTTATATAAACATGTAGCCTGCATTGACAGTTTCACCCTTGTCTGAGGTATACACCAAGCACCTGCACCTCTATGAATATACAGTACCTACTACCAAGCTATCCTCATGTATATGTGCATACTAACAAGTGCTCACCCCTCTGAGCACTCATTTGTATCTGTGGTATGTACACTAAGTGCCCATCCTCAATTGAAGTTTGATGCTTATTTTGTGCCAAACATATCTCCCTTTGCTCTGTAATACATCCTGTGCATGCTGAGCACCCACGTTTGATGGGCATACGCACTCTGAGCACCCATGTGTGAACATGTTTGCACTCCGAGCGCCCGTGTCTGAACCTTGTCGCACTCCGGGCGCCCGTCCTTGGTGGCGCATAGCACTTCGAGCCCGCACCCCCATTACCTTGCCCCTCTCCGAGTTCTCCACCGTTTGACGTCATCTTGGGCTTTTTTTGTGCGCGTTTCTACCCTCTTTCCAACGAGCCGCCCCGTTCCGCGATGCGCCTCGCCGTTGTCTCGCTGCGCATCGTCTTGTGCAACAGAAGATCGCCCCTCGTGTCACCCACTTGATGCTCCCGTCCCTTGACGGTTCGGAGCTCGTTTTCGATGCGGCCAGGTTCATTCTCTTCCCCTCGTCAAGGCCATTCAGATGCACCTTTGCGCGCGCCGGTACGCCCAGTCAATTGTCCATGACGGCTGCCGCATTGCCGCCTTTTTGCCCTATCTGCATCTTCCTCAACCCCCACGATCTTGAGCACCATGGCTGCATATCCCGTTCGTTCCGCACGCATTTTGGTACGCGTTCCCCCCTCGTTTCCTCGCATATAACGCGCCCTCGATGCCGCCAAAACGCGCAGCAGCTCACACACAGCAGCCACTGCTCTCTCCACACCGCCTCCAGCCATCTTCAGGCTTGGATTCAACACACCGCCTTTCCAGTTTCGCTCCGATCGCGCTGAAAATTGGAGCTCAGATGGCCCTCATCAACTCCTTTCGAACGCGCCCGCGTTCGTCTCATGCGCCGCACTCGTTCTCCCGCTGTGCGCTGCGCAAGACCGCCTACAACCGGCACTCCCTTCCCATCTTTCCAATGCTCGATCTCGCCCACTTTACTACCTAAGAAGACGTGGATGGGTTCATTCGTCGCGCGTTATCAAGCACTTTCGATCGAGCGCTTGGATGTAGCAGTCGGAAGAGATTTGCGTTGTGGACGGCAGGATATGTGTATGTCCAACTTGCCTTCAAGGCCCCTCCTCCTGTGTCCCCCGGTCTTGCCCTTGCATCTTGCCCATTCCATGTCCGTTTGGCATGCGTTTTGGTGCATAGGTGAGCATCTATCCCTTCGTTTGAACGCCACCTTACACATTGTGATCTGTGCCTTTCCTGATGTTTGATATCTTGGTGCTCAGCACCTGTTTGACCTGACCTATACTGTATACACTGTCAACCCCCTCAGTCTCCCTCACTTTTTCAGAATGCAACTGTACATCACATATGAACACAGTGCTGCACATTGCAGCATATTTATATGAGTTAGTCTGCCTGTACTGGACACCTTATCCCTGGAAAGTCACCCTTCACAGCAGCATATGTAGATGGTAATTCACCAAGATAATTTGTTTATCAGAGAGTAGCTTGTAAGAGCTGTTGGTGTGCAAATTTGGAAGGCAGTAGCTGCAAAAGTGAGGGAATAATGAGGTATGATATTTTAAAATGACATACCACACACAGACATGGTATGAGAGTGTATCACATTCCAGACACCTAGATATATTCACAGACAATATCATGAATGCATTGGAGAAGAGATGAAACATAAATACAGATTTCCGGTGATGATACAAGATATGTCTGGAAAGTGGAAGTTCTGAAAAAACATGACATGCATAAGTTCATGTGCAGACATGATATTAACAGGCCGTTTGCTTCATCACAATTGGATACTATTCGGCTGCTCAGATCGGAATTTGTAAGCTTATCGGGGATGAGATGCATGTGAGGGATAGTATGTCATTATTTTATGACATACGGTACCCCTGGCCTGGCATGTGCTCCGATTATAATGCGAAAACATGGAACAGAACGGGGTAAGTCACAGCTATCCAGTGCAGAAGGGATCTTGAAAAACGGTTATGAATCAGTGGAGATGTGCAAGGCAGGCCGGGGGTGCGGTTTGTGCTGGGTGTGCATTGACTCCGCTTTCTGCTGCAACCACACTTCTGGCCTGCCTTGCACATCTCCACTGATTCATAACCGTTTTTCAAGATCCCTTCTGCACTGGATAGCTGTGACTTACCCCGTTCTGTTCCATGTTTTCGCATTATAATCGGAGCACATGCCAGGCCAGGGGTACCGTATGTCATAAAATAATGACATACTATCCCTCACATGCATCTCATCCCCGATAAGCTTACAAATTCCGATCTGAGCAGCCGAATAGTATCCAATTGTGATGAAGCAAACGGCCTGTTAATATCATGTCTGCACATGAACTTATGCATGTCATGTTTTTTCAGAACTTCCACTTTCCAGACATATCTTGTATCATCACCGGAAATCTGTATTTATGTTTCATCTCTTCTCCAATGCATTCATGATATTGTCTGTGAATATATCTAGGTGTCTGGAATGTGATACACTCTCATACCATGTCTGTGTGTGGTATGTCATTTTAAAATATCATACCTCATTATTCCCTCACTTTTGCAGCTACTGCCTTCCAAATTTGCACACCAACAGCTCTTACAAGCTACTCTCTGATAAACAAATTATCTTGGTGAATTACCATCTACATATGCTGCTGTGAAGGGTGACTTTCCAGGGATAAGGTGTCCAGTACAGGCAGACTAACTCATATAAATATGCTGCAATGTGCAGCACTGTGTTCATATGTGATGTACAGTTGCATTCTGAAAAAGTGAGGGAGACTGAGGGGGTTGACAGTGTATACAGTATAGGTCAGGTCAAACAGGTGCTGAGCACCAAGATATCAAACATCAGGAAAGGCACAGATCACAATGTGTAAGGTGGCGTTCAAACGAAGGGATAGATGCTCACCTATGCACCAAAACGCATGCCAAACGGACATGGAATGGGCAAGATGCAAGGGCAAGACCGGGGGACACAGGAGGAGGGGCCTTGAAGGCAAGTTGGACATACACATATCCTGCCGTCCACAACGCAAATCTCTTCCGACTGCTACATCCAAGCGCTCGATCGAAAGTGCTTGATAACGCGCGACGAATGAACCCATCCACGTCTTCTTAGGTAGTAAAGTGGGCGAGATCGAGCATTGGAAAGATGGGAAGGGAGTGCCGGTTGTAGGCGGTCTTGCGCAGCGCACAGCGGGAGAACGAGTGCGGCGCATGAGACGAACGCGGGCGCGTTCGAAAGGAGTTGATGAGGGCCATCTGAGCTCCAATTTTCAGCGCGATCGGAGCGAAACTGGAAAGGCGGTGTGTTGAATCCAAGCCTGAAGATGGCTGGAGGCGGTGTGGAGAGAGCAGTGGCTGCTGTGTGTGAGCTGCTGCGCGTTTTGGCGGCATCGAGGGCGCGTTATATGCGAGGAAACGAGGGGGGAACGCGTACCAAAATGCGTGCGGAACGAACGGGATATGCAGCCATGGTGCTCAAGATCGTGGGGGTTGAGGAAGATGCAGATAGGGCAAAAAGGCGGCAATGCGGCAGCCGTCATGGACAATTGACTGGGCGTACCGGCGCGCGCAAAGGTGCATCTGAATGGCCTTGACGAGGGGAAGAGAATGAACCTGGCCGCATCGAAAACGAGCTCCGAACCGTCAAGGGACGGGAGCATCAAGTGGGTGACACGAGGGGCGATCTTCTGTTGCACAAGACGATGCGCAGCGAGACAACGGCGAGGCGCATCGCGGAACGGGGCGGCTCGTTGGAAAGAGGGTAGAAACGCGCACAAAAAAAGCCCAAGATGACGTCAAACGGTGGAGAACTCGGAGAGGGGCAAGGTAATGGGGGTGCGGGCTCGAAGTGCTATGCGCCACCAAGGACGGGCGCCCGGAGTGCGACAAGGTTCAGACACGGGCGCTCGGAGTGCAAACATGTTCACACATGGGTGCTCAGAGTGCGTATGCCCATCAAACGTGGGTGCTCAGCATGCACAGGATGTATTACAGAGCAAAGGGAGATATGTTTGGCACAAAATAAGCATCAAACTTCAATTGAGGATGGGCACTTAGTGTACATACCACAGATACAAATGAGTGCTCAGAGGGGTGAGCACTTGTTAGTATGCACATATACATGAGGATAGCTTGGTAGTAGGTACTGTATATTCATAGAGGTGCAGGTGCTTGGTGTATACCTCAGACAAGGGTGAAACTGTCAATGCAGGCTACATGTTTATATAAATTTATAGTAGCTAAAGTGGCAATACATGGGATAAGCGCTATGCCTATATGAGCGGTGGCACAAGCAACAGGCTCATATGAGTAACAACCCAAGCAACAGGCTCATACGAGTAATAGCCCAAGCAACAGGCTCATATAGATGGCACTCCAGGCTACATGATAATAAAGCAGTAATAGTAGCAACATAGTAACAATACTATAGACAGGCAGTGAAAGGCGGCTTATACAGGTGGCTGTGCACTCATATGAGCGAGAATGCAGGCTACAGAGCGCCCACTCATATGAGTCCATCTGAGTGGCATTCCCGGGCTACAGTGTCAGCAATATGAGTGGCAACCCCAGGCTACAGGGACGGCACCCAGTGAGAGGAAGCGCGAGGGCCATGCCACGCGCACTGCCCTACGCTAGCCTGCGGGTCGAGGCTGTTGTGACTCGGTGCTGTAGAGCGCGTGCGGGGCCTTTTCGTCGTACGGGAACGCTGAGGGCGCGTGCGTGGCGGTCGTCGTAGGCGTAGGCAGCGCGCGAGGAGGGCACTGCCGGTGATATTCCACGCGAGGCGAACACTGTTGACCGCAGCAGCGTGAACGGCGCGGGCTTGTGCCAGAGCCCCTGGTTCCGCGCAATGTGCGCGTGGACGACGCGGGCGATGCAGGCGGCGAGGGAACGAGATGGGCAGCGGCAGATGCGGGGAATGTGGGCGACGTGAGGGCGACACGGCAGCGACGTGGGCCCTTGAACAAGGCAAACGTGGGCGACGTGGGCAGGCGACGTGGGCGACGTAGTGGGTCGGCGCTGTACCCACACTGCGAGGTGGGCCGTACTGGATTGTGATCGACGGGATGGCGCCGTCGACAGCGAAGACCTGATCAAAGACATGGCACGCAGTGGGGGAGACGAGGTTGACGGCCGTGTTCGCCATGTCCGCGATGTCGCCGCCGCACCCGAGCGGGTAGTGGAGTCCGTGCTGCCTATGGGCCGGGGATGAGCATGTTGGAGTGAACACCTTCCGTGAGATGGGAAAAGCGACGGAGTTGAGTGCGAGCACAAGGCGGTCAAAATAAAAGCGGAGGGACTCATGCGTGGACCTTCCCCAACCACGAGCACTGCAGAGGCTGGGAGAGGGAGACAGTGAGTTCTCGAACACTTGGATCCGTCGTAGGGCTCCAACTCACTCGCATCCACGGCGGCTTTCGCTGCGGGCATGTGTGATCAAGTCGAGGGTATCTCAATCGGACCAGAGTGAGTGTTGGTCTGCACGGGGGCTGGTAAAACGGGTGTTGGGAATATACTCACCTGCCACTGCCCAAGTTTCTTGACCTCGAGCCAACGCCGGAGCTCCTCGACCTCGCGCGGGAGGAGCTCATTCTCCTGCTTGAGCTCGTGGATGTGCATCAGCGAAGATGGAATTGCGGTGACTTAGTCAGGGTGACGCGGAGGACGTGGGTTCGGGGACGATGCAGGTGACATGGCGACCAGTGAGCGAGGCGAGCAATGTCAAGGGCACAAGGGCGCCAGGTGAGGTGGGCGAGGTCGAGAGAGTCGGGCAAGGACAGAGGGGAGACACGATGGAGGAAGGTCGACGACGTGTTGGCAGCTGGAGGTGCGCCTCCGCTTTGGGGACGCGTGGGAACTGACGCGTGGCGCGCGGACTCCAGCGCTTGGCACTGCCAGCACCACCTTCGTCATCCCCATCGTCTCCGCCTCCTTGCCCGTCTCCTCATTCCCTCGCTCTTCGCCTGACCCGACAGCAAAGAACACCTGTCAAAGTTTCCCCAAGAAGTACGACAAGCACGCCAGCTACCGCTTCTCCCTCGCCTTCAGGTGTGTAGCCAACATCGACCTCATCCAACTTCACCTTCCCGGCCCAGAACAGGGCTTGCGTCTGCATCTCCTCCCAGCTCTACGACCGACGAGGTGTGTCCTTTTCGCTCACTTTCCCAACCCAGCCATCCAACGCCCACCATCTCTCCCAGCCTTGGACACCAACTCGTCCTTGCCGCTCTCCAACTCCCTCACCCACCTTGTCGATCTCACCTCCACTTTGCACCTCCACTTCACTCCGCATACGCGAGATCATGACCGCAGATGGCGTTCTCGAACGCCTCGTCTGTATCCTCTGCGACTTCTGCCTCTCTCCTCCACCTCCGGAGAACCCGTCCACCTTTTATGGTCTTGCTCCACTCTCACCCCCCAAAGCCGGCCCCGATCCTCCTCCCCAAGACTTACTACAAGCACGCCGGTTGCGATTTCTCCCTCGCCTTCCAGTGCATCGCTAACATTGGCTTCCGCAGTTCGGAACCTATACGCTCCCGCGTCGTCGAGGCCGGCACCCTCGAGGTCGTCGGCCGCATTCTTGAGGCGTGGCTCGCCAGCAAAGGATTCGCTGTCGGCCCCGCCGTCGCCGCGAATGGCATGCCTCGCGAGACGCGTGAACAGCGGCTTGCCCGTCTGCAGGCGCAATCGGAAATCCGGGCGAGGGAGAAGCGCGAGCAGAACACTATCGCGTGATCCAGCAGGCGCTCGAGCGCCAGGTGTCGGAGCAGCCCGAGGCGAGGGTGGTCGAACCCTCAGGGAGGGATAGCGACGTATCGCATGAGGTGCGTACCGACACTCGCGGTGGCGTGCGTGTTTGCCTGACCGCAGGACAGGAGCCGATGCAGACGAAGGCTGCCCAGCCGCCCGCGGGCTCGTCGCGCGTGCAGGCGGCGCAAGAGAAAGACAACTCGACGGAGACGTCCACGAACGCGACCCCGAACCGCTCGACCATCCCCACGGGCTCTGTCGTGGTCCCGGGTCGGGACCGCAGCGGGACCATTCTCGCACAGCCCGTGTGGGATCAGCCTGCGAACACTGCCCGGGCCCATCTGTCCAGAACAACTCGGCCGGACGTTCGACTTCGACCTTGGCGGTGGACTCTCGCCTGGAGACAGTGACGGAGGATGGAGACGGCGACGGCGACGTGGATATGACCACAAGCCGTGACGGACCACACATTCCCCCCACGCGCATCTCCGACGCCGCTGCACCATCGACATTCCATCGGACGCGCACATCTTCATCAGCGACAAGGGTGGTATGCCAGTGTCGGCGTCGAAGATGGCCCCGATTTCGCCTCCTGGGGCTCCTGGTGCGCTCAACGGCCCTCCTGCCCCCCGCACGGTCGCTGGCGGACATCCAGCGGGCGAACGCACACCGCGTGCGGGCACGACTAATCTACCGATAGCGCCCCGCGCCCCCGCCGCAGCCTTCCTTACTCCTATCTTCACCCTCGCCGAGCCCTCTCACGCGGACGTGACTACGCCTGGGAGACGGAACACCATCCGCGTCAGCGCTGGGGGAACGGGAGCTGGTTTGCCACGCTTCCGTGTTGTTTAGAGTGTACACTGTATTAGCATTAACACAATACATTGTCGTTTGAATCTCTTAGTTGTGCGGTTTGCCAATGTATGGACTATGCTCGGTTCAAACAGGTGCTGAACACCAAAAGTCGGATGGTCGGATGGGTCGGATGAGGGTCTGATGTCGGACAGCCTAAAAATCCGACTTTCTAACAAATCTGACACATGTAAAAATACTGATGCCCGGCCTCCCACGATGGGATCCATAGAGCTGTGGAGGAGGGAGGGGCGGCAGGCCACAGTTCCCAAGGCGGGAAGAGTCGGATGGCTCGGGGCGTGGGCAAGAGTCGGCGTGACAGCGAGGGCGAAGATGAAGATGGCGACGAAAACAGCGACGAAGACAGCGACGAAGACGGCGACGAAGACAGCGACAAAGACAGCGACGAAGACAGCGACGAAGACGACGGCGGCGGCCAGGAAGACGGGGGCGACGGCGACGGCGAAGACGGGGGCAACAGCGACAGCGACGGCGACGGCGACGGCGACACAGGCAGCTGGGCCAGCAACACCGGCCGCGCGATTAGTCCAGCGCCCCCATTGGCTGAAGGGCCGGCACATACAGACCTGTGCAGCCGCAGCAGCCTCAGCAGCCTGACGGGCAGCTCCCGCTCGGCGCAGTTGGGGCTTAACCGGCATGCTTCAGGCGACTCGAGCGAGATCGACCCCCCCGCGTCGCCGCCGCCAACTTCCCCCGAGTCGACGCCGCAACCCCCCGCCCCCACGTCGCACCCAGTCGCCGCAGTTCCGCATATCACATTCACGCGTTCTGGCCGCCCTACCCGACACCCTAGCCGGCTGAATCGAGTCTGATTTTCGCGCACATTTTTGTTGTAATATGAGCCCCCGATCATCATAATATAGCCCCATGCCATGCCGCCGACTTTTTCGTGAACGATTCTGAAAAGTGATACCCCATTCAATCACCTCTCCAAGTATCGGCCCGATATGGATCGTCAGAACCCCATGAAAGGGCGTCAAAAGAAGGCATCTAATGGTCGACGATTCCCCCTCATTCACCACCCCCTAGTGATCACCACGGGTGGGCCTGACCCGGCCGGGTCCCGGGTCCGGGTCATGCGGGTCCGGGTCCGGGTGGTGAGGAGCCGACCCGCGCGTTTGTGCATTGACCCGTGGGTAACCCGGCGGTTATGTCACACTGTACTGAACATCCTGGTTGGGCGCTTCCAGCAGCGCGTGCCGGTTTCAGCCTGACCCTGAGTGGCTAGCGCCACCTACTGTACAGTTATAGGATTATATAATGATGAGACTTTCCCTGTCCTCTCCGCCCCGTCTCTGCGAGTCTGCCTTTCCACCCACTTCTGCGTCTATCTTGTTGATGTCGACTTCCACCACTGTCCACCCTGATCCACCTCAAAAGCGTCCCGCATCCCCTTCGGTGGAGCAAGATGCCCCGGCGGAGAAGCGCCATCGCACCCTCACGAAGAGGGCTCAGCGGATGCTTGAAGACGAGGGAATGGTGGTGAGTCTTCAACCATTCTGCACTAAATGATATATACTCACGTCGAGGTCAGCCTGGTGCCGCGGGTGCAAGTGTAGCAGCCCCTGCTGGTGACGCTGCACCCTGCGAGAAGGCCGTCGGTGATGCCGCACCCCGCGCGAAGGCCACCGGCGGTGCCGCAAAACCTGCTGGTGACGTTCCACCCCGCGCGAAGCCCACCGGCGATGCCACACCCCACGCGAAGCCCGCCAGCAATGCCGCACCACGCGCGAAGCCTGCTGCCACTGGTGACGCCCCACCTCGCGCGAAGCCTGCTGGCGACGCTGCTGCAGCTGATAAAGGGCCGAGTGCGCACCACAAGAAGGCGCGGAAGCCGAAGAAGCGGTCGAAGTCTGGAAAGGGTGTTGTGAAGCCGACTCGGAAGACGGGGGGCTATCACTCACCATACTGCTTGTCCGAAGAGGAGGAGGCGGCTGCACATCATGATGTAATCAACATTGACAACTCGGACTCGGACAGTGGGAGGTCAGACTCGCCAGCGCCAGCCTTCACCAAGGGAACAAATGGCGTGCCGTGGTTCGAGGACGATGATAAGGGCCTAAAGCAGCTTGGTGAGTGTGACTTCGTCGTAATCCTGGCTGAAGATGTACTCACTAACGTTGCGGCATGTATAGCGGCCATGATGGACCGTGGGTGGGACTCCCCTATCTACGGTTTTTTCAAGCCCATCCCTAAGATCGCGGACATCGACGGACGTCGTGTGCACGTCTTCGAGTGCATGGCTAAAGGCTGTATCAAAAAGGCTGTTAATCGCTACATCGACAAAGGCGACGCGACGTCAACTGGCAACATGACAAGGCACGCAAAAAACTGCTTTGGCGAAGATGCAGTGAAGCGCGTGGTCAAGGCCACGATGACGCCTGGAGAGGTTCGTCAGCGCTTCGGCAAGAATGCCTTGGAGAGTGGGGACGTCACCTCCTTCTTTGAGCGCAAGGGGAAGGGACCGGTGACATACTCTCATCGCCAGCACACGCGCACTGAGACACGGTATGTTCTATCCAAGCCTGGTTTGATTGTTGTATTGATGACCATATTAGTGCGGAATTTGCGCGATGGGTCGCGGAGTCTTACCGTCCGTTTGATATCGTCAAGGACGCCCGTCTCCAGTCACTACTGAAGACGGGCAGACCGGGATACTGGATCCCATCCGCTTCAACGGTCGCGCGCGATGTGAAGACCCTCTTCACGCGCTCGCGCACTCGGATCAGCCGTCTTCTTCGGGTGAGTAGAGCAGGCTGTAGAGGACATTTTAGTACTCATCAGATCACAGGAGTACGAAGGACGACTTAGCATATCCACGGACTGCTGGTCGTCTCCAAATGGGAATGCCTTCATGGCGGTTATCGTGCACTTTGAGCATGATGGAGAGCCGCTCAGTATGGTGCTCGACGTTGTTGAGGTGGCAAAAGTGCGTACCTTGATGTTTTTCCCACCTCTCCGGTGTCCGCTGACCATGGGATCTGCTAGTCGCACACAGGTCAGACCCTCGGCGAAACTCAGATTCGTATCCTCTGCGAATTTGGTATCAAGGAAATGGTGTGTGCCTCAGAATGCGTACAAACATATGAAGAAGACTGATAAAACTACTCACACAGCTCCTTGGTGTCGCCTGTGATAGTGCATCCGCTAATTTGGCGATGATCAAGACGATGGAGAAAGGTCTTCAGAAGTTCCGGGCGTCTTCCGGACATGTCGCCTGCTTTGGGCACATCGTCCAGCTCGTCGGCCGCGGCTTGCTCGATCAGTTCGACCCAGAGAAGAAGAAGCCAGGTGAGGGTGAGGATGCTGCCACAGAGGAGGACGAGGACGCGGAGGATGGGGACGATGAGGATGACGAGGATGAAGAAGAAGACACAGAGGACGGACTTGAGGGGATCATGGACGAGGTCGAGTGGGTCGACGACATGTCCGGAATGACTCCAGGCGAGCTCCGCGATTTCCGCTCCAATCTCCGCCCAGTGCGCTTGATGCTTACTAAGGTGAGTTCCCACTCCTATCGTCTGCGTTCGACGCCTCACGGTCACTCACTGTCTCGACTCTCGTTGTCTCAAGCTCCGTCGCCTGGCTGCCACCATCCGCAAGTCGACGACAATCTTGCTGCCAGCATGGAAGAAGCAGCTCGAATTGCTCAATCAAGACATTCTCATGCTGAAGCAAGACGTCAGAACACGGTGGTGTTCAACTCACGACATGCTCAAGCGGGCTGTCCGCCTGAAGAAGGCTATCAAGTCCTTCTGCGAGGCCGACAACGACCTACATCCTCTGGATCTCGAGAAGTACCAGCTCTCAAAGCGGGAATGGTCCATTGCAGAGCAGCTTCTCGAGGTGCTCAAGGTATGTGTCTCTTGTTCTCACACTTTTCTTCTTCGTTCTGATCATCTTTCTGCTTATTCCCACTGCCATGTGGTCTCTCTCATCTTCCCGTTTCGCTGCCTCCCATATCCTTGTCTTTTCCGACTACTCTCATCGTCTCTGCACGCCCCTGGTTCGTCTCCCCGTTTCGTCTCCCCGCATCGTCGCTGTGCACCCTTGTTTCGTCTCCCCACCTCGCCTCCCTGCCTCGCCTCCCTGCATCGTCTCTGTGCATTATCTCCATTCGTCCTCATCCGATTGTCCCCACACCCACACCACATCCACACCGCATCCACGCCGTATCTCCTTTTATTCTTGTCCTCGCACCGTCTCCTCATCTCCTCACACCATCTCCTCATCTCCTCGTCTTGTCTTGTCTTGTCTTGTCTCGTCTCCATACATCACCTACCCATCCCCATCTCTCATGAATCCCTGGCGTCCAACCTCAACAGGTCTTCAAGGACGCGACGCTCTTCTTCTCCCGCAGCACGCCAAACCTGGCGAGCGTCATCCCAGTCATGGACGTCCTCGATGAGCGCCTCACCACCACAGCGTTGCCAGGCAGCAAGACCTCGAAGGGTGTACCCTATGACCCAGCCATCCGTTTTGCTCACAAGTTCGCGCAGCAGGTCCTCAACAAGTAGTACTACGAACTCACGGACTCTTCGGAGTGCTATCGAATCGCCATGGGTGAGTTCTAATGCTATTCATTTGTACGTTGTAACCAATTAGACTCGTCTGTAACAGTGTTGCACCCGGGCTTCAAGCTCGAGTACTTCAAGACTCATCACTGGCAAGATGAGTGGATCGAGACGGCCAAGACTCTCGTCCGCAACGAGTACGACTTGAACTACAAGCACTCTGACGCGGCCGTCGACCAGGACGACCATGACGATGTAGTGCCTGTAGCACGCCGGTCTCGGGGCGACAAGGTACGTTCTATTATCATCTGTCTTATGCGTTGTACTAGAGCGTGTCGAGCGGCGCATTGCGGGCGCGTCGAGCAGTTCGCGTCACCCGCATCGAGCTGCCCGTATCGCCCGTCTCGAACCGACCATATTGGTCATGTCAAGCGGCTCGTTGCGGCTCGTTGCAAGCGTGTCGAGCAGCTTGTCGCAGGCGCGTCGAGTGGCTCGTTGCGGGCGTGTCGAGCAGTTCGCGTTGCCCGTATCGAGCTGCCCGCGTCGCCTGTGTCAAACCAACCGCATCGGCCATGTGGAGCGGCTCGTTGCGAGCGCGTTGAGCGGCGCGTTGCGGGCGCGTCGAGCAGTTCGTGTCACCCGCATCGAGCTGCCCGCATCGCCCGTCTCAAACCGACCGTATCGGTCATGTCAAGCGGCTCGTTGCGGCTCGTTGCAAGCGCGTCGAGCAGCTTGTCACGGGCGCGTCGAGTGGCTCGTTGCGGGTGTGTCGAGCAGTTCGCGTTGCTCGTATCGAGCTGCCCACGTCGCCCGCATCGAGCTGCCCGCGTCGCCTGTGTCAAACCGACCGCATCAGCCATGTCGAGCCGCTCGTTGCGAGCGCGTTGAGCGGCGCGTTGCGGGCGCGTCGAGCAGTTCGCGTCGCCCGCATCGAGCTGCAAGTCGTGTGCAGTGTGTCGAGCTGCCGTGTCGAGCTGCTCGCATTTGGCACATTGGGGAGCCTGCGCCGCCCACGCTGAGGAGCCCGTGGCGCAGTGAGCTGCCTATGTCGGGTGTGGAGAGATCCGGGACTCGGCCGTTCAGCGCTCATGATGCTGAATCCATTTCTTGCAGGACGACGAAGATGTCAATATGTTTGACACCTACAACTTCCTCCCGGTTGGGGGAAACTCAATCGACAAGGACGAGTTGACGCGCTACCTTGCAGAGTCAATCATCCCTGTTGAAAATGCACTCGACTGGTGGCGTTCACATGCAAAGCAGTACCCATGCTTGAGCCGCATGGCTCGCGACTTTCTGATGATTCCCGGTGAGTTGCAGAGCCGTCTTCATTTGTTGCATCTTCACACTAACATCCATGCTCATTGATAGCTACTTCTATCGACGTTGAGCGGCTCTTCAGCCGGGGTCGTTTGTTGCTGCCTCACGTGCGCAACCGACTTTCTGCGCAGACGACCTGTGCTCTCCTGTGCCTTGGCGACTGGTCTCGCCTTGGATTTATTCACAGCGAGGATGTTCTCCGGGTTGCTGCATTGGATGAAGTAGAAGAGAATGACGTTCTCGATTACAAGATGCCGAAGGGATACGATAGAATTGAGCTCGCACGTGGTTAAGGTACATGTCATGTACGTTCTATTGTGATGTTATGTTATGTCTACCCGCATGCTTGTTGCACTTTCCCACCTGCGATATGCACACTCTCTGCATCTAAGTATTCAATCACTTCTCTCTCAATGTGCTGACCCTCGGGTGACCCGTGGAGGGTACGACCCGCGCAAACCCGTGTGTATAGGCGCCAACCCGTGAGCTCAGTGACCCGGGGGTCTGCGGGTCCCGGGTTTCACGGGTCCGGGTCTGGGTCCAGCTGCCATGACCCCGGGGTGACCCGTGGTGATCACTACCACCCCCTCATTCATCATGGATCGCGCCCGATTTCAAAGCATCAGTGACGCAGTGGTATTCAGCTTCGAGCAAAATTTGAAGACACACGGGGAAGGGCGCTCTTCCCTGCCGATGATGCCAGTAGCTTCAAGTATTCCAGGGAGGGACAAGGCTGCAGCTTGGCGAGCCGGGTCTGTTTTAGCGGCTGCGTTGGGTCGCCGCTGTAAGGTCGCATTCCAGGCCGGAGAGAATGTTACTGATATTCACATAGACCAGACAGCCTGGCCGTTGGAGAAATACGAACATGTGCCTGGAAAAGGCCGTGCCTTGAACGATGAGAGACGGGAGGAAGATCTCGCAGAGATATTTCCACCGATCGAGCCGAAAATACCTGACGGGTCGCTGCCCATCGTGGAGGACAAACCCTTTGTGATTACCGATTCCGAAGATTTTATCCTGGTGTGGTCTCTGCCAGGGATACTTTCTGATGACATTCAGGTCAGTGCTGCGTCAGCTGCCGTCCAACTTGGTTTAACGAAAAGCAGGAGGACATAATCCAGGCACGCTCGGCCTACGGTGAAGCCGGCGGCCTCCACATTTCGACCGATGAATCAGTCTGGCGCTGTGGCCCAAAGCTGTTCAACCTCGATGCAAAGAATTCCAATCCGGGCATCAAATCTCACGCCGGGCAGCAGTTCTTGTCCCCTGCTGCCATACCCCAAGGCACTTCGGTATGCGCCTACCAAAAAAACATCCTTGCTTGCGTTCATTCCTTTCGGTCTGCAGCAGCTTCGAAAAAACATTGCCGAAACGAAGTCCTACTCAGAGAATGGCACGTCCGCATGGCTTCAAAGCATGGCACGCGCTGGTGCTGTTTTCGATGGGATCATGCGCGTCACCTGCCCGGCTCAGCATTGCGCACTACGCGCCGAGCTAGATGAACTTGCCAGACGCGAACCCGAGACCGCGGGCCTCTGGTGTTTCCCCACACAGGCATGCCACCTCATTTCCAATCGGGAGACGATATTCCATTGTGACACGGGGGATGGCAGTCTCTTCTACGACATGGTCGCCACTGTTGGTGACTATGGAAGGGGGGCATACATGGGCTATCAGTCTCTCGGTTTCGCGGCGCCATACAACAGCGGCAACGCGCAAGTTTTCCTGGCCAAGCACCTCTCACATGGCGTTCCCGAGGTCTCCGGTGATCGGGTTTGCATCGCGCTTTTCTGTCAGAGGGGAGTGTTGAAAGCATGGGGCATTGACCAAGCTGGCAAGGAATATTTTCCCCTTCGGGTAGATGACTTCGTTGTTGCGTCCGGGTTGTAATTTTAACCAGGGCAAGCAGGTGTTGACTTTTTTTTTCCCGTCGCCGTCGCCGTCGCCGTCGCGTGCACCGTCGCCGTCGCCGTCGCGTGCACCGTCGCCGTCGCCGTCGCTTTCGCTTTTAACATCGCCATTGCATTTGTTCAAACCCCCACATTGGCAAATACATTAAAACACCGAATTGGGCCCTCATTCTGTCGCTGTTTTCTTCTTTTGCCTCACCGGTTGCCTTCTCACGGGCGCCGTTTGCACGGCCTGCTTTTTCCCCCTCGGCTTTGGGCGAGAGGCACCACGACTGCGGCCCCCTCCACTCTCAGCCGTGTTCTCCGCTGCGTGAATCAACTCATCTGACGGTTGGGGCAGCCCTGCTTCTTCCGGTCCCCCGATGGTTTCCTTTTCGTTGCCTGCGATGTCCTCACCGGCTGCTGGACCTTCCGCAGAGCCGTGGCCATCTGGTGCGGAGCCGACGTCAGCAACCGTGAAAGTCTCGTTGAAACAAAAACCTGCCTGACCTCTAATGTTGGGGCGCTTTGATCGACATATGGCGAGCAGGTCATCTAAGTCCCTGTGCGTGAGGGCACTGGTTGCCAGTGCGCTGCCGTCGTCGGAGTTGGGCTCGTGCTCAATCGCCCGGGAAATGTTGTGGAGAAGTAGCCCCATAACAAGGAACCACCGCTGTGCATGGACAGCACGAGGATCTGACAGTGATTCGCCGTCGAGATACAACCGAATGGGGCGGAGTGAGGTGACCGGATCCTGGTGAATTACATCGTCCAGTCCACCTGTATCGTTGGACCAAGTGGCCCAAGAAAACCGTGGATCCGAGGGGACATGGCGCAATTCGTCAAGCTATCCAGTTAAAATCAGCCAACTGCTCTAGTGATGTTGAAATGACAACCTGCCTTGCTGGACATGTGGAACACCAAGTCTGTCCAGCTTGCTTGATTCGGGCAAAGGGACGTAAAATATGCCACCCCTGCCTCTGGATCTGCCTCTGCTGGTGCAGGTGTTGTGCCAGAGGATTTCGGGACCGCAAGTTTGGTAACGACAGTGTCAGATGTTAATATGGGCGGTGGGGACCGTCTTCCGGAAGCGTGAGAGGTGTAGACTGCCTCCATAGGGTGGTTGACGCGATTTGGATTGGGAGGGGCGTCAAAGAGGTCATTGGGGATGTCGAAGCCGTCGTCTGGAGGCCCATTGTGGTCGTTTTGAAAGTCGTCATACAGGTCGAGTGCGTCGAGGAGCTTCTCAGTCTCTTCGGCATCGGGGTTGTCTTCCTCCTCACTGAAGACGGCCTCCTCCTCACTGTCATCAAGAGGAGACCGCTGACGACGGCGCGTAGATGACTTCTTCTTGCCAGAAGCTCCGTCTGTTGATCTGCCAATAGTTTCACTCGGTGCCTTCGCAGTCGACTTTGACTTCTGTTTCCTGGAAGATTTCCGACCCGAGTGCCTAGGCTTCTTGTCAGCCTCACCCCCAGAAACGCTTGATTCGCTTTCGACATCGACGGGGGTCTTCTGTTTTGCACGCCCCTTGCGTGAGTGATCAGCCTGGCCTCGCGCCTCCGCCACCACCCGTTGTCGGTCACGAATATCAGCAGGGCTGAGATGCTTCAGATCTGTGCTCTTTTCGCCCTGCATTTCGGCATCTGTTTGTCGCTCCGCGATAGTTCTGACCTTCAACTTCTTGGCTCCCGGGTCCTTCCCCTCAGGGCGCACGTAATCAGCAGGTCTCCACTTGTTCCGGCCTTGATCCACCGCTGCGAGCAAGCGGAAGCGACGAGGGTTGGGATCCTCTTCGGAGTCTGGTGTCTCGTTGGCCATGATATGATTAATGAAGGCCTTGGCTTCCTCGACACCGAGCTTGCTTGGCACCTTGAATACAAAACCTTCGGGCACCCAAGTAGGGTCGAAGAACTTATCTTGATGGCTGATTATTGTTGACCAGCTGCCGTTCCGTGTCCATTTTCCAGTTCCAGATGCCCAGCCTAGATCATGATCAATATCGAAAGCGATTCAACTAGATCAATGATGGGGCTAACTGAGATGCGTTCGCAGATATTCAGCGATGACCCTCTGCCGCTGGAGGTAGGTGTACTCCTCGCCGTCATTCTCTCTGTCACGTATGATTGGCGTGCCATCTTCATAAAATTCGAATTCAGGCTCGCGGAGATGGGTGACATGGCGAAGGTCGGCCTCAGCTCGTCTGCCTTCCTCCGATATGCTGTCAGGGTCAATGATGGCTCCGAAGTATGCATTGAAAGAATCCAGGAAGCCAACGTGCCATTCGTTGTCGTCACGGAAAAGAGGGACTTTGTCTTTGCGTTGTTCTCGGAGAAGATCAGAAGTGTCGTAACTTGTGTTGGATATTAATTTTGGAAGAATACAGAAGGGAATAATCGCACAAGAAGGTCATGTGCTCGCCATTCGAATCCTTGAACAAGCCGGTGATATGTATCGCCGTGTCAAAACTACGAAAAAATCCGAGAGTCATGGCTCTGAAGTATCGGAGGGCGTGCTTCTTCAACAATCTAACGCGAGACAGTCACAAATGAGGACGGAAAGAAGTGATGAACGGACAGGGGCGCACTTTCTTTTCACATCCTCCGGTGGGCCATCACGCGTCCAGTCTTCTGCCATATTCTCAAACTCATCCTTCTCCTCCTGTTCCAGCTCCTCCCATAGCTTCTTGCGAGCACGAGTCCAAGCAGCGATCCAGAGACCGCTCTCTTTGAACTCCTGATCGTCCAGTGCCGACGTGTGGATTCGCTCATCCTCCTCATATCCAAAGACCCGGAGGCCATCGAATGGGTGAGAGGAATAAAACGGATTCTTCTCCTGTTGAGTGGTGCGGCTGGAATTGTGGAGGAACTGGCTTATTTTCTACAGATGGTTCTCAGTGAAGTAATCACGGTAATTAAAAAATCACGCACATCCACAAGTAAAGCGGCCAAAGTTCCGCTCAGATGCTCTGATCTTCCCTCTGCGATCTTCTTTGCAAGCTCAGATGTGATTGCAGACCTTGTGTTTGAGTTCGCTTGCCAACGTGGGAGATCCTTGAGCACGAGGGTCTTCTCATCCTTGCTCAATGCAAATTTGGATTCCCACATCACGTCTTCAGATGCCTCCGAAGCAGAAGGCGCTTTTGGATCGGCTGAGACAGCGGGGGAGGAAACACGGGTACGCATGGTCATATAAGCTGGAGTGGAGGCAGGAAACTTGGTCGAGAATCACACTGAGTATGCTGCACACAGGGCGAGACCAGCCATCACACGTGCGCGGTGTTTGTTTCTGTTGATGAAGGAGAACTGATGTTTTCAGACATATCACGGATTAACTATCAGGCACGCCGCGCGCCTTGTGCTGATGAATGCGCCTTCCGCCGTGTAAGTGCCCAGAGTTTTCAACTCTTTGCCATCCATACACGTCCTCCTCATCCCCTCCTCATTTCACAATGGGTCGTTCCTATATCAAACCCGCTCGCAAAACCAGATCAACACTCACTCTGAAGGTCGAAAAGTCCCAGGCAGTACACTCAGGCTACACCTTGCGAACCAAACGCTCAGCCATCAAAACCAGACCGGCTCTGAATCGGACACCAAGAACGGACACCCTTCGATCGGTTTCCGCCAAATCACTTGACAGACATTCGTCTTCAGCGCCGCTAGGGGACGGGATTGATATTGGAAACATCGATGCCGTCGATCACACACCGCCAAAAATGCCTGGCACTGGCCGCTCAGTATGCAAGTGTATTTGACAAATCGGATCATTACTTACTGTGAAATGGGATCCCATAGGCCACTGACTACCAACGAGATTTTTTGAGCATTCGCGACACATATCTGGACGTCTTGTTGAGCGGCCACGGCATCCCTGTCGACGGGAAAGCAAAATGCGGCCATGCCCTTCAATGGCGCTGCCTCGATTGCGACTCCCGCCCGACCTTCTGCACCGCATGCTGCCGTAAGAAGCACAATGACCATCTCTTCCATCGCGTTGAAGTCTGGACCGGAACTTGTTTTCGCCCTGCGTGGATTCAAGATCTAGGGGTTCAACTTCACTGCGGTCATGGCGGTGTCCCCTGCCCGAAGCTCGTGAAGCATCTTCCCGCGACAGACCCGGTTCAGAACTTACAAGACGAAGGACAAGAAGGGCCTGAGGAACCGGATGTTGTCGTGCCCGCTTTCGTCTTTGAGGATCAACTCGAAGAGACTGAGGATGGGGCCACTGCAGATGCAGGGACAACGAAACTGCGAGAGCCTAGAGGGCAGCCTGTTCACCACATACGCCTTTGACGCTCTCTCAGTCCCCACGTTCCCCTTCGCCGAGTACAACAACTCCCGCACCCTCACTATTGCTCACACCAACGGCTTCCATCGGCTGTCTGTATCATTCTGCAAATGCACAGGCCATAAGACCGAAGACATACAGCTTCTGGAGATGGGATACTATCCCGGCTCTCAGAACCGCCCACGCTCCGCCTTCACGTTTCAATGCCTCGATGGCTTCCTCACCGAGAATCGAGTTTGCAAAACCTCGCCGTTCAGCTTCCACTCAAAACTCTGCCACATGACCAATGAGAACGCGCCACATTGGGTGCCTGTGAGAGCCCTTCATATGCGGCTGCATCGATAAACCCAGCCTAACTGTCATAACCACCCTCAGATGGCATACAAGGCGCTTCTGCGCACTTCTCGCCAATGGCGCAATCTTCAACACATTCTACGGTCTGGATTTGCTCATCGCAAAGAGCCTGCCGGACCAGGAGATATGGCAATCAAGTGCCCGGCCTGTCCACGACCAGGCGTGAATTTGCCAGATGGTTGGGAACGTGACAAGACACATCCGTGAGTGATGAGCCATGGGTGGTCGTTCCTTCCATGGCACTGCTTGCTAATTAAAAAATTCGCCAGGTATAAATACATGCCTTCTTTCGTCCTAGATGGGGATTTCACCGTTCAAGGCCGGCTCTTGACTAACCCAGAAAACAGTTTGCCCTTTGCTGATGGGGAAATGTTTTCGGTTGCGGACGGACCGTTTCAAGAGCACCTCGAAAAAGAGAGGAAGTTTAAGCCACAGGTCCACCCCGAGTTCACATGAAATCATTGAATAACACTCACATTCGTTCGTAGAGCGAACCCCCAACGTGCAATGCCCACCGTGCAGTGCTCGGCGCGAACGTGAAGAAGGCCAATCTCGAGAGCACCGGAATAGGGGCGGCAGCATGTTCCCGTCACGGTGTGTTCCTTCCGCATACCTCTGTCGAATTCCAGCGCGGAGAGTCGTAAGTTCCATGTCAGGTGGCCACTGACATCAAGCTGACAAAAATGTTGGTTTCAGCCATGCGCACATGGATTACACTTTCTGGCACGCTCTCAAGTCATTCCCTGGACTCCTCTTATTTCTGGTGATATACGACGTCGCCTGCCAATATTACATCAACCTTCGCAAGCGTTTTGCCAGGAGACAGAGCTACATGCCCCTTCCCTCTGGCCTGTTGCTTCTGTTCGGAATTGGCCAGTTCCACATCATCAGGAAAAACCCCACTTGCTGATTAGAGAAAATTCTCTCTAATTAGTGCTCATTAGCGCGAATCTCTAATCAGCACGAATTAGAGTAGTACATTCTAATTAGCTCTAAATAGATGCAAATTAGATCTTCAGGAGCTCTTCATTAGCTGCAAATAGATCTCAAAGAGAACTCGATTTGTGCCTCATATGTCCGTACAATGCTCTCAATAGATCACACAAGGGTAATGGAGAGGGAAACAAATTTATATTTATCATACTACAAGACAGTGTACAGACGAAAAACTACAAGATGGACAGGCATACAGACACTCGGGCACAGAGTCCGGCGACGGAAGTCGTACGGGCTGTGCGGGGGACATGGGCAATGCAGGTGACACAGAGGACGTGAGCGAGCTGGGCGTCGCAGGCAATATGCAAGACGAAGGTGAGATAGGTGACGTGGATGATGCGGAGGACGTGGATAACCTGGCTAGCGGGCGACGCGGGGGGGAGGCGGAAGACACGAGCGACAGACGTGTGGGCGACGTGGTGACGTGGGCGCGGGCGTACATCACTACACGGGCGATGTGGCGACGCGAGCGATATGGGCAAGGTGACAACGTGGGCGAAGTGGGTGGTGCGAGCGAGGCTGACTAGGCGGGCCACGATTTCGTGCGCCCAAGTGTTGTTCAGAAATGATTTTGTCGAGATACGCAAATGACTCACCGATATCCATCGGGCGACATGGGTTTGCAGGGTGACGCAAGCCTCACGCGCGCGAGACGGCTGAAGCGGGCGAGGCGGTAAATTTGAATGTGACAGGCGAGGTGGGCGAGGGCTAGGTGGGTGTGGGCGAGGTGATGTTGGCGAGGGCGACACGGCGACACGGGCAGGGTGAGGAGGAGGGGGCACGGTGGGCGACGCAGGTGGAGGGCCAAACGGGTGAGTGACGTAGGCAGCGGGGACGATAGGCTCGCGCGGGTATGACACGGAGCCGAGAAGTGATCACCGGGTGTCCTCGAGCTTGACGAGCTCGTCCCACGAGAACGCTGGGGGAAGAGGGGGAAAGAAAAAAAGTTGAGATAGAACAAGCGTACTCACGTTTACGTGTCCGCAGTACGGCGGCACTTGGTCCCAGTGCCAACGCCGTTAAGATGGCCATCGTCGGGGAGCGTAGGGGTGGGTCACAGTAGCACGCGTCGTGGGCAGAGGTACCAGGCGAGACGCGTCAGCGAGGCCTCGAGCTGGCGGCGGAACGCGGTAGCAACGGTGCAGGGGATCACGGCGACCCGCTCGTGACGTAGATGAAGTGGCGGAGGTGGTGGCACGGGCGAGGTAGGCGAGGTCGAGGGCAGAAAGGCGGAGGAATGAGGATGGCAATGAGAGGGAGCAGGGGAGACGGGATTGAAACAAGATGGTGCGTTGGCAGTAGTCGAGGGGCGGCTCCGCTTCGGGGTGGGAATCGACGCGCGTCGCGTGGACTCCAGCGCTTGGCACTGCCAGCACCGCGTCCTCGTCGTCCTCGTCATCTGCCTCACCTTCCAGCCACTCTACGCGAACTTCCCCTACGTCGACCGCGCCAGCCTCTCGCCCTCATGCCCTCGCGAACGATGCAGTCCCTTCCATAGTGAGTACTTGAATCCCGTACCCTTCCCTGCGCACCCTCTCCCAGCTTCCAAAGCCCCTACCAGGTCCCGCTGCGCTGGTGGAGTCTTCGACGACCTCTGCGCGAAGCCGCACAAGCGTCGGTCTACGAGATCTGGACTCGATCTCTCGCCCCGATAGGCCCGTCGACCATGGTCACCCACAGAGCCCGCGCCTCGCAAGTCGAACACCGGTGCCGCACTCCGAGCACGGAGCACGAGCGGCGCTGGCAGCTCCTCCGCTGCAGCCAGTACGCCCCGACTACACTTCCACGCCTGCGCCACCTACGTCTCGCCCGCGTCGCCCCCCGCATCGTGCCCACGTCACCTGCATCTCCCGCGTCGCCCACCTTGCTCACGTCACCCACCTCGCCCCCATCATCCGTCTGGCCCACGTCAACCAGTTTGCCCGTGTCGCGCCCACCTCACATCACCCAGCTCACTCGCGTCTTGCCCCCGCATCGCCCCCGCGTCGCCCACGTCTTACCAGCGTCGCCCACGTCCTGCCAGCGCCGCCCACGTCCTGCCAGCGTCGCCCACGTCTCGCCGGCCATACCCTCCTTGCCCTTGCCACATCCGCGTCTTGCCCCCCGCGTTGTTGCTTTTGTCTGCCCTCCCGCGTCGCCCGCCTTGCCACCTCAGCCACATCTCGCCCGCTTCATCATCCGCATCGCCCGTGTCGTGCCCATATCAATATCGGCGTCGCCCGTCGCGCCCCTGCGTCGCTCATGTCACCCACATCTTGCCAGCGTCCTCCACTTCGCTCGTCCTACTCGTGTCGTGTCCACATCGCCTGCGTCGCGTCCGCGTCTTGTCCCCATGTACTTCACCGTGTCGCCACTGTCTGTCGCCCGCGTTGTCACCTCACCGTCAACGTCCGCATCGCCCACATCGCTGCCACGTATCCCCTGCGTCAACGTCCGTATCGCCCACCTCGCCCGCTCCCATGTTGCCCGCTTCATCCTTGTGTCACCTCTGCACCGCCCATCTTGCCCGTCTTGCCCCCCCATCAGCACGTCGCCTGCATCTACCCTGTCGTCCGCACGGTCTGTGTTGGCGGCCACTTCCCATGAGAGCTATTTAGACGTAGCCATAGACACACCTGTGCTGAGTGTTCCTAGATACCAATATATTTCGTCCTTCTCGAACATCTATATTGTTGTGAATTATCGATAAAATAGTCCCCTTAATGATATTAAGCTCTCACCTGCAACTAGAGAGTTGAGATCACTCTAATCAGAGATATTTTAGTGCAAAGAAGATCTGATTTCTACAAGAGCACTTGTTTGCACAAGATTAGATCTATCAGAGAGCAAATTAGGCAAATTAGATCTAATTAGCAAGTGGGGTTTTTCCTGATGATCCACGGGCATCGGGCGCAGTGCTTCTCCAGGTTTTCCCCCAACTTTGTGACTGGCGCTGGCATGCAAGATGGCGAGGTTCTGGAGACACTATGGGCTCAGCTTAATAAGATTAACGACAGCATTCGGGGAATGGGTTCCTCTCATCGACGCGAGGTGATCGACGACCACATGCAATACTCAAATTGGCTCAAGCTTATCAGAATGGGTGTGTCCCTTTTATTTCGCCCTTAATGACCACACTAAAACAGCCCAGATGTGTCACTCACTGCAAGGCTGAAGCGGGCCAGTGAAGAGATTTGTCGTGGAACGGACTCTGAACTCGCCCTACGTATTATTTTTCGTCTTTTCTTTGCCTTTTCTCTGCCTGCTACTATATTGGAAGGTTGTTCCCGCGCTTAAGCGCCCGTATCGCGGACTCTCTTAGCACTTGCACTTCGTGTCCTAGCCCTCATCTCGACCTCTTGGTCTTTGTGGGCTAGGTGAGTATCTCAATTGCCTGTATGTATGTAGAGCTATGTTAACTTGGTCTTTGTGGGCTAGACATCCCTCGTGTGACTCTAGTTTGCGTCTGCTTTGCGCCTAGTGCCGGCAACGCCTCTGTACCACTACATCGAGGTCATCCAACCTCCATCTACACCCATCCACCCCTCCCTCTCCTCCGATTGGCGTTCGCGGCCCGCTCCCGCGTCATTAGGTCGAGATCTAACCAGTGAGTGCTGGCATCAAAGCATCGGATCGCCCCCACTCGCGCAAGCATCGTCCCCACCCTGTGCCACTCGCCCCGCTCTTCCCCTACCCTGCATACCTGCCGGAGTTATAAGGCTCTGAGCGTATCGCAGTCTCCCTGGGTCTGTTGAGCTCGAGTATCACACTCTGAGAACACTACCCCGCTCCCGGCCGACGACTCTATCCGCGCAGTTGGTCATCCCGACTGATTGGCTGCCTGGAAGCCTCAATAGGTGTTCATTTCCCCGGAGCCTACCCTGGTTCCTAGAGCACGGTGGCTTGCGCAGGTCATCAGCACGCGGTTGACACTGAAGACAACCGGCACGTCCACATCGTCCGCAACGAGCGAAACGACCTCCTCTGGCGAGAGTGCGACAACCAACCGTGTCCTCATATCCGTACCCCTGTCACCTACACGACCCGCAGGGCTAGATTCGACGAGACCCACACTCCTATCCCACCCCTAGTCATGGATGCCCAGCAGTTTCAGGCCCTCATGCAGGCCCTCACCGCGAACCAGCAGCAGTTGGTTGCCGGACAGGCCAACCTTACGCAGGCGGTGACAAATCTGGCAACCGCGTTCCAGAACCTGTCCACCACCCTCCCCCAAGCTATGACGAATGCGACGGTGGCTTCGAACGTCAACACCCAAGCCACGAAGGACGCGACAAAGGTCGCGAACAAGCCCCAGCCGTACAACGGCAAGACCAGTTCGGATGCACGCCGCTTCGTAGCATCCTTCCAAGTCTACGCGATGCAGATGGGTGGCCATCTGAACACTGCCAACGCCACGGGTGGCTTCGATCGCGACGACGCGAAGTGGATCAAGTCGGCTCTCACTCTCCTCACCGATGACGCTGCGATCTGGGCTACCCCCTACCTGGAAACGATTGGTAACGGGCTGGCCGTGTTCAACAACGACTGGACGACCTTCAGAGCGGCGTTCAAAACGCGATTCGAGACGGCCGACGAGGCAGTCGACGCGAAGGCAGCCCTGCAGGCTCTTCACCAGCGTAGCCTCTCCGTCGTCGAGTACTACGCGCGGTTCAATGAGCTCGCGGACAGGACAGGCTACAGCCAGACCGACCTCCGCGACCGGTTCTACGAGCACCTCTCCTCGGAGATCAAAGACGAGTTGGTGCATACTGCTCGCAACACTGCTGCGCTCCCCGACCTCGTTCAGGTCGCTACGGACCTCGACATGCGCATTCGCACGCGCAAGGCTGAGCGTGCGCGCGAACAGGGCAAGTCTGTTGCGACCCCGACTGTCCCTCGTACCGCCACCGGGCAGTTCGCATCCGTGGCAACTCCCTCGACCATGCGCACCTCCCGCGACCCCGACGCGATGGACATTGATGCTGCCAAGCTGAGCGAGTTCAGGCGGTCGATGAACGGCAGGTGCTGGGGCTGTGGTGCAACCGACCACCAGAAGAAGGACGGCAACCACTCGAACGAGACTTGTCGCTGGTGCGGAGGCCGTGGCCATCGCGAGAGCGTTTGCCAGAGCAAGGCACTGGGCAGGCCACGCTTGGGCGGTCAGCAGCGCGTTGCAGCTACCACCGAGGACAGCCCGGTCGCGTCGACCTCAACGGCGAACTCCAATGTGCAGGGGATCAACGCAATCCTGGAGCAGATGCAGCAGATGACGGAGCAACAGAAGATCCTCCGTGGCGAGCTTGAACTGCTCCAAAAGTCTTTTCCGAACGGGCCCGCTTAAGAGCTGCGGCAGCGGCGCCCCCACCCAAGGTCTCTTCTTCTTCTTTCCCTGAACCTGTACCTAGCGCGTACGATACCGTAGATAGCTGTACTATACCTGAAGCAAATCGATCCGGTTCGCATTTTCGCACTAGCGTGATAGTAAAAGGAAACGACAAGAGTGTTAAGACCGCAGCAATGATTGACTCTGGTGCGACTTCGCTTTTTGTTAGTAAAAGGTTCATAGATAGGCATGGTATTTCGGTGCACCCGTTGTTCAAGGAGATCACAGTGCACAATATCGACGGTACAAAGAACAAAGCAGGCAGTATTACGCATTTCACAAGGCTTACGTTAGGTATGGGTACATATAGCGAGCGTCTCGATTTCTTAGTTACAGATCTGGGACCAGAGGACATGATTCTTGGCTTGCCTTGGTTACGTACGGTGAATCCGGAGATAGACTGGGAGAAGGGAGAGATGCGGATTGAGACGGACGAGGAGGAGGAGGAACGGCCTGCGTTCGAGCGTATCAACGCGAACCGGGCACAGCGACGGAAGTGGCAGAAGGCAGGAGTGTTGGAGGATGCGAGGGAGGAGGTGTGGTGTGCGGCAGGCTACACCTATTCGACGCAGCTGGCAGAGGCTGCCAACAAGGGGAAACCTCAGAAGACGTTCGAGGAGATGGTCCCGGAGGAGTATCGACACCACGCTAAGGTGTTCTCCGAGGTCGAATCAGAGCGTCTCCCTGAATCGAAACCTTATGACCATGCGATCGACCTCAAGCCTGATGCGCCTGAGTCGATCCGCTCCAAGGTTTTCCCCATGCCTCTGAACGAGCAGGAGGAGCTTGATCGGTTCCTGGAGGACAACATGCGCAAGGGATACATCACACCTTCTAAGTCCCCCATGGCGTCTCCAGTCTTCTTTGTCAAGAAGAAGGACGGGAAGCTCCGGTTAGTACAGGACTACCGGAAGCTGAACGATGTCACCGTCAAGAACCGCTATCCGCTTCCTCTCGCCTCAGACATTGTGAACCGGCTGCGAGAAGCGAAGTACTTCACCAAGTTCGACGTGCGCTGGGGGTACCACAATGTCCGGATCAAGGAGGGTGACGAATGGAAGGCTGCCTTCGTCACTAACCGAGGGTTGTTCGAACCCAAGGTTATGTTCTTCGGGCTCACCAATTCGCCGGCCACCTTCCAAGCGCTGATGAATTCGATCTTCGCGGATCTCATTGCGCAGGGCAAGGTAGCGGTGTACCTGGACGACATCCTCATCTTCACGGACACCCTAGAGGAGCACCGTCGACTGGTTCATGAAGTACTTCAGCGGTTGGAGGAGCACGACCTCTACCTGCGCCCTGAGAAGTGCGAGTTCGAGCGGGAGGAGGTGGAGTACCTGGGGCTGGTGATCCGTCAGGGCTCGGTCAGCATGGACCCAGTGAAGGTCAAAGCCGTGCGCGACTGGCCAGATCCTCGTAACCTGCGAGATCTGCGCGGTTTCCTTGGATTTGCCAACTTCTATCGTCGCTTCATCAAGGACTTTGCTAGGCTGGCTCGTCCCTTGAATGACTTGACGAAGAAGGACGTCGCGTGGACATGGGAGTTCGCGCAGCGTCAGGCATTCCGCGCGCTCAAGGACGCCTTCATCAGCGAACCGGTTCTCGCTACATGGGCACCAGATCGACCCACCAGACTCGAGGTGGACGCTTCTGGATTCGCAACAGGTGGTGTTCTGCTCCAGAAGCTCCCCGACGGCCTATGGCACCCGATCGCGTTCCGCTCAGAGTCCATGTCGGATGCAGAGCGCAACTACGAGATCTACGACCGAGAGCTCTTGGGGATCATCCGAGCACTGGAGGACTGGCGCCACTATCTTGAGGGCCTTCCTGATCCCTTCGAGATCATCACGGATCATCGGAACCTCGAGTACTGGCGTACTGCTCAGCACCTCTCACGGCGGCAAGCGCGATGGTCAATCTGGTTGGCACGCTTCGACTTCGTCCTCACCCACAAGCCTGGGAAGACGAACACGCAGGCAGATCCTCTCTCGCGTCTCCCCACTCATCAGGTCACGGACGCGGAGGACAACCAGGAGCAGGTCGTACTCAAGCCAGAACGGTTCGCTCGGCTAGCTGCAACCATCTGCAGCGACACCGATCTGCTTGAGCAACGCATCCGTGAGTGCACCAAGCGCGAAGTGGAGGTTAGAAGCGGGCTTGCAGCGCCGCCTCGCAGGATGGCAAGTGGAGTAGCCGAGTGGGAAGAGCACGGGGGCCTGGTGTATCACGAAGGTCGCCTATACGTGCCGGCCGACCCAGAGCTTAGACGAGAGGTTCTTCGGCGATGCCACGACTCGGTCACAGCTGGACACCCTGGACGCAGCAGCACCCTTGAGCTTGTCAGTCGACACTACTGGTGGCCTGGGATGGCGCTCTTCGTGGCCAAGTACGTCACAGGCTGCGAGCGCTGTCAGCGCTACAAGCCAGCTCCACATCCACGCTCCACCCTGCATCCGCACGACGTCCCTGAGGCCCCCTGGAAGGTGGTGGGAGTAGACCTGGTCACTGGGCTCCCAGAGTGCGAAGGGTTCAATGCCATCGCGGTGTACGTCGACCACTACAGCAAACAGTGTCACGTCCTCCCCACACGCGACAGTGTCGACGCTGCTGGCATTGCAGACCTGCATTACCGCGAGATCTTTCGCTTACATGGTGTCCCTCGGAAGATTGTGTGAGACCGTGGTCCCCAGTTCGCCGCCCGCGTAATGCACGAACTCTACGGCAAGCTCGGCATTGAACATGCACTCACCACCGCGTACCACCCTCAGTCTAACGGACAGACCGAGCGAACGAACCAGGAAGTAGAGCAGCACTTGCGCCTGTTCGTACGCAAACGGCAAGACGACTGGGTACGCTATCTGCCAACTGCCGAGTTCGCGCTGAACAGCCGAATCCACTCTGCGCACAACCACACGCCCTTCGAGGTCATGTACGGGTACAAGCCAGACTTCACGGTACCAGTGGGAACAGAGACTCGCTTCCCTCATCTCGAGGATCGTCTAGAGGGCATGCGCCAAGCACAGAAGGACATTGAATCAGTGCTGCGCGCAGGCAAGGCGAAGATGAAGGTTCACTTCGCAGAGGAACACCCTCGTGATCGGAAGGCATTCGAAGTCGGAGACAAGGTCTGGCTTAGCGCAAAAGACATCAGTGTGCACCAGGCAACGCGCAAGCTTGGTGTCCGGCAGCTGGGACCCTACAAGGTGGTCGAACGCGTGGGTGACCTAGCCTATCGTCTCGAACTCCCACCCACGCTCAAGATCCACCCAGTCGTACATGTGGATCGGCTGTCCAAGTATGGAGGGAACGAGGTGAACGGGCGACGAGCACCACCACCAGAGCCGGTGGAAGTGGACGGAGAGGAAGAGTACGAGGTGGAGAGGATTCTGGACAGTCGGTTCTTCAACCGCCGGCTTCAGTTCCAGGTGCGGTGGAAGGGATACGGAGAGGGGGATGACTCATGGGAACCAGCGGCGAATGTCGCCAATGCCCCAGAGAAGGTCGCAGAGTTCTACGAGCGCAATCCCAACGCGCCTCGCAAGATATCTGCGACTCTATTCGCCGCGCTGCCGTGGAGGAGGGTTGAGCACCCTGAGCACGCAGAAACGGAGAAGGAAGACTGGCAGGAGGGGAGGATCATGTCCATCCGGGACGGATGGGTTTTAGGAGGGGGGTAATGTCGTGGAACGGACTCTGAACTCGCCCTACGTATTATTTTTCGTCTTTTCTTTGCCTTTTCTCCAGTGCATGTCCCGGCTTTCCTCGGCAAAGTCGGTCAGCCGGGACACCGCCATTTGCCGAAGGTACCGTTCACCCGGGCTCGGCCGGACTCACCCGGTTACCTCGGCAGAGTCGTTCGGCCGGACTCACCCGGTTACCTCGGCAGAGTCGTTCGGCCGGACTCACCCGGTTTTCCCAGGGGAGTCGTTCGGCCGGACTCCCCTGGTTTTCCCAGAGGAGCCGCCCGGCCGGACCCGGTCGAAGTGAGTACAGTGTAGCATGCATAAAACATGTTGTGTGGTGTATGTAAGGCTTCATATGATCAATTAGGCCTCAAGGTTGGATAGTTATGGAGTATACACCACACAGGTAGTGCTGTGGTGTGTTATAGCACAGAACTTGGTCACCCAGGTCTGGCTGAACCTACCCAAGCATGCAGCAGCCACCTTCAAAACCTCTGATACTTGGAGGTGGGTGTCCGAGGACAGACATACCAGGGAGCACCAGGGTCCAATGCAGGCAGCAGACCACCAGGCAGTGGTGCAGGCCCGACACTGCACCAGGTGGCAATGGACGGATGGCCGGCGATAAACAGATGGCCGGTATCAGATGGATGGCCGGCACTGGGCAGTAGATAGATGACCGCCGGCAAACAGACGGCCGGTGATGCAGCTTGAAGCGGACCGACTGTCGGCAGTGGAAGCCTCGGACTGACCGCAGCGGAGCGCCGGCTGATGGCGGTCGTGCATAGCGCCGGCGCATCAGCGGCTGTGCACTGCCGCCCGCGCTCCGAGTGATCTGAAGTGGCCGCCCCCCCGACATGTTTGTATTCGTTCTCCGCCGTTATTGGTCGTAATGACATGCGAAAGAGCGCGTTATGTGCATATTAACAGCGCGAATCAAAAGTGCCCTGGAACGTTACGTTCCGTGCAGGCGCCGGCCCGTGACGTTATATGGAAGAATGAGGATGAGATGGAGTATGCTGACATTAATTTACATCGGATATATGTATGCATACCCAGATATTCTTCGCATCATCTGTGGCTAACGAAAGAAGCAAGAAGCGTGAAGAAATAGCAGAAACTCGCGAAGATATACCGTTTTGACCAAAAGTGTGGTTCACATATAGGTGGGCTTCCATATGTTGGGATGGAGGACAGATACTACACACCTGCGAGCTTTGACATTGATTTTAGTGTACACAGACCAGGAATCTATGTTTGTGTGCAGACAGATTAAGAATTGATGGTACAGTGCGATATGTCATTTTTCAATGACATACACAATATCGATACAACATGCGAGCTCATCACAGCACACAATAGCAGAACAGACTCGCCTTTACAGCAGCTTTCCAACGCAAAAAGAATCTCGATATTCCGACAGGAACCCATGGAGATGTCGCATATGGGCTCAGGATGCATGCAGTGGTCAAGTCGTACCAAATCACCAAGCACACGAAGCCACATTCTGAGCCCATATGCGACATCTCCATGGGTTCCTGTCGGAATATCGAGATTCTTTTTGCGTTGGAAAGCTGCTGTAAAGGCGAGTCTGTTCTGCTATTGTGTGCTGTGATGAGCTCGCATGTTGTATCGATATTGTGTATGTCATTGAAAAATGACATATCGCACTGTACCATCAATTCTTAATCTGTCTGCACACAAACATAGATTCCTGGTCTGTGTACACTAAAATCAATGTCAAAGCTCGCAGGTGTGTAGTATCTGTCCTCCATCCCAACATATGGAAGCCCACCTATATGTGAACCACACTTTTGGTCAAAACGGTATATCTTCGCGAGTTTCTGCTATTTCTTCACGCTTCTTGCTTCTTTCGTTAGCCACAGATGATGCGAAGAATATCTGGGTATGCATACATATATCCGATGTAAATTAATGTCAGCATACTCCATCTCATCCTCATTCTTCCATATAACGTCACGGGCCGGCGCCTGCACGGAACGTAACGTTCCATGGTACGTTTTATTCGCGCCGTCAATACGCACATAACGCGCTCTTTCGCACGTTATTACGACGAATAACGGCGGAGAACGAATACAAACATGTCGGGGGCGGCCACTTCAGATCACTCGGAGCGCGGGCGGCAGTGCACAGCCGCCGATGCGCCGGCGCTATGCACGACCGCCATCAGGCGGCGCTATGCACGACCGCCATCAGGCGGCGCTATGCACGACCGCCGTCAGGCGGCGCTCCGCTGCGACCGGTCCGAGGCTTCCACTGCCGACAGTCGGTCCGCTTCAAGCTGCATCACCGGCCGTCTGTTTGCCGACGGTCATCTATCACTACCGGCCATCTGTGTACTGCCACCCAGTGTGTCGGTCCCGCACCACAGCCCGGTGGTCCACTACTTGCATTGGACCCTGCTCACTGTGCCAGACCTTATGTCAGATAGTAAGGTCACAAAGGTGGCTGCTGTGTCCTTGGGTAGGCTCAGCTGGCACCTAGTGACTGGGTTCTGTGCTGTAACACACCCTAGCCCTACCTGTGCAGCGTGCGGTATATACCCCATTAGCTGCCCTCCATAATGCCAAGCTACCTAATTGAAGCTTTACATACACCCTACAACATATTTACACATACTATACACCATACTTACTTCAACCGGGTCCGGCCGAACGGCTCCCCCAGGAAAACCAGGGGAGTCCGGCCGAACGACTCCCCTGGGAAAACCAGGTGAGTCCGGCCGGACGACTCTGCCGAGGTAACCGGGTGAGTCCGGCCGAGCCCGGGTGAACGGTACCTTCGGCAAATGGCGGTGTCCCGGCTGACCGACTTGATCGGGGTAACTCCGGGACCTTAAGTGAGTGAGGGGGTCTGCGCTGTCGTCTTCGTACTCAAACCACTCTACTAGTGCGCATTCGTGTTTTCTGCCTTGATAATGGAACGAGAAGCAGGAGAGTAGTCGCGCGGGAATTGCGCTTGCGAGGCCGACTGCGTCATCGTCGATCTGTACAAGACAGGTGTCGTATCGCCCTTTGCCATGGAACCACTTGGGATTGCATCGCAGAAGGTCACGATGCATGCCGTTGGTGCCGTGGAGCTCGCTTGGGGCATAGTAGGTAGAGATGGCATGGTTGAAGAGATGGATCCGAGTGACTAGCACTAATGAGATATAAATTAGACCATTAGTTGGTTAGCAGTAATTGGAGTACCCCCTAAACTAATTTTGTGCTAATTAGTACTAATGTCTCTAATAGAATGCTAATGAGCGCAAACAGAGGTCTAATAAAACACTAGTTAGAGCCCATGAGATCCAAATGTTCGCATTTGCATCACACAATCACACCAAGTAGTACATTCAAGACCAACGATGATATTGATAAGATAGCTATCTAATACATGTGTGTGGTGATAGAAGGCAGTAACGCAAACCTGGGACGAAGAGGCGCAAGAGGCGCACGAGAACCCATGTCGAAATGGGTGACATGTGCGGGCAATGTGTCAACGTGGGGGCAAGACGTGGGTGACGCAGAAACGGCGACGGACGTGTGTGACACATTCAAAGTGGGTGAGATGGGTGCCTAAAGCGAGGTGGGCAATGTGGGTGAGACGGGCAAGGCAGACAAGGCAGGCGAAGGGCAAGACGTGTGCGAGGCGAGTGAGATGGGCAGGAAGTGGGCGAGGTTGACAAGATGGGCGACATAGGCGAGCAGAAATGCAGGCGACGCAGACGCAGGTGACGAGAGCAAGAGTGGGCGACGTGGACGCCGACCCCGCACGCAGTGCGGATGCGGGCGAGGTGGGCGACGCGAACAAGGGCAACGCGGGCGGGCGAGGTGGATCGCGCGGCGACGCGGGGCAAGACGTCGAGGCATGGGTGAGACGCAGGTGACGCGGATGAGGTGGGCGATATGGGAATGGCAGGCAAGACCGAGCAAGACAGGTGAGGCCTTGAGGAGCGAGAGGTGTGCGAGATGGGTGGGCTACGTGGCTGAGACAGGCGAAACGGACCCGTGTAAAACGGGTGAGGTGGGCAAGATGAACGAGGCGGCGGCGATGCGAGCGAAACGGGCAAGGTGCAAGACACGGGAGAGACGGGCACAGTGGACGACGTGGCGACGAGGGCGAGGGCGGGACGGGCGAGGTGGGCGGCACAGACACAGGCAAGGATGGGCGACATGGGCGCGGGCACAATGGGCGGCAAGGTGGGCAACGCGGGAGAGGTGGGCGATGCATGAGCTGACCTGCGGCGAGTGTGGGTGGGAGACCCAGGGACATCTTGAGCCGGGGGGTCAGCGTCGTGCTCCCTGCGATTGGGGACACAGTAGGCGGGCGGGCGGGCAAAGTGCGGACGAGGCAGTGAGACGGACGTGGCGAGCGAGATGAGGGAGGTGCGACAGGGGAGGCGGACGAAGCAGGCGATGTGGCGACATGGGGTGACGAGGGCGATGGGTGCCCGGTGAGGTATGCGAAGCAGGAGCCGACCTTGAAAAATTTGCAGGAGGCAGGGGCTCGGAGGCGTCAGGGGAGCGAGAACGGGAGGCGCGCGGAAGAGATCGAGGGCGAGGGCGAGTAGAGCAAGGCGAGTAAAGCGGATGAGGTGGGCGACGAGACGAGGCAGACGATGAGATAAAGAATGGCGCTAGCAGTCCACGCAACGCGCGTCGATTCCCACGCGTCCGAAGCTTTCCGTCTCCTTCCTTTCACTCTGCGCTGGCACCCCGTCCATCCCGTTCTCCTCGTCCTCCGCGTCCTTCCTGTTCTCCTCGTCCTCCCCCATTCTCCCCGTCCTCCCCGTCCTCCCCGTCCTCCCCGTCCTCCCCGTCCTCCCTGTCCTTCCTGTATTTTCCTCATAGCGCAATACCCTTGAGGAGCACACCAACACGTCCCTCGCCCGCCGCTTCCTCAAGAAGCTGTCTTGGTGAGTACCCCGCTCTGCCCTCGTGCGCTCCCCACCTCGCCCACCACCTTCCCAGGCCCCGGCCGTGCCACCGACCCGGTACCCACAACGAGCATGTCCCACCGACGCTCGTCCCACCGGTGTGGCCGTTACCACCATGTCGCACATCGCCCGCTCCCCCGCCGGCTGCCACCTCCGCCCGCGACGAACTTTGCTGTAGCCCTCGTGCACGGTCTCCCGCTCGCGCGTGATCGTGACTGGGGCTGTTCGGTCGCCCGCAACATCCCTAGCTCGCTCCTTGCCGGTATGTTTCCCTCTTCCGCTTTGCTCCTTCTAACCTATTTGTTCTCTGTCTCCCCACCTCCCACGTCCGGATCGCCCGACCTGTTCCCACACGTCCGCACACACGCGCTCTCCGCCCACGCATCCGCGGTGACGAAGGACGTAGTCCTTCAGGCTCCACGTCGCTTACCTCGTCCTCGCCCGCGTCACACCGCCCATGTCCGCGTCGCCCGCGTCACCACTTCGCCCACACCCACGTCGCCCATGTCCGCGTCGCTCGTGTTGGTTACCCCCACACCCCTCATATCGCCTGCAATCCGCGTCGTCAAGTTGTCCGCCCATGTAGCGTCTACAACCCACCTTCGTCACCCACGTCTGCATCTCCTACGTCTCCCGTGTCACCTGCATGACCTGTCACCTGTGTCGGCGGCCGCATACTGTAGGAACTTGTTGCAGTAGACAATGTAGTGTAGTTGGATCATATATATTTCGTCCCCACACTTGCACCACAGGGTTGGTCCGAGGCTACTTGAGTGTGTTTGAATGGTCAGTTATTAGTTTGCTTTACATCTACTGATGTGTATGTGTGCAAACCAGTGATAATGGTCTTCCACAAGTTCTACTTGAGTCTGAATGAGCACTTTCCCGATTCCATTAGTGCAGATTTGCGGATTACTTTGCCATTACACCATTAGACTCCTATTAGTTCTCAGATTAGCAGTGTTATCACCAATTAGCAGGTGAGCGTTTTCCTGATGTAAGTGCGTAGTCCAGAATACAGAGTATACGGATGTGGGGCTCACCTCAGTCTCGGGGGAAAGAAGACTGAGGTGTACGTAACGTGCGAGAGCGTATATGTGACTCGGGCGAGTACGGAAAGGTAAGGTACAGGTACGAAGGACATTTCGAAATGATACGAACAGAGAGATCATATGGCACGCACCGGACCCAACTCGTCCGGGCCGGGACGTCTACCACAGTCGCGGCTTGTCGTCCAACACTTTTGAATCATCCCCAGTCCACTGCTTGAAATTGCGACCATTCTTGAAGCGTCTAAGCCCAGGGAACGGGGGAACGGCAGCGAGCCTCGAAAACAGAATGAGTTGCGATGTGACATGAGACCCAGCTCGAGTACTCACCTGCGATCGATATCGTCTAAAATTTGCTTCGCTTCCTGAGCCGATTCCGAGTGTGTTGTGATCCAGTCTTCGATCCAAGCGACAAGGTGATCCTTGAAAGTCCCTTTGATGAGCTGATGGAGGATGTCGGGGGTGAGAAGCTCGTGGATGTTGGCCCGGGGGAACCAACTTGTGAATGGCTACACCGACCAGCAATAATCAGATACGAGTATAGTAGTATAAATGAAACTATAGTAGGCCTACCTTCACGTCCTTGATGATACCATACGTGTCCCAGAGGGTGTTCTCATTGAAGGCGTCGATGAGAGCCTCTGTGTGCTGTCGAAATCGCGGAGGACCAGCTTCTTCTAGCTCCTCTGGGATGGCACGGCATCTGCAGTAAGGAAGTTAGTAAGTTTGCGCCGCTCGGGAGGGGAGGGAAAACCAAGACTACACAAGAACAGCGTGACGTGCCACGCGCGCAAGCATGCACGTGCAGACTGCAGATGACCTCGAACGCGTGCACAAACGAGCGTGAGGACAGGCTGTTGCACGTGCAAGCATGAGCACTGAACCGTCGCGAGGCGAGCACGACCATGGACGTGCGCAAGCACAATCACAGATGCGCGCGCAAGCACGGGGCTGCATGACCACTGTCGGACCCGGACTGTGGGCACGTGCAAGCACGACCACCAACTCGCGCGCAAACGTGAGCGCAGGCTGTCGCTTGCACAAGCGTGAGAGCGTGGGGACAGGGCTGTTGCGAGTGCAATACGCCGAAGCCCGCACACTGCCTGCCAGAGGGCGAATGCAAGTGGCGGCAGTCGAGTGAGCCAAACTGGTGTCGACTCGGGCAAGAACAGCCCGGGCACAGGTCCGAGTTCGAACGCGGGGAGGAGCGAAGCACGTTATGCCACAGACACGGAATGAGACTCACTTTGGACACCATCCGTAAACAACGCATGATAGGTAGACCTGTTCCGGGTAGTTGGCAATGAAGGGGCCGAGCTCAAAGATAGCGCGGCGATAATGCCCATCTGGGCAGCGCATCGGGTGCGGAGTCGTCATTCCAGGGCGTAAAGGCTCGAGGACCTTTGCCAGGGAGGTGTGATAAAGGTTCTTCTTGAAAATCCGGAACTCTTCTTCGTCCCCATTGTGATGATCGCCTGAGATAAAAAAACTGAGATGCTGATCTCTGATCGACAAGAGGAAAGAGCACGTACCTTTAGGAATAGCCAAGAAAGCGATTGGGACGACGCTATCACGATGCGCTCTGCGCATGTCGTTATGGATATTTCCGAGTGACATGTATACTGGGTGGAACTCCTGGTTACCTGTGGCAACTGAGACGGTGGTCTTGTCCGCACCGAGCACAATAGGAACCAGCATTGACCCAACGCTCCCCGGAACATCTTGCGCAATGGTGGTCTGGATAGCAGACAACCGTTGTTAGCTCAATTGGCGAAAGATAGGAAATGCGAACTCACCGCTTTATTCCATGCCCACTGACCTGACATTAGATTACAGAAGCGACGTGTGCCGTCTTGAGCGTGCTCAGCATAAGGGCGATAATCAAACCTGCCATTGAACTCAGGACTTTGGGCGAGCTGTTCGGCGACAGCGAGGGTGTTTCGGGCGTAGAAAAGGTAGGTTTGTCGCATCCAGGACGGGGAGTCGGGACCGACGGGACCGGTGTAACGTACACGGAAAACTCGCCATCCAGTGTCACCGTAGGGGGCCTGGTCCAAGGTGTCAAGCAAATCGTCGACACTGTCAAACGGCGGAGCAGCCTCCGGACATCCTTCGAGGATGCATTTCGCGTGCCAGAGCCGGAGAATTTGCTCAAGATTGCCGGCCGACTCTTGCATCTCCTTGTACGTCAGCTCGGTGAACTCGAAGGCGATCCGGTCTTCCCACGGAAAGTACCCATTGGGGCCGTTGTATGGCGGTGGAGGTGTGTTCTGGTTCCCCAGAAAAAAACCATTCCTATCGCATTTGCCAGCTAGAAATCGTCGGCCTGGCGTGAGCATGCATGAACTAGCCTGAGAGATGCGATGTTGGTACCATAAAGACCCGCATGCTCGTTCCGGACGGTAGGAGGTGGGTTGGGCTTGGGGTTGCGGTGGACAATACGGCGATGGTGTGCAAAGCCGCGTGACGAGCTGAAGGACAAGTGACACAGGGAGCAGAAGCGGGCCATTGAGCGGTTGAGGGAGCCTAAATGCTTGAAGACGAGTAGGATTAGGATGAGAGAGGACAAGGGGGAAGATGAGGGAATGAGCACGGCGAGTGAGACCGTTCTGACGACGCGAGGACGCGAGGACGCGAGGGTCCAGGGGCGAGACGCTGGGGATGCCTTTTTGTGATTGAGTCGCCACCCCAGTCGCAACTCCGCTGCCTCTCTCTTCTCCCGCCTCTAATTTTTCTACACCCTCCCTTTATTTCCCTCGTTTACTGGTCACCCATGGCACGCAAGGCCCGAGGCCGAGCTATATCCCCCACACAAAGTTCTCCAACTCCTGCGACACTGGCTGCCGCAGCACCGACCTCCGCCAACACTGTGCCACGTCAGAACACGCGTCGTTCAACACGGCTGCGCGACCCGGGCTCCGGCAACACACTCGCCATTTCAGCCTCTGCAGACAGTCCACCAGAGTCGAACACAGAAGTGGTCGAAGTGACCACTACTGTTTTAGACCAGGCTGGCGGCTTCGAACCGCCTGCAGACGGCGGACCTCTCATCCCTCAGACGACCCTCAAGTCGTCGACAGGCCGAAAGCGCAATATATCTGCAGACCTCGAGAAAAAGTCGAACTCACCTAAGCCCCGCAAACAACGGAAGCAGGTAGGTCCCATGGTGAGCAGGACGCGTCACCGCTGCTCACCATGTCCTGCAGTTGTCTACGGTTCCAACAGACTATCAGCATCCGTACAACACGCGACCGGAGAACAAGGATACGCACCCAGCTGCCAAAGTCGGGCTGTACAAGAAGTCGCCTGAAGAACTCGAGGACGAACGGAAGCAGAAGAAAGCGGACCAAGACGAGCTGGAGAGGCTGAAGGCCGAGATTGCGCGAATGCACACTGAGAGGGTTGCACTGGTTGCTGCTCTTGAGGATAAGCGTGAGCTAGAGGACCTGGAGAACACGGAGATGCTTGGTACGTTGCTATTCCAGCGCGTCTGAACGCGTTCTCACCGTCGCTTACGTTGTGCGCGTCATCCAACAGCATCCCGCACGCTTCCGGGTAGCAAGCTTTTCCCACCGAACCCTCATCTTCACCGCAACACCGGAGACACATTCGGGGACCTCAATGCTGGCACAGAGCTTAACAGCGAGCTCGGAGATGGGGGGAAGGACACGGATCAGGGCAAGAGTGCATCGGAGGCCCGTCCTGGTACTCAAAAGGTACGCCATCCTCACTGTCGACACATCATATCTGTCCTGCTCACCGAATGTTCCTGTTTGTCCTGCAGCCACTCACGTCCGCCGCGAAGAAGGCAAGTCTGCGTCAGAAGACCTACAACGAGGTTGCAGCGCTCCGCAAGATCAAAGCTGGCTCCAATCTCCAGGCTTCGGGTAGCAGCCGCCTTCAAGTCGAACCTGTCTCGCAGCCTGTCGCCACTACGAGGTATGTTTTTTGCGTCGTTTTGAGTTCCCGTCATCATCTGTGGCTGCAGCCGTGCGCCTAAGTCGAAGGCCCCCACTCCTTCCACGCCGTTTTTACCGAATTGGCGTGCGCGTCAACACCAACGGAGATCATTGAACGTTGCTTCATCCTCCGGGATGGATGAGCAAGGTACGTAGTGAGGTTGTCTGTCGATATGAGTGTAGTGAAATGATAGTGTGTATCTTCTTCTAGCAGAGTATAGCGAAGAAGACGACATAGACGACGAAAACAAAGCCCCACTTGGAGGCTTCACTGACGAGGATGTGTTCGTCCCGAAGGGGTTAGCACTTCGTGGTATGCCTCGTCCGGTACGTTTTCGGGCTACTACTTGTAGCAGCTATTGATACTATTCAATTGCAGGCCAACCGAGTCATCATAGAACGTT